CTAAAAATCCTCAACTTATATTTTAAAAAATGTTACATTAGACATAATACAAATGGAATGTAAAAATGTATTGGAAATGTAATTAAAATTGATGCAAAAAAATTGAAAGCCATGCAGTTTTTTCATAGTAAACATTTCCAGTGAACTTTTTGAAACCTCTCAATGCGGATGTTAATATAAAAATGCTTAATTTAAAAAATGTCTTTCCCACTGGCAGACATGTATACCTGCAAATATATTACGGTTTGTTGACCTTGCAAAAAGTCCTTTTTCTTTTTCTTCCCTTTTCTCCCATATCTGGGTGTAGGGGATGTAGTGGTAGGGAGGGAACCGTTCTCAGCTGCCAGAACTACATCAGTATCAGGGGATGGAGATGTCCAATTGATGTCATCTTAGAAACCATAATGTGGAGAATGTTTTGAGGACATTGCTTGAATAGTTTTGATTTGATAGTTTGGAAATGCTGTTGATTTCATTGCTCCATGGTTGAGAAAATCCTTCCAAGGTCCATTGACTGAGAGAGTCTACTCCACTCATCTAGACACTGCCAAAACTCAACCAGAGTTATCCAACCCATTCTGTTCTCCATCGTCTGACATGGCATTTGACATCCTCTGCAAGCCCAAATAAGTTGGCTGTCATGTCCCCTGTATGCACCTGGGTATGCTGGCCATTGCACAGGCATCAGTAATCACAGAGGCCCAGTCCTGACACATGCATTTTGAGGTTGGACCACAAATTCAATGATCCTCCCTGTGGCTGAAATTTGGAATCCAGTGGCCTATTTTGGAATTCCCCCAAGAAACATCAATATCTATTACGACCCCAAATCTGACTCCTGCATGTGCCAACCAATACAGGGTCTGCTTCAGTCCACCACCAGTATCAGCCTAAACACACACCGGTGATTGAAGTTGCCTTGTCAGTTCCATCCCCAGCCCCATATCTCATGCAAAGCCATGATGCTTATGCTTAGCCCAACCTAGCTTGCCACATGCTGCCCTGCCCAACCTAGTTTGCTACCAATCTTACTGTTGCACACACCAATGGGAACTGCAGCATGGTTTGGTTGACCCCCAATAATCCCCACCAGGCCTACCACCAGCCCTGTTTCCCATTCATGCCAATATGTGCAGCAGACTAGTCCAGTCCATGGTGATCTCAGTTGGGCTCATGAGAACGCTATGGTTGCACCTATGGGTGTTACAGCTTAGCTTAGCCCACCCCACCTCTCCACCCAGTCCATATGTATGACATTGAGTACTGACGTATGACATTGGGTACTGACGCCAGGTCCAGCCTGGTCTGCCCCCATGCCTGGTTCTTTTTTTTTTTAAGACTTATTATTTTTATTGAAAAATCAGATAGACAGGGAGGAGGAGAGACAAAGAGGAAGATCATCCATCTGTTGATTTACTCCCAAAGTGGCCACAATGGTTGGAGCTGTGCCGATCTGAAGCCAGGAGCCTACTCTGGGTCTCCCACACAGGTGTAGGGTCTCAAGGTTTTGGGTCATTCTTGATTGCTTTCCCAGGTACAAGCAGGAAACTGGATGGGAAACGGGGCAGCCAGGATTAGAACCAGCCCTTATATGGGATCCTGGCACTTGTGAAACGAGGACCTCAGCCACTGGCTACTGCACCAGGCCCACCAGGCCTGGTTCTTTTTTTTTTTTTAAGATTTATTTATTTTTATTACAAATTCAGATATACAGAGAGGAGGAGAGATGGAGAGGAAGATCTTTTGTTTGATGATCTGATGATTCACTCCCCAAATGACTGCAACAGTCTGTACTGTGCCGATCCAAAGCCAGGAGCAGGAAGCTTCATCAGGGTATCTCACACGGGTGCAGGGTCCCAAGGCTTTGGGCCATCCTCAACTGTTTTACCAGGCCACAAGCAGGGAGCTGGATAGGAAGTGGAGTCATCGGGATTAGAACCGGTGCCCATATGGGATCCCGGTGTGTTCAAGGCGAGGACTTTAGCTGTTAGGCCACTGTGCTGGGCCCCAGGCCTGGTTCTTGTGCACACCAGTGGGAGCTGCTGCCCAGCAGAAGAGTGCCTACAATTTCCCTACTTGGCCCACTCCCTTATCTTGCACTTGCCAATGAATGCTGTGCCCTAGCCTGGCTCTCCCCCAAACCCAACCTGCATTCAAGGCTGACAGTTGCTGCAGCCCTGGCTAGTCCGTCCAGCCCCTAGTCCTGGCCCTAATGTAAACTGGGGAATATTGTGTCCTGACTCAGCCTGGTTTGTACCTCATCCTGAGTCTCGCACCTAACAGTGGGTTTAGCAGACTTACTTGCTGGGACATGAGAGTCCATCAATACATGAGAGTCCATCAGTACAGGAGCTGCATCTGGGCCAAGGGCAGAACATGCCAAACAGGGTCATGGTACCCATCAGCAAATGTGAGATCCTGGGCCTGGTATGGGAACTTAGGAATGCCCCTACTGATGGAGTACAGTAGCTGGAGCTGGACTGGGCCAGGCCACAGCACTTCCTGGCATGATTGAGAGCTAGGAAAGGAAAGCTGTGCCCACCACTGAGAGCTGAGAATACAGTGGGTCATTCCAGGCTGGGTTGAAGTGCAGGATCCTGGGCTCGGAACGGACCTGGTGGGGTAATCTGGGGATTCTCCTGCTAAGCTGCAGCTCTCCTGAGGAGTGTGAAAGCCAAGACTAGGGGGTTGGCAGCCTGGGCTGTGCAAGACTGCGGCACCTATCAGCATGTGTGCAGGTTGGATTTCGGGGTGGGCCAGAGTGGGCTGGGCTCCAGCACCTGCTGACACTCATGCGAGCCAGAATGGGTGTGGGACAGACCCAGCCAAGCTAGGCCACCGTGGCACCTGCTGGTTCACATGAGAACCAGATAAGGTAATGGACCAGGCTGGAATAGACTGTAACACCCACTGTCAAGAGCTGGCATAGGTGTTGGCCAGTTGGGCTAGGTTTTAGTACCCACCAGTGAGATTCAGGGGGTAGGAGTGGGTCTGGTAGAGGAGCTTTGGAGACTCCTCTGCAAGGCTGCACTTTCAGCTGGTGAGTGCAAAGGTTGGAGTTGTGGCTTGCCAGGCCAGTTTGGACTGTAGTACCTATCAGCATATCTGAGCCAGGTCGGGGGTTAGCCAGGCTGGCCGGTCCACGATACACACTAGTACAAGTGAGAGCTGGAATGGCCTGCATGCCAGCCCGAGTTGGACTGCAGTATCTGCCAGTTTACCCCGAGAGGTGGGCCCGGGCCACGCTAGGTTACACTGCTATGTCCACCGGTGAGAGCTGGGACTGGGAGTGAGCTGTGCTAAGCCAAGCTGTAACATCTACTGAAAAAAACTGAGACTTTTGGTGAGACATCTCTGACTAGGCCACACCCACTGGTGTGTGCATAACCCAGGGCTGAGAGTGGGCCTGGTAGGGGAGCTCTGGAGACTCTTGTTGGGCTGCTGCTTCCACTTGTGAGTGTGAGAAGCTGGATCTGGGAGCTGGACTCAGCTGCTGCACCCACTGGCACACATGAGAACCAATATGCATGTGGGCCATATGGGATAGGATACAGCACCTGCTGGCAAGCACAAGATCCAGTGCTGGGAGCGGGTCTGGTTGTGAAACTGAAGGTATTGCCTGCTATACTGCAGCTCCCATTGGTGAGCACAAGAGCCAGTGCTGGTGGTGAGCTAGGCTGGGCAAGATGGTAGCAACCTGTCAGCATGACTGTGGACTGAGTCTGGGGGCCAGCTGGGCTGAACTAAACGGCAGCATCCATGGGTGTGCATGAGAGCCAGATGGTAGACAGACTGGGCTAGGATGCAGCACATGCTGACATGTGCAAAAACTGGGGCTGGGGTGGGCCTGGTGGGGCTGATTGTGGATCACCCCAACTAGGCTGTGGTAGCTGCTGGTATACATGAAGCCTGGCCTAGTTAGGCTTGCCGCACCCATCAGTTTTTGTGAGAGCTGGGATGGGGTGGAACTGACCAGGCAGCAGCATCCACTGTTATGTACTGCAGCCCATGCAGGTGATGGACCGAACCAGATTCTGCACTGACTGAATCTGACAAATCTGAAGTCACAATAGTCAAATCTGAAGTCACTACAGGTGCTATTTCTTGGGGGACATCTCAACTAGATGGCTGGACTCAAACCCTGGCCACAGAGAAAAAATCACAGTTTATGTGGTTGGTCCTTGGAGTACATGTGTCAGGAGTAGACCTCCTCAGTTGCTGATGCCCATACAGTGAACAGCATGCCCAGATGTACATGGGGGATATGACAGCAGCTCATCCAGGCCAGCAGAAAATGTTGAGTGCTTAGTCAGAGGATGGAAAACAAAACAGGTTGGACCACTCTCCTGGCCAAGCTTTGCAATATATTCCTGGGCCTGTGGATGCAATGAGGTGGACCTGACTAGCCCAGTAAGACCTTGAAGATTTTCTCAACCCTAGTTCAGTGAAGCTGGTGAAATCTCAGAACTATCAAAACCACCTGAATAACACCATTCCCCATATCAGGGTCTCTCAGGTGTCATCAAGTGACCATTTCCCCATCCCTGGGTGCTGATGTAGTTTGACAGCAAGGAGTAACCTCCATATCTTCCCCCACTGGAGATACAGAAGAAAAAAAAATTGAAGCGTGTGCCACCCACCATCCTGCATACCTTGGTTCTCCCTACCCTAATCAGAGACCATGAGCATGCATTCCTCTCAACTATGAAAATAATGTTAAAAAAATAAAAATAGGTATATAGCTCTGTATACATCTTTTCAGCAGTTCATGTGCTTGTTTCATCTTTAAAAATTGCTTTTCGTGCTCTGTATTAGACATGGAAGAGACTTTGTTATATTTGACTTATACCTGTAGTCATGTATGAAGATAAGCAGTCTAAATGTTTCGTCCAACTCTTCTCTAACCTTGTGTTTCTATGGTAATATACTCTGTTATAGTCCGTTAAATTATAGTTATTCTTACATTGATAATCATACATACTGCATTTTTTTATGAACAGGTTGAATCATTTATTTTGGACCAAGAAGATTTGGATAACCCAGTGCTTAAAACAACCTCAGAGATATTCTTATCAAGTACAACAGAAGGAGCAGACTTACGTACTGTAGACCCAGAGACACAGGCACGACTTGAAGCTTTGCTAGAAGCAGCAGGTACTTTATTTTTTGTTTTTTCTTTTCATCTATTTACAGAAAATCTGAATCTCCTTACATAGTTTTAGACAATTGTTACACAATTGTTAGTGTTATTCAAAAATTTGGGATCTAAATAAAACTTTTTTTCTGAAAAAAATGGTCTCATCTTACATATTTTTTTAAAAGATTGATTTATTTGAATGGCAGAATTAACAGGGATAGATGCAGAGAGAGAGATATCTCATTTGCTGATTCACTCCCCAAATGGCCACCATGGCCAAGGTCATGGAATCAGGAATTTTGTTTGAATCTTCTTCCCAGGTGTACTAGCAGGAACACAAATTTTTGCCAATATGGAATGCTGATCTCAACAGCCGTTCTCTGTTCTGTCGAGGGTTGCATTAACTTTCATATTTGTCCCCTTTTAATATGTTGAAATGCATGAAAGATTGAACATAAATTTTTCAAGATTTATTTATTTTTTTTTTGAAAAGCAGTTACACAGAGAGAAGGAAAGATAGAAGGTTCTTCCATCTGCAGATTCATTCCCCAAATGACCACAACAGCTGAACCTGAACCAATTTGAAACCAGGAACCAGGAACTTATTCCAGGTCTCTTGTGTGGGTGCAGGGTCCCAGGGCTTTGGGACATTCTCTACTGCTTTCCCAGGCCACAAGCAAAGATCTGGATGGGAAGTGGAGCAGCTCGCTTATGTAATACTGGTGTCACAAGTGGAGGCTTAGCTGCCCATGGTGCCAGCACCCTGAATGTAATCTTTTTTTAATAAAGTAAGATTATACTATATATATATTTTTTTTAAAAAAAAAGCTTTTTTCTTACCACTGTTTTTGGGAACTGCCTCCTAAGACTTTTTTCTTTTTTTTAAAGATTTATTTATTTCCAATGGAAAGGCAGACATGTGATTCTGATAACCCATTGTACGCTCAGGTTTGTGTCTCAGGTGCTCTACTTCTGATCCAATTTCCTGCTGAAGAGCCTAGGGAAAACACAAGAGAATGCCCAAGTGTTTGGCCCCTTGCCATCCACATGGGAAACAAGAAAGGGTGAAGCTCAAAAAAGTGACCCAGCCCAAGCCATTTCAACCATCTGGAGAGAGGATCAGAGGATGGACGATCTGTATGTCTTTCTCTCTGTAACTCTGACTATTGGAAAAAATATTATAAAAGGAAAGAAATCTTAGGAGTCCCGGAGGCTGGATCTTTTATAAAGAATATTTTAGTTTTATTGCTGAAATATATCCTAATTAATTTTGTCAATTCCTTATTAAAAGATGTTTAGGTTATACCCAGTTTTCAACATTACAATTAATGCTATAGTTATCTTTTTGTATCTGCAGCTTTTTTGACTGTACAGATACCCCTACAGGAGAGATTTTCAGATAGCAATATGACTGGCTTAAAGAATGTTTGTATTGGGCCCGGCGCGGTGGCGCAAGTGGTTAAAGGTCCTCGCCTTGCACACCCGGGATCCCATATGGGCGCCGGTTCTAATCCCAGCAGCCCCGCTTCCCTTCCAGCTCCCTGCCTGTGGCCTGGGAAAGCAGTCGAGGACAGCCCAAAGCTTTGGGACCCTGCACCACGTGGGAGACCCGGAAGAGGCTCCTGGCTTCGGATCGGCATAGCATCGACCGTTGCACTCACTTGGGGAGTGAATCATCGGACGGAAGATCTTCCTCTCTGCCTCTCCTCTTCTCTGTATATCCGCCTTTCCAATGAAAAAATAATAAAAATAAATCTTTAAAAAAAAAAAAAAAGAATGTTTGTATTTAAAATGCTTATAACTGTTGTTAAGTAGCTGTCCAAAGTTTGTTCCTGAATAGCTTTTAAGAGGAACTCACACTTCAGAAGATTTTTTTTCATGAGAAATTTTTAATTTCTTTTTTTTTCAAAAAAAAGATTTATTTATTTTTATTACAAAGTCAGATACACAGAGAGGAGCAGAGACAAAGAGGAAGATCTTCCATCCGATGATTCAGTCCCCAAGTGAGCACAACGGCCGGTGCTGTGCCCATCCGAAGCCGGGAACCAGGAACCTCTTCCAGGTCTCCCACACGGGTGCAGGGTCCCAAAGCTTTGGGCCATCCTCGACTGCTTTCCCAGGCCACAAGCAGGGAGCTGGATGGGAAGTAGAGCTGCCGGGATTAGAACCGGCACCCATATGGGATCCCGGGGCTTTTAAGGCAAGGACTTTTAGCCGCTAAGCCACACCGCCAGGCCCTATACTATATTTTCTTTATTACTACTGAAAATAGCATTGTCAGTTATCTTAGAGACCTTCTCATATGAGTGTGTATTTTGAGAGAAATTACATTGGTTTGAGAAACTTTGTATTAATTTAGATTTACAGTTGAATATTTATAAAATACACACACACATATATGGTATTTATTCATTTGAAAGTCAGTGTTAACAGAGAGATAAGGAGAGATAGAAATCTTTCATCCCTTGGTTCCCTTCCCAAATGTTTGCAACAGCTGGAATGAGCCAGCCTGAAGCCAGGAGCATCTTCTGGGTCTCCTACTACTGTCTTTCCCAAGTACATTGGCAGGGAGCTGGGTTCAAAGTGAAGCAGCCAGGACTTGAACCAGCACCGATAAAGGATACTGGTATTTCAGGTGGCCTCTTAACCCAATGTGCTACAACCCCAGCCCTGAAAAATTAATATGTGCATTGTAAAGATGGACTGTCAAACAGGTGGTTACATACATGTTTTTTTAATAATGTTTGGGTCCTTGGGTCCTTGCACCACATTGGAGACCTAATGGAGGCATCTGGCTTCTGGCCTGGATTGTTTGCCCTCTGGCTGTTGTGGCCATTTTGGAAGTGAAGCAATGGATGGAGGAGCTCTCTCTCAGCTGTCTCTCCTCTTTGTCAACTTACCTTTCAAATAAAAATGAAACAAATCTTTAAAAAAAGAAATGTAATTGCAATTTGCATTTTTATGCTTGTTCTTCCCCTGCACTACCTGATTGATGCCCGGTGAAGGAATCGGCAAATTGTCAACTGCTGATGGTAAAGCTTTTGCAGATCCGGAGGTCCTCCGAAGACTGACGTCCTCCGTTAGTTGTGCGCTGGATGAAGCAGCTGCTGCCCTGACTAGAATGAGAGCAGAAACCAGCCAGAATGCAAGCCATGTGGACACGTATGTTTTATGACTTTAGCTGGCTATTAGACATGTTCTTGAGTGGATTTGGAAAAGTATCCAGCTTTGGTTAAATGTATCTTCCAGAAGAGCTTAGACATTTTTGTCAAATTGATATTATATTTTATGTGTATGTATATGTGACACTGTATAAGTATAAAATTGGCATTTTTTATTCAAGGTGTTTAAGACTATTTTATTGAGCATTCCTATGGAGGGTACTGTGCCAGACTCTGGGAAATCCAAACTGAATAATACATGGTTTCTACGCATGGTTTACACCTGGGTTCCTGCACATAATGTAGCAATCTGATTGCTGGCTGCCCAGATATGGTCCATGAACTAGCAATATTAGCACCATCTCAGAACTTGATAGCAGTGCAGAATCTTATGCTCTTTTCCAGGTTTTGAGTTTGAATCTGCATTTTATCAAGAATGTGAGTGATTTGTATGTATGTTAAAGTCTGAAGATCATTGATTTAATCATTTTGTTGTAAAATATTTTCTTAGATTTCTACCTTTGTTGTTAACCAAACAAAATTTAAGCCATAAAATTATAACTCAGAATATTTTGTTACATTTTTAGGATTTAAAAACTTGTACATCAAATTCTTTTGAAAAGTTAACTTGAAGGATAAAAACAGCAACTAGTTTGAAACTCTACCTCTAGCTTTCTGGCTTGGTTGACATACATGTTTAATTCTAGTTGCTTGGCCAGTGAGATATGTTCATATTTTTTTTCTTTATACTTACCATCATTTTTCTTGGACCCTTAGTTTTTCTATACTGATTATTGAATGGTTTTAATTTCAGTCGAAGCCTGGCAGAAGCCTGTTCAGATGGGGATGTGAATGCTGTACGTAAATTGCTAGACGAAGGAAGAAGTGTAAATGAACATACAGAAGAAGGAGAAAGCCTGTTGTGTTTGGCTTGTTCAGCAGGGTACTATGAATTAGCACAAGTAAGCAGAAATTATCTTTACTGACTGTAATTCTGCAAGGATTTTCACGGTTTTATTCATCTTTATTCCTTTAAACATATAATTTGATTTTCTGGTCATTTTTTCTGGTGTAGGCAAAATAGCAACATGTATAATGACAAAACAAAAATATGAGATAATAACAATAGGGAACGTAGGGTGAGAGATGCATGGAAACTCTTTGTATTATTGCCTCACCGTTTTTGTTTTATAAATTAAAACTGTTTTGAAATTGTTTTAAAAAAGCACAAGATATACAAGAGCACTTAGTGAAAAGGAGAATCAGAGAGATGCTTTATATGAAAGACAGAGAGGTAACGAGAGACAGATCTTTAATTTACTGCTTCTGTCCCAAACCAGGAGCCAGGAAGTCTATCTCGCTCTCCCTCCTGGGTGGCAGGGACCGGATAATTGGACCATTTTCTGTTGCCTTCCCAGATGTGTTAGGGGGAAACTGGTTTGGAAGGTGGTTTAACTCAAACTAGCATGCTAGTATGGGATGCCCATATCCCAAGAACTGATTTAACTTCAGTGCCACAACACCAGCCCCTGGACTTAACTTTCTGCCAACTTTCTGAAGGTCTCATATAATTCATTTTGTTGGCTATGTATTCAGCTTCATTTTTCTGCCATTTCAAACAAGTCTTACTTAGTAAAACATTATGCTTGGAATAAAAAAAAAATGTTTTTGTACCACATAAAATGATATAATTAATTTCATTTTTTCCACAGGCTTTTTGAAATACTATTATGCCGTAAAATAAAAATACTTTCTTTACCTGGTATTTTGACAGTGAAAAATACTGTATTTTCAAAATTACTACTTTTAATTTTTTATCATCACTCCAAAACTATAATTTCCCAGGTTTGGTATATTTCCTAGAAATGCTATGAATAGTAAGAATTGACAGTATTTTTCCCTGTGTGTATGTGTTTTAAAGGTCTTGCTTGCTATGCATGCTAATGTTGAAGATCGAGGAAATAAAGGAGACATCACTCCCTTGATGGCAGCTTCCAGTGGAGGTTATTTAGATATTGTGAAGTTATTACTACTTCATGATGCAGATGTCAACTCCCAGTCTGCAACAGGTATGTAGAGAATCATGTATTGAGAGAATTGAAGTCAATATACGTAATCTAAGAGCTAAAAGTTTGTTTCCTAAGAAAAGCAATAGGTAAAATTTTCTGACTACAAATAAGCATGTTTTAATTCTATTTTTCCATAATTTTGAGGAAAATAAATTATTTATTTGAGAGGTAGAGTGAGCTCCCATCTACTGATTCACTCCCTGAAAATGGAAATCAATGTAGATCTCCCACATAGCTGTCAGGACTCAACTGCTCGAGCTGTTGCTGCTGCCTGTGGAGGTCTGTGTTAGCAGGAAGCTGGATGCTGGAGCCCAAGATGCACCTCTAACTTAGATACTCCTGATGTGGGATCTGGGTATCTTTAACTGCTATGTTATATGTGAACACCCTGCCTGTGAATTTTTGAAATACACTCATATATCCTGAGTTATGGGTATAGATTTGATGTTGAGTTTTCTTGGATTTAATTTATGCCCTAGTGAGTCAACCATATGATTTTTTTAAATGAAAATAATTAAAACATTTCAGTCTTACTACCATGATATATAGTTTATTTTCAAAGTGAGCATGACTTTTGTTAAAAAAGATTTATTTATTTATATTGGAAAGGTGGATATACAGAGAGGAGGAGAGACAGAGAGGAAGATTTTCCGTCCAGTGGTTCACTCCCCAAGTGACCGCAATGGCTGGAGCTGAGCCAGTCCGAAGCCAGGAGCCAGGAACTTCCTCCAGGTCTTCCACGCTGGTGCAGGGTCCCAAGGCTTTGGACTGTCTTCCTCTGCTTTCCCAGGTCACAAGCAGGGAACTGGATGGGAAGCAGGGCTTCTGGGATTAGAACCAGCACCCATATGGGATCTCTACGCATGCAAGGCGAGGATATTAACCACTACACCATCGCGCCAGGCCCGAGCATGACTTTGTAGAAAGGATTTTAGGTCATTTTGCTTGACTGATTTCTCTTTTAATGATACATACTGCCATAATGTCTAAGAAGATTGAACGACTGAATTCCGAACAAATTGAATTAAAAAATGCTAATTTCGTTTAAAACAGTCTTTGTCCCCTGCTGGTCCTTGGCTAAGCTGCCTCCATCCTACCTTTAACTTAACACAACAAAACAAAACAAAACAAAAAAAACAGGAAATAAGTAGCATATCACAGGAATTATGATGTCTTAAAGAAATGTTTCTTGAGTAAGTTCTGCTGAGGGGGGCATTTACCTCTCTTGCCTGATTCATATTGTAAATACAGGGTAAAGATAGTCAATAGGAAAGCATACCTGAACAATACTCTGTCTCATGATTAAATCTGTAAAACTAAAAGGGATGTAATATAAAAGTTAAGAAATGCGTATTACATAGAAAAAAATGCTAAATGCATTGTAGAGAGGATTGTTGTGCTAGATTTACTTATTTTTTGTCCGAGTATGAAAGCAATATATGCTCATTCTAAGAATATTTGAGAAAATCAGCCCCAAAACATTGATTTAATCGGCTGATCATCCGTTTGCAAGCACTGGGATCCCATATGTGTGCTGGTTTGTGTCCTGGTTGGTCCATTTTCCATCTGGCTCCCTGCTTGTGGCCCAAAGCCTTGGGACCCTGCACCCACTTGGGAAACCTGGAAGAAACCCCTGGCTCTGGCTTCAGATTGGCTCAGCTTCAGCCATTGTGGTCATTCAGGGAGTGAACCAGTGGATGGAAGATCTGTTTCTCCTCTCTATAAATCTCATCTTTCTTTCCAAAAAAATTAAATAATTGAAAAAAGCAGGCAAGTAGGATCAAAGATTGTTCTGTATTCTCTGTGGTACAGAAGTCACTATTATTTTCATGTTAATTTAATTCCTTCCAATTCTTTTGGTTTATAAATGTAGAGATATTGCATTGTCATACTGCCATTTAAAAGCAAAATACAAATGCAGTTCTTTGTGGCCAAATGGGCCCAACTGGAAACTATAATGCTAAGGGAAATGAGTGAATCCCAAAAGGTTAGATACCACATGTTTGCCTTAATTTAACCTATAATTTTTTTGTTTGTTTGTTTGTTTTTGAACTTGTCATTGATACTGTCTCAACCCATGTGTTTTGAAAAATTGAACTTGCATTATTTTTAACATATTGTTTACTCAATACTATGTCAATTAATTCCATTAAAAAAAATTCTAGATTTTTGCCTTTTGTTTAGAATGTTCAGAATCCATACTAATATAACTTTCGAAAACTCCTGGTTTTATATCCATCATGTTGCCATTTGTCTACCTATTATTTGTTCATGTTTCCTTTTCTTCTGTTTCCCTTTAAATTTTTAGCATTTGTTTTATCTGCCTGTCTACTTTCAGGGCTAAAATATGTAGGTTTGCCTCTAATATTAGTGTTCTCTTCACACACAATATCTTTCACAGGTAATGTGCAGTATGCTTCCATTTTCCTTCATACATATCTTTGTATTATCATTATCATTTATTTCACTCTACATTTTTCAAATTTGCCAAAACATTCCTATTATCTTTGTTCTAAATATTCAGCTATACTTTGTGAAAACTGAACAAAGGGTAAAAGGTTTTTATATCACCCACCTATTTGTCTTTTCAAATAAATATTCTGTGATTTTCTTCAAAAAAAAAAAAAAGCAATATACACACTGCAATTCTGGCTTCACCTATTTTCTGTTTTGTCATTTAAAATGTTTGAAAGGTTTCACAATGTTCCATTGCATTACTCTGCCATTACTTTTTTTGGCATAGAAACATTTATAGGTTGCTGAAGCATAAGGAAAGATTTTAAATTAGACAGTATAGTTAAGAAAACCAAAGCAACATTCTTTGAGTGCAATGAGTTGAGCCCCTGTGTGGGATGCTTCTTACCCAGCCCCCATCTGACATGTCTGGAAAGGTAAGGATAGGTAACCCAAGTAGTTGGACCTCTGCCACCCATGTGGGGAACCAGGATGGAGCTTCTGCTTTTGTAGCCATTTGTGGAGTGAAGCAGCTGATGAAAGATCCACCTATTCCTCTCAGTCCCTCTGTACCTCCCTCCTCTGTCACACTGCCTTTCAAATAAATAAATCTTAAAAATGGACCCCTACCCCAACCTCTGTGTGTGTGTGTCTGTGTTGTCTATGTTTGCCTGTCTTTCAAAGAAAGAATGAACTCTTTTAAAAAAAAATCACAAAAACTTGACTTAGTTAACAGCATCATGCGGTATACATACATGTTGCTTTTAGAAATAAACACAGTGTGTAGGTAAGCCATAACAGTGATCTAGTAGATAAAGCTGCTGCTTGCAGTGCTTGCCATGGCACCGGTTTGATTCCCAGCTGCTCCATGCCAAGTGCTTGAGAAAAGCAGCTGGATGTACCACCCACATGGGAGATCCAGTTGAAGGTGGGCTGTTATTGGTCTGGCACAACCCCAACTGTTGTGGCCGTGGGGAAGGAAGGTGGACGTTGAACCAACAGATTGAAGCTCCTTGTCTTTCTTTGTGCCTCTCTCTACTTCTCCATCTCTCCTGTAACACTTTCAAATAAATAATTTTTTTTTTAAATACACAACAAATAAGTTGCTGACATCAGTGATTTTACTTTTTCCTTTCTAAATCTTTGGGTTTTAAAGTTGTTCAAAGAACCTTTATACAAAATAGCATGTGAGGGCCCGGCGCGGTGGCGCAAGTGGTTAAAGGTCCTCGCCTTGCACGCCCGGGATCCCATATGGGCGCCGGTTCTAATCCCGGCAGCCCCGCTTCCCTTCCAGCTCCCTGCCTGTGGCCCGGGAAAGCAGTCGAGGACGGCCCAAAGCTTTGGGACCCTGCACCCGCGTGGGAGACCCGGAGGAGGCTCCTGGCTTCGGATCGGCATAGTATCGGCCCGTTGCGCTCACTTGGGGAGTGAATCATCGGACGGAAGATCTTCCTCTCTGTCTCTCCTCTCTGTATATCCGCCTTTCCAATGAAAAAATAATAAAAATAAATCTTTTAAAAAAAAATAGCATGTGAAAGCACAGGTATAATAATGTACTGAGAAAAGGAAAGTTATCGTAAATACAGATGGGTGATTGATGAGTTTTGTGCAGCAGTTCAGTTGCTATTTGGGATGCTTGCATTTCCATATTAGAGATCCTGGGTTTGGGTGCCACCTCTGCTTCTGATCCAGCTCCCTGCAGACGTGCTCATGGGGAGGTAGCAGGTGAAAGCTCAGTTGGCTGGTTCCCTGACACCTACTTGGGAGACTCAAGAGTTCTTGGCTTCTAGCTTCCATCTGATACACCTAGCAGCTAGCAAAATTGATCAGTGGGGCCCGGTGCAATGGCGCAGTGGTTAAGGTCCTCGCCTTGTGCGCCCGGGATCCCATATGGGCGCCGGTTCTGATCCCGGCGGCTCCGCTTCCTGTCCAGCTCCCTGCTTGTGGCCTGGGAGAGCAGTCAAGGACAGCCCAAAGCTTTGGGACCCTGCGCCCGTGTGGGAGACCTGGAGGAGGCTCCAGGCTCCTGGCTTCGGAGCGGCATAGCATCAGCCGTTGCGGCTCACTTGGGGAGTGAATCATCAGATGGAAGATCTTCCTCTCTGTCTCTCCTCTCTCTGTATATCCGCCTTTCCAATAAAAATAAATCTTTTTTTAAAAAAAAAATTGATCAGTAAATGGAAGATTCTGTGTGACTGAGTCTCTGCCTTTTAAATAGAGATCAGGGGACTTAGATTTCTGGTCCTCGGGCTTCCCCGTCTCCTGAGATCTTTGAGGAACTTCTTGGTGATGGACAAAGGGTCTTTTTGAACGCAGGTGAAAAGCAAGATTGCTTTAAAAGCAAAGTGAATCATTTTGAGAGGATGGAGCTTGGGAGAGGTCAAGGGTTTTTTTGGTTTTTTTGTTTGTTTGTTTCAACTGAAGTAGAAACAGTATGCAGGAGGAAGGCGTCTGCAAGGCAATGTGCATACACTGCTTGATGAGTAGAGTAGTTGAATGTAAAGGCATTGAAGAGGTGTCAGAGCAGTAGCATCATCTTAATTGTATCGGTTGTGTCATATTTTATTTCTTTTTGCTTTTTGTTAGGAAACACTGCACTAACTTATGCCTGTGCTGGAGGATTTGTTGATATTGTGAAAGTGCTACTTAATGAAGGTGCAAATATAGAAGATCATAATGAAAATGGACATACCCCCTTAATGGAAGCAGCCAGTGCAGGTCATGTGGAAGTTGCAAGAGTTCTTCTAGACCATGGTGCAGGCATCAACACTCACTCTAATGAATTCAAAGAAAGTGCTCTTACACTTGCATGCTATAAAGGTACTCATATATTTAAATATTTATTTTTCACAATAATTTTGAATTTTTGAGGATTGAGTATTTTGCTTAAATTAATATTTGTCTTACCTGTACTGTGAGAATTTTCTAGTTTAGAAGAGGTTTATTAAAAAGTCAATTTTGGCCTATATTTCCTATGATGTACTATCCTAGTGTATCCTTTTTTTTATTATTTTAATTCAAATTTATTCAGTTGCTTATGAAATTAGCACAGATTTAGAGGATTTCCATTATTTAATAACTTCTGTTCTGTATTATTTTTCAGACCTTTATTCAAAAAATAATATACACATACTAATAATACTAATACACACTTGATATAGAAAACCTGAAAAATACAGACTAGCACAAAGAATCTTTAAATGATATGTAATACCATCTAAAGCATGTGAATAGTATTTTAATGTATGTACTTTCCATATGTTAAATATATATAAACAGATACACATATAAGCATAGACTCATTTTAAATAAAAGACTCTAACACTCTAAAAACAAAACAAACACACCCAAACATTCTCTAGTAAAATAAACATGCTTTGCTTATCTTATTTAGTGATGTATTGTGAGCATTTTCCACATTTCAATAAATATTCTTGCCATACAACTTTCAGTGATCACATAGATTTTGACTATTTCAGTTAGGATAACATTTGGTTGAATATATCAAAAAACTAGTAATGATTTAAAAAGGAAAATCTAAGGGTAAGCCATTGCCATCAAAATTTCAGAATTCTATTTTTTTCTCCTTCACCATCCTGGTGTATGGTTTTTGTCTACAGGGTTACCTGTGAACCAGAGTGTTACCTAGGGCCACAGTAATCCATATTCTAGGAAAGAGTAGGAGGGTGAGGGCAAAGTAGGGAGTACCTTCCGATTTTAATAAACTGTTTAGGGAGTCCAGTAGTTCCATCTTAAATTTCCCACGTACATTTCATTGGCCACACATTTTGCTACAAGGGAGTGTGGGAAATGTGTCTTTTAGTTAGGCATGTAACCACCCAGATAAAACTGAAGTTCTGTTAGAGAAGAATAAGAGAATGGATATTGGGTAGGGTGCTAGCAGTCTCTGCCAGATGCAACAAATGGATGCACCGTAATTGCCTATTGTTGGACACTTGAATTGTTCCCAGTTTTTCACTATTATTAAAAACACTGTGATAACATCCTTTTGCAGACATTTTTGCCTAATCTCTGATTATTTCCTTAGGATAAATTCCTGGAAGTGGAATTGCTGGGTCAAAGGGTATGGACATTTTTAAGGCTTTTGATACATATTGCCAAATTGCCTTCTAGAAAGGTTGAGCCAATTTACACTCCCACCAGCAGTGTTTGATAGTGCCCCTTACCCCCCCTACACCCTCACCTACACTGGGTATTACCATTCTTTTTAATAATTTACCATTTTGATAGTTAAGAAAATGGTGTCATTTTATTTTGTATTTCTTTAATAGGGAGGTTTAATGTCTTTTTTTTTCATCAGTTTAATATTTATTTGCATTCCTTTTTTGAACTATCATTTCATATCCTTCACCCATTTTTCTACTGAAATGTTTCTTTCTTATTCATATTTGCTATTAAGGCTTTGATATATTAAATATATTAAGAGGAATAGTTTTTTTGTGCTTATTCAGTGCCATAGTGAATTTATGGTTATTTTAAAGCTGTTTTCTTGGAATATATGACCCAAAGATACTTTACTTGGCTTTCTGTTTGCTATCAGTGTTTTGATTTGATAGTTTATACAGCTTAAATCAAAAGAAAAGCAGCATAATTGCTTTATCTAACTTGAAATACATGCTTTGGACTACTTTTCTGTAAAGCTTAGACAGTAAGACCTTGATGTGAGCTGCTCATTGTCTTAGATTGGCTTTGTAGAAACTCATTGATTTATTGGATGCAAAATAAGTTCACATAAGTTTTTGTATAGACTTCTGAAAGAAAAAGATTCCCCATTTTAATACTTAAGCATTAAGTTGGTAGTCAATCCTTTAAAAAACATTTTTCTTTTAAAGGCCATTTGGATATGGTTCGCTTTCTTCTTGAAGCTGGTGCAGATCAAGAACACAAAACAGATGAGATGCACACTGCCTTAATGGAGGCTTGCATGGTAATTTTAAATTGCATTCACTTGAGATTTTATGGGAAAAAAGGGCATATATGCTAGACATGTGAGAATTATTTGTTGTTTGGTTTGAATGACTTTTTAAATTAGATCTTAGTTAATGCTTGAGTATCTGCTTTTGGAAGAGGACAGGAACAAGCAATCTTGAAGTAATATATTTGCTTTGATATTGTTGATAAGACTTGAATCTTGAGAGAGTGGACATATTTCTATTGTTTTATAAGTTTACATTGGAATCTTATACAAATAGATCTCAAAATATATTGAGTCATACTCTGTGAGTACATATAAAGCATGTAATTAGCTTTTTGAGAATAATTTGGGATTACATTTTAATGCATATCATTTGTGTCACTGAATGGTCACTTTTAACGCTGTCAATCCATAAGCCATTTTTGTTCTTCCTTTGGAAGCACATGAATATTATGCATTTAATGTGTAACTGTGAAAGGTACATCTAAAGAAATTCCAATTGTTCTGAGAAGGTTTTAAAACACAGTTATTTAATCATGAAACAATTGCCTTAGCAGTGTAAATGTTTTTGAAATTTGAATAAGTAAGCTCATTATTATCTATGTTACTTTCTATTTTATTGGGTACTCAAAACGTAATGGTTTAATATAGCAACCAGTTGTTATCAATATTCTGTGGATTGATGAGGTTGTGATTTTGCTGGTCTTTCTCAATGGTTAGTTTCTCATGCATTTGCCATCAAATTTCTAAGATGACTTAATTCATATGTCTGACACCTTGGATATCACTAGAAGACTGAGACCTCATACTGTAAATGTCGCTCCATCTGACTTCCTTAGGTTTCCTTTAAGTTAGCTGAATCCTAAATATTAACATTCCAGGAGAGAACTGGAACAGCGTCATTTCTGCCAAATTCTATATATTGAAACAGTGATGGAGAATCCCAGATTCCAGGCGGGGGATCAGATTCCTGATCTGAAGCCAGGAGCTTTTTCCAGGTCTCCCACAGGGGTTCAGGGACTCAAGGCTTTGGGTTATCCTCGACTGCTTTCCCAGGCCACAGGCAGGGAGCTGGATGGGAAATGTGGCAGCTGAGATATGAACCAGTAGCTATGTGAGATCCCAGCACCAACACTTTCAAGGGTAGGATTAGCTAATTGAGCCATCGAGAGAACCCAATGTGGTTTTTATTTATTTATTTTTTAATGCTTCTTCTAAATAACTGATTGTAGTGTAAAATAGAACCATGTTTTATTTAGTTAGTTAGTTAGTTATTGTTAGAACCATGGTTTTGTTTGTTTGTTTGTTTGTTTGTTTTATTACTTACATTGTATTATGTGACACAGTTTCATAGCCTCTGGGCAGGACTTTAGCTGCTAGGCTACTGCACTGGCCCCTGATCACAATATTTTGATTTCTAATTTTCTTTTTGGATTAAATTTTTTTTCTCTGAATCAGTTTTGCTAGTTTATGATTTTCTATGATTTTTTTTTTCATCTTGGTTAGCTGATTTCGGCATAAGATATAATCTTATTTCTTTGTTAATAATATTTTGTTTCTAATATTAGAAATTTGAGTCTTTTTTTGGTCTATTAATTTTGCCAACTTTGATCTTTTTGAAGAAATTGACTTTTTGTTTTAAAAATTTGTTAAATTTCAATTTGTTTCTTCCTTCTCTTCCTTTGCCAGTTTTTGAGATAGGCTATTAAATTACTGATATGAGACATTCACTCTTTTTCTAATGGTGTGGATTTAATGCTGTATTTTACCTTAGCAGTGCTTTAGCTATACTATACAAATTTTGACATTTTGTATTTAAAGATTTATTTTATTTGAAAGGCAGAGTTAGAGAGAGGAAAGACCAAGAATCTTCCATCCACTTGATTCACTCTCCATATGGTTGCAATGGTCAGAACTGGGCTAGGTCAAAGCTAGGAGCCAGGAGCTTCTTCCAGGTTTCCCCTGTGGTGCAGGAGCCCAAGGAGTCAGCTTGTGTTCTGCTGCTTTGCAGGCACATTAGCAGGAGCTTGATTTGAACCAGGATCCACATGGGATGCCAGTGTTGTAGACAGAGCTGGGCCGATGAGGAACCATAAGCTTGCTACAGGTCTTCCACGTGGGTACTGGGGCCTAAAGACTTGAGCCTTTCGCTGCTGCTCTTCAGGCCACAATCAGGGAGTTGGATAGGAAGTGGAGCAGCCAGCACTAGAACTGGTGCCCACAGGGATACTAACACTGCAAGGCAGAGGACTAGCCTGTTGCATTACCATGCTGGCTCCATGACTTAGGTTCTTTTAAATTTGGGGGGTTTGTTTGTGGGGAGGAGTAGATAAATATTCTATGGGTACTTGAAAACAATGCCTATTCTGTTGTTGAGTGCATTGTTTTTAATTAGACTGTTAAAAAAAATAATTAGACTCTGTTGGTTGCCATAGTGTTTATTCATCCTTACTGATATTTTGCTTAGTTTTTAATGGTTGAAAGAGAAGTATTGCAATCTCCAGTTGTAATTACAGATTTGTACATTTCTTCAGTTGCTTCACATGTTGAAGTTCTGTTTGGTGTATCTACCTTTTTAGAAGTACTGTGTATTTTGGTAAATTGGCCTTTTTTTTAATGCGAAGACTTCTGTCCTGGCAGTTTTCTCTGCTCTGAAGTCTTCGCTTGTAGCTGCTCCTTTTTAAAAATAAGTTTTGCTGAATACATGTGTTTATCCTTTCAGTGTGCCTGCATCATCATATTGCAGTGTCAGTTTCTTAAAGCTAGCATTATACTGGAGTTGTTATAGTGGAGTTTAAAACCCACTCCAGACTTTTGACATTTTGACATTTTGTTTCTAAGCATTTATTTATTTAAGAGGAAGGATTACAGAGAGGGAGAGAGATCTTCCATCCACTGATTCACTCTCCAAGTAGCTGAAACTGCTGGGGCTGGACCAGGCTGAAGCCAGGAACCCTGAGCTGCTTCTGGTCTCCCACATGGGTGCAGGGTCCCAAAAATCTTGTGCTGCTTTCTTTGGTGCATTAGGGAGCTGGATTAGGGGTGGAACAACCAAGATTCTAACTGGTGCCTTTATGGGATGCCAGTGCTGCAGATGGTGGCTTAACATGCTATGTCACAGCGTTGGCGCCACACGTTTTACGTTTAAAGTAGTTGTTAGGGTCTTTTAAAGTTCTTATTCAATATCCAGATGTATTTTTTTTCTTTGTTTTCTCTATTTCTTCCTTTTATTTAATGTGTTATTAATAGTTACCTTGATGCCATTTTCTACCAGCTCATGCATATTTGATTTACTTCTAGGATTGCTTGTATTATTTTTGTCTTAATTATATGTTTGTATTTCCTGCCTTTTAATATGCTTGCTATAGACTTACATTACTTGAAAGGCAGAGTGATACGGATTGATTGTCCAGATCGATGTCCAGGTTTGCTTCCCAAATGCATGCAATAGCTAGACCTAGGTCATTTGAAACCAGGAGCTAGGAATTCTGTCTGGGTCTCTTAGGTAGCATTGCAAGAACTGAGGTAGTTGGGTCAGTGTGTGCTGCCTCCCAGGGTGCACATTGGCAAGGAAACAAAGAATTTAGATGGGAATCATGGAGTAGCTGAAACTCCAGCTGGCACTCTTGGTATGGGATGTGGCTGTCCCAAGCAGTGGCTTAACCTGCATATTACAACACTCACTCTGATCTTTTAATTGGCTTATTTAGTCCATTTACATTTAAGATAATTACTGATATGATGTTTTAAAATTCAGATTTTACATAACATTTTTCCCTTTTTTTCATTTTTTATTTTATTTATTATATCATTATTAGTTACTTTGAGGTCCTCCTCTGCTAATGTCTATATATGATTCACTTGTACTATTGCTTTGATTATTTTATATTTTGATTTTTTAAGCCATTATTTCCTCTTTAATGAGCATAATTTTTTTTTTATTATTGTAAACCATACATTATAGTTGTAACCTTTTAGAAGCAGTGGATTATACTGTCTTCCTTGTAAAACTCTTGTATTTTGCTCTGGCAAGCAATTCTCAGGAGGTTGCACTGATCCTGATGAGGCTTGATTTCAGCTTTGTGCCTATTCCTATGGTGTGTTCCTTAGACCTTGGGGATGGCCTTCTACCCTCTCAGCTGAAAGCCTAGGTAACCAAGGTCTATCCGTTTTGGCTGTGCCTGAATTCCCAAGATCTCCAGCTTTTTAGTGGCTAATCTCTGATAGGCATCCTTGGAATACTAAATTCAGGAGCTCTCTAAGTATTTGAAAATAATTACTGAAGGTTCCTTCTCTGTGGTTTCTTTTGCTCTGGGAACCTGCCCACAGCCCCCAGGCCCCAAGTATCTTGGCTACCTCATATTCTGATCTTTTTCTATCCTTTTATCCCAGCAAATGTTCATTATATGTAGGCTCTATTTCCCATGACCACAGTTTGGAAGATACCCACAGGAAGTAAGTTGGAATGAATATAGGCTTCATTTCTTGTGCTCCTTCTTTTTCAGTGATTATAGCCCAAGCTCGTTTGGTGTCCAGTACCCCATGTGTATTATCAAAAGGCTATGTGGTTCCAAAAACTTTTGAATCAAAATAAGCTTACATTTTAATACCATTTTTCATGATTTTTTTTTGACATATCCTCCTCTCGTGTATTTCTAGTTTGTGGTAGGAGAGTAAATGTAATTCCTGCTACCTCTCCATAGGTAAGAACAGCCATACATTTTTAAAATACTATTTTCTTTTAAAAAGATTTTCTTTTATTTATTTGAAAGGCAGAGTTACAGAGAGGTGACTTTATTTTTACATCTCTGTAATAGCCTTTCCTCATTGCAGCACACTGTTGTTATGGAAAATATAAAATAGTTTGTATTCTCAGGGGTTTATCTTGGTGACAAAATTTCAAGTGGTATTGACAAAATTTTTTTTTTCTGTCAGACATTTCTTTCTAAAATAGATCTATTACATTCTCTTTACTGGAATATGCCACCTGAGTTTGAGTGTGATTGAGTATTTGACCTGGCAGTAGTATCAACTAATTAGAGGTATCATATAGATTTAATGCTTTCTTCAAACTATACGTAAATTAAGAATTAGAATTGGAAGTCTCCAAGATTGATTCTTGAAAGATTTTGGAATTGCTCAAAAGTAAATTAAAGTGATATAATTTAAAGTGTTCATAGATTTTTGATAAGGCTTAGATGAGCATAATAAATATTCCATATAAGCTCAGTCTTACCTGTTTTCTTTCTTCATTTGTGTTTTAAATTTCTTCTTCCACTTGAAACAAAGCATGTCTCCTTTTTGATTTACTTCTAAAAATCTGCAGGATGGACATGTTGAAGTGGCACGTTTGCTTTTGGATAGTGGTGCTCAAGTGAACATGCCTGCAGATTCGTTTGAGTCTCCATTGACCTTAGCTGCCTGTGGAGGACATGTTGAATTGGCAGCTCTGCTTATTGAGAGGGGAGCAAATCTTGAAGAAGTCAATGATGAAGGTTACACTCCCTTGATGGAAGCTGCTCGAGAAGGACATGAAGAGATGGTGGCGTTGCTCTTAGCACAAGGTAAAGCAGTTTTATTGTTTGGGGGGATAAAAACAGTTTCCGTCAAATTTATTTTTTGGTAGTATCTAGCTTATTAGAGCTAGAGTTGTTTTTGGCATTGATGACAAAACCAATTCTGAATACCCTGGAAAGAGCCACAGAAACAGAAAAGATAGAAATAATACAAGTCAGGGCACTAGTATCTTTAGAAGTCTCTTGTGGTTATTTTTATTTATTTCTGTTCTTTTTTAAGGAGCAAATATTAATGCCCAGACAGAAGAAACTCAAGAAACTGCTCTTACCTTGGCTTGCTGTGGAGGGTTTTCTGAAGTTGCAGACTTCCTGATTAAGGCAGGGGCTGATATAGAACTTGGCTGCTCCACACCTCTCATGGAAGCTTCTCAGGAGGGACACCTGGAGTTGGTTAAATATTTGCTGACTGCTGGTATGTGGCTTTAAAATACCTTATAGGACAAAAAGACAATACACATAATACTTAACTTATTTATGGAATGTAAAAAAGGTGAACTCATGGAAGTAGAGATTGGAATGGTGCGTGCCAGGGTCTCAGGGCAAAACAAGAGTGTAGGGGGTAGATGTGTGGAAGGCGAGGTGCTGGTAAGAGAATAGTTTTTCAATTAGGAGAAAAAAATATGAGAGATCTGGTGCATAGCATGGTAACTATAGGTAACATTAAATGTGTATTTCAGAGTTGCTAAAACGGATGCTATGTTCTACTTTAGAATGTCTCTGTTCAACTCCTGGTACCACTTTCAGGTTCAGCTTCCTGGTGGTGCACACTGTTGGAGGTTGTGGATGATGATTTGAATCCTTGGGCCCTACCATCCATGTAGGAGAGCCAGGTCGAATTCTGGGCTGTCAAGTTTTAGCATGGCTGAGCCCTAGCCATGAGTATCTGGGGGAGTGAATTGGTAGATGGAAGATGAATATTAGAACTGTTTAGATGAGATGAAATTTGTTACCTTTGTATAATTTTTTTTAATTTTTAAGAAAAACTTTACCTATTTACTTATTTCAAAAGGCAGCATAGAGAAGAAAGGGAAAGCCTGGCATTGGGGAGTAAAGTAGGAGAGGGAGGGGTACAGCTTGCACTCATTCACTCCCCAGATAGCCTCTATAGCCAAGGCTGGGCCAGGCCAAAGCCAGGAGCCAAGAACTCCATCTGTTTCCCACATAAATGGGCAGGGATCCCCAGCTATTTGGGCCTTCCCAGGCACATTAGCATGATGTTGTATCAGAAGTGAAGTGGCCAAGGCTCAAACATCCAATATGGATGCTGGCATTGCAGGCTGCTGCACCACTGTGTTGGCCCCAGTTGGAAAACATCTGCTTATTCCTCTGTGTTTCAGACAGTGAAAAAAAAAAATAGTAATAATGATAAGGAAGTGAAGTGAGACGTATGATAATTATGTTGATTAGGCTGATTTAATCGATGTGCGGTAGATACTTATTTTGTGATATCACACTGTATTCCTTAGACATGTGAGAAGTCTTTATACAGCTTACGAAATACAAAAAGATAAAGCAGGATGTACTTCTTGCAAGGATTTAGCCACTGAACTATTGTGCCAGGCCCTGTAGTGTTTTAACATCGTTTTAACATTTAGCTTTTTCACCTTTACAGAAGTTAGAAGATAGCTGTATAATTTAGCTATTCCTAAATCTCTAAAAATCATCCTTGTATTTTTAATACTTGTTCATTTCAATTGAAAGAATTACAGAGCAAGAGGGAGAGGCACAGTTAACTTACATCTACTAGTTTGCTCTCCAAATGCTTCAGTTGTCAGGGCCAGACTGATGTTATGAGCTAGGAATTCCCATCACATAGCTATTTGGGTGACAGGAACTTAAGTACTAGCGCCATCATCTGCTACCTCCCAGTCACTACAGCAGGAACCTAGAGAGGAAGAGTAGATGGGATCCAGGTACTTAGACACGGGACACCAGTGTCCTAAACAAGCCCTGCTGTACCATCATGCCTGTCTGTCCTTTCAAAAAAGTTAATTTTAAGAAAGATTTTTTTTAAAAAAAAAAAGAAAGATTTTAAGAATTTTTTTAGTATTGCTAATGTTTTCTTAGTGACTATAAATTTCTCATTCAGTTGTCTCCATTAATGGTGTTACTTCAGGGAGAGAGAAAGTAGTTTTTTTGATTAATCTTTGTTATTAAGAAGGGAAATGGGGGACCTGGCACAGTAGCCTAGTGTCTAAAGTCCTCACTTTGCATGCATCAGGATCCCATATGAGCGCAGTCCTGCAGCCCTGCTTTCCATCCAGCTCCCTGCTTGTGGCCTGGGAAAGCAGCTGGGAACAGCCCAAAGCCTTGGGATGCTGCACCTGTGTGGGAGACCTGGAGGAAGTTCCTGGCTCCTGGCTTTGGATCGGCTCAGCACCAGTCATTGCTGTCACTTAGGGAGTGAATTATATGATGGAAAATCTTCCTCTCTGTCTCTTCTCTGCTCTATATATCTCTGACTTTGCAATAAAAATAAATAAATTTTTTAAAAGAAACATATTTAAGCAAAACTTAGAATACTTAAAATGCAGTATCATATTTTCACATTTAGATTTCTTCAGTTTTTACCAGATTGTAAAATTGAAGTAATATAGTTTAACAGTTCACAAAATAAATGTATGATTTTTTTTTTTTGCTAGGTGCTAATGTGCATGCTACAACAGCAACAGGAGACACAGCCTTAACCTATGCTTGTGAAAATGGACATACAGATGTTGCAGATGTTTTACTTCAAGCAGGGGCTGATTTAGTAAGATACTTTAAATATTTTTGTATAAATGTTAATATATTCATCACTGACAATACATCAGTGGACGTCATTAGCTTGCATATTTTATATAAAATAACTTTAGAAAGCTTGGCTCTTTGTCTCAGTTGCATATTGTTAAACATATTTGAAAATACTTAGTGTTTATATTTATGATTTATGCACAACATTCCATCTAGTTGCACTTAACTGTTAAATTTTTAACTTGTTTTTCATTCTTTGCCATTGTAAGCACTGTTGGATTTAATAACTTTGTGTCTGTTTTTTTTTTAATTATTTCACATTGATTTAAAATTTTAAAAATATATTTCCTATTTCGTGCTTTTGCTGTCTATTGAAAGATGTTTCCATTTTATAACTTCAAGTTGTATTATAGGTTAGAAGAAAGAAAAATCCTTTATGAAAAGCAGGGCAGCATCAGAGTAATGCAAACAGATCAATCTTTTGTCTGATAGAAAATTACCAATGATTTTTATTAGCCTTTCCTTTCAAGGCAATACTTCTTTCTTGTCCTCCAATCTTTGCTGCCATTTCTTAGTGCCTGTTTTGAGCTGTAGTATTTTCTCCACTGGTTTTCAGATAGTAGACTATCCATCCCCGCTGCGTGGAGTGGGGATAGATTTTACTCCTGGTATTGTAAATTGTGTTGTTGAGGTTTAGATTGCTGATTCTTAAAATGTGCTTTTCTGTGTGATTGTAAATGAAATTAAAAAGCTTCTGTTTGCATTTCTTTAAAATATTCTGTACCAGAATGAGATAGGATATTATTATTATTTATTTATTTATTTATTTATTTATTTATTATTATTTAGAAGCATTTTATGTCACAATTTGGTTTTGTTATTTCCTGGGTTGAAACTGAGAAGTTTTAGGACCTTTTTTCTGAGAGTATGGTAGACATAATTTAAAAATTGATTTAAAAAGAACATTAAGATTTTTCTTAGTTACTGCTTTTTAAAAATCGGTAGCCAAAACTCATGATAGATTTCAGCATTTTCAAGCAGGTCTTCAAAATTTTTGCATGTTCTCATTTCATATTTAAAACATTCATTTGAAACTTCATTTTATCTAGTTTAAAATGTTTTAAAATTTAAAATATCTGTTTCTACTTAGCACATTGAATAAATTTTATATATTAGAGAATAATGGGAAATAGGTTTTAATGTGGTTCATAATATTATCTAACTTCTAAAAATAGTAAGTTTGAATAATAAAATTGTATTAATTAAAACTTTTGGACTAGTTTAGTATTCTTAATAAGGACACTATAAATGTTATTTTTGAAAATTAAAAAAAAAATTAAATGAAATATAAACTTGCCCATTAATTCCAGAGTTATTTGAAAGGTCTTCCTCATCAACATGCTGGATCATTTTAACTATTGTCTCAATATATAGCTTTAAACAAATGAGTTAATCCATGTCTTCCTGTTATGTGCACTTACTGTTATTACAACAATGGGAATCACTGTATATTGAAATAAAAGTTATTCCTTTTCATATATTTTTCTGCCTAGCCTTTGTTTACCAGGCCCAGGATATTTTGTTTTGTTTTTTAAAGAGTTTAGTGTAATTATAGGTATAATATGGCATAAGCCAGTTGCAATAAAGTTCTTATTAAAGACATTTCTACATTTGTAATGCATATTAAGATTTTATTTTACTAATTTTTTTTTTTTTTGCTTTTTTTGAGTTAGAGAAATCTTTGATCTGCTAGTTCACTTCCAAAATGGCAACAGTGGCTAAAACTGGGCCAAGCTAAAGCTAGGAGCCTTGACCTGCATGTGGTTCTCCCATGTTGGGTGGCAGGGTCCAAATAATTGGACTATGTTCTGCTGCTGTCTGAGGCACAATAGCAGAGAGCTGGATCAAAAGTGGAGGAGCTGGAAGTTAAATTGATGCTCACATGGGAGGCTGGCATTGCATGCGGCAGTTTAATTTGCTGAACTGCTGGGCTGGCCCCAGTACATGCAGTATAAAGGAAATATTTCTTTAGAAGGTCTTTGGAAACTACTTACTCATACTTCTCTGAGAAGAATTTTCTCAGTGTCCTTATAAAATTATTACTGAACTACTTGAGCAGAAATAGCAAATAAACGCCACTTTAAAATTGAAATTGATCCACTCCCTTAGTATTTTTCAGTCACTCCTCTGGTGTCCTGTGTTACTCTAATGATTACTGATCAGTTACTAATCTTTAGAATTTTAGTGCTACATACTTGTAATTTTTATAGTTTACTTCAGTCAAAGCAATTGTAGCTTGAGTTATTTACCACAGTCATTTCATTAGTTCCTTTATTATTAAAAGTTAATGTTCTAGGTAGAGAACTTGATTTGATATGCTAACTGTTCAACAGTATAATTCGGGTTATAAAGCACTGTTCTGCTTTGTTTTTCTGCTTTGTTCTTTTACTTGCTTTTAATTTTGACCTACTTTGATGTTCTTATTTTCCTATTCCACATCCAACAATTTTGTTTTCCACTAAATACAGCTTGTTGATGAAATATGACTCATCCTGGCAGGGTTTCAAAAGCCCTAATGATAGCATGAATAGTCATTTTTGTTTAGATGGCAGCATTATGTTGACTAACATGTTAGAGGTGATTTCAGTATTAAAACTTTGATATATTTGTTAAGATAGAAGAAGTATTTGTCATCTGTAGAATTTGCTTCACATGTATTTGTCAATAAAGCTGAAGTTGGAGTGGAAGAAAAAGCAATATTAAAATCAGGTAAATAAATATTCCTTCCTTGCTTACAGTTCCTTGGCCTGTCTTTCATTTCTAAATGAATATTACAGTAGTTTTGATCAGTAGATTCTGAACTCAGAATATTTCCCTAATAAACAGCTAAAATAGATATAAGACAAGGTAAATGCATTCCAGTTATGTATTCACATAAAGAGGTTTTGTGTTCTAGTTTACCATTTTATAGCTCTGCATTACTATGTAAAAACAAATCTACTAAAAGGAGGAAATGCTTGTCAAAAGGTAATTCTATATCTGATAGCAAACTTAATGAATAACAAAAAGTACACTTTAGAAAGCACTGCCACTGAAAATTAGAAAAGGGACCTAATTTTTCACGTGGCTATCAAATCACTGATTTGTAAGCAAAACTTGCCTCACTATTTTGATCTGTAAAATTAAATGTTATTTTCTGAACTATTTTATCAAGGTCATGTAAATATTATTAATTTAAGATTTGGAAGGGAAACAGCATGGAGTAGCAATAAGTGCCTTTTTTGGTTCTGGAATGTTTTAGAAAAAAAAATTATTTATCTGAAAGACAGAGTTACAGAGAAGTAGAGAGATTTTCCATCTGCTGATTTACTTTCCAAATGGCTACAATGACTAGGAATGAGCTAGGCCAAAAGAAGGAGCCAGAAGCTTCATCCAGGTCTCCCAGATGGATGCACAGTCCAAGGTCTTGGGGCCATCTTGGCAGTTTTCCCAGACACACTATCAGCAGACAGAAGGTCAACCAGCACCCATATTTGCAAGTGCAGGATGTGCCCCAGCACCCATATGTGCAAGTGGTGTCTTTTTCTGCTGTGTTTGGGCACCACCCTTCAAAAACTGGATTCTAATTTTGGCTCTGCTGGGTGTTCCTGAGAATATTCTTTAAATTCTTTAGTCTTATTTTTCTTTCCCCTTCTTTTTCCTTTGTTAATAAGGACTTTGGAACATTTTCTTTAATGACATAGTTAGATCCAAGTCTGTAATTTCTGTGAGAACAGGTTAATCCAACTACCTGTTTGGGATTATTAAGTGTATGAGATGATTTTGAGTGCTTTGTTAGCTAAGAGATGAGTAAAGTGCCATGATATCTCAAGGAAAATTAATCTTTAAGATATAAATTAATATAATGAAGCTAAGTATTAACATCAATTTTCCCCTTCAAATCTTTGTACTTAGCTATATGATGAATTCCCCAAATACCTTATTTTAGGGATTATTATAATGAACTGTTAACAGATTCAGGATTCAGGATTTTAAGTTTAATTGAAATGTGGTGGGGCAGAAAGAAAAAGAGTGCATGTAATAATTAGATCTTACAACTACTGGTTTACTCTCCATATACTCATAAACATGATTAGATTGCTTCTCCTTTCATTTCTGGAATTATTTGATTTTTATTTTCTAATCTGTAAATATAGTCTCTTAGTTTACTTTATCACTGTTCCCAAAGGACCGGCAAAATTGAAAACAGAAATAACATTAGTGTTATTATCATTTATCATTATATTATTATAGGAGTGATTGATGGGAAGAATGATAGCCCTGGCACTTTCCACCCAGGGAAGCAGTGTTCACAAAACAACTTGGATTCATACTTAATAAAAAACACATCTTTAAGTCAATGAATATACTTCAGTATTTGTACTGAGTTCTGTTGCAGTCTCCTCTGACATCCCATAGCGATTGGTTCCAACCATTGACACAAGACAGTCAGTGTAGCAATAACCCGTCATAGACAATCATGGTTGAAATGCAAGCTGGCCAATATTTGCAACAGATACCGCTGGCATTAGAATGGTTAAGCCTGACAGGTTGGAAGACTGACTCTGCAGGGGGAAACAGACCTGGTCACTGCAAGGCAGGACTGGGACAAACACAAACCCCAGAAGAGCAAGCATTCAGCCAGTGGAAGCCCAAGTTTCACACCACCAGTTGTTTACCTTTACATATATATATAATATTTCCACATTACATTTAAGTAGATTCATTGCTTACCTTCATAATCTTTCATTTATAGCTTCTTAATTCCTGAGTTTCTTCATTTGACTCATCTTTTGGCTGACTAATGTTGGTATTTTGAGTTTTCTATTCTCAAAAAAATTTATAGGTATTTGCATTTTTGAAAATACTAGATGTTTTGTTTATTAGTAAATAATCCTGTATAAAATTATTGTATCACTTGTTTTCTCAATTCTAAATCCCCAATATATGCAAAGCAACAAAAAATCCTTTCATTATACTTAAATATCTGTGATTTTTCAGAATATGGTTAGTTTTTCCAGGAAAAGAGTGAACGTTTTCTCTGAAGATTTTAAGTCATCAGTTTATTTAAAAAGAGAGAGAGAGAGAGAGACATTTATTTTCATTGTATTTGAAAGGCAGAGAATGAGAGACCGCAGAAATCTTCCTTCTCTGGGTTCACTCACCAGATGCCTGTGTCATCCTGGACTAAATCCAGGAGCCCAGAACTCAATGTGGATCCCTGTCTTACTCGGAAGACCTGGATGGAGTTTAGATTCCTGGCTTCAGCCAGGTCAGAGCCTTGGCCATTATGGCTATTTGGGGAGTGAAATGAGCAGGTGGAACATCTCTGTTTCTTTGCCTCTTAAATAGAAAAATCTTTTGTAAAAATGTAAGCAATAAGTTTTAATCTTATAGAGCTAGTTTTCTGTTTCCAGTTAACACACCATTTTCTAATCCATGGAACATTTATAAAAATTATACATATTTTATGCCACCAAAAAGAAAACCTAAGAAATCCTGAAACCCCTATTCATTTGAGCTACATTCTCTGATCTGTTGCTTTAAAATTACAAGTCAATTGTAGCATATTCTTTTAATCTGACACATTTAGAAACTTAATAAAAATAATTTGTGGGATTAATGGTAATCCCAGTTTAAAAAAGAAACAAAATGGACACCGAATTATTATAAAAATGCTACACATAATACTTGTCGGGGAGATTATAACTAAAGAGGTTCTTAAGTGGAAAAATTTATAATTTTACACATTAAAAAGAAAAAAGTGAAGCTGTTAATAACAGCACAGCAAAGGAAAGTTATACAGATAAAAGGATAAGTTAATTCAATAGAAATTAGCAGAAAAAGGAGGGGTTGAAAAATAAGAATTGGGGCTGGCACTGTAGTGTAGCTGCTAAAACTGCTATCTATGGCACCATCAGTTCGAGTCCTAGCTGCTCCGCTTCTGATCCACCTCCCTGCTAATGCACCTGGGAAGGCACTGGAAGATGGCCTGAGTGCTTGGGCCCCTGCACCCTTGTGGGAGACCTGGAAGAAGCTTCTGGCTCCCGGCTTCAGATCAGCCAAGCACCAGTCATTGTGACTAGTTGGAGAGTGAACCAGTTCATGGAAAATCTCTCTGTCTCTGTCTTTCTCTCTAAATCTGCCTTTCAAATAAATCTTAAAAAGAAATTAAGGGTTAACAGTAACAAGCTGACTTTTAGGGACAGGCATTGTGAGGTAATGAGTTAGGTTACCACTTGGGAAACCTGTGTCCCTTGTTTGAGCACGTGTTCGAATCTCAGGCACTCTGGGCTTCTGCTAGCACAGCTGGGAAACAACAGATGGTGGCCGGCATATGTGAGTCCCCAGAATCCTCATGAGTGATTTAGATGGATTTCTAGGCCTTCTGGCTATTGATGGCTTTTGGGAGCTCAAACCAGCTAATAAAACATTGGTTTCTTCCTCTCTTGTCATTCTGTCTTCCAAATAAATAAGCTTTAAAAATGATGTTATTAGAGAAAAGGACACAAACAATCTGTACATTAAAGCTTTAATGTAGAAGAAATCTTTAAAGTTCAAAATCATGTCCACTCAATAAATTTGAAAACTCGAGTGAATTCTTTTTTTTCTATAAATATATAAATTACCAAGTTTATAATAAGAATCTCAACAAAGCATTAACTATACTACAAATCAGATTCATAGTTTAAAATTACTCATCATTAAAGGTAAGGAGTACAGATAAAAATATAGATGAATTTTCACCAAATATATAAGAAATGGTTAATTTTTGTATTCCCCAAAACACAGAAAAAACATTCAACTGCCCATTTTCTCAGTTTATAGCCCTGGACAGTTACTTGATGTGTTTTCAAAGGAAAATATTGGTTCACATCCTGAAATTGTGTTGGTCTTGATATTATGCAAATTGAACAAATACTGTATGAAAAACCCCAATACTTCTAAGTAATATACACAAAAGAAGGCTTTAATCATCAGATATTTTGGGAAAGTTATTTGTGGTGGGATATACATTTTTATTTTTAGGACTTAAAATATGAAGTTGTGGCATTGTCTTTACCATTTTCCCAAACATTACTCGAAACTAAAGGAATGAATAGGCAAGAAAATAGTAAGTGACCTTCACTCCTTTATTTCAGGAATTTTGCTGGTATGTTGAATTTTGAAACTTGGTGAGAAACTTGACACTGTGTTCTTTAACAGTTATGATAGTATTTCAAACAATTAAAAGTTGCTTTAAAAAGTTAGCTCTAAGGCAGAGCCTTCAAAACCTTTTGTGTTTGCCATAGTTCATAGGCCCTGGTCCTAGTGATAGGTGTTAATGCCAGGTTGAAGAGAAAGAAAAAAATAAAAGGTGGCATCCATATTTCCTAAATCATGTTCTAATAATTTATTATCATTTACACATAATGTTTAACTCGAGTTCAGCTACTATTGATTTCTTGTTTAACTTTTCTTTCTTTTGTTTACTAGTAGAAAGTAAAAACTTCAAACCTCAGTACTGTACTGTGAGGGAAGATTTGAGAGATGAATTATGCTTAGGTTCCTGCTTGGTAAACAATATTCAGTCACTTTCTTGTTTTAGGAATTAAGTGTTAAATGAGTGCAAAAATGGATATGATTGCCTTCTAGAACTTACTGTTACAGTGGAAAAAATACATTAAGTAAATACATAAAGTCATGATTGCAACATATAAAAGAGATATTCCTGGAACTTCGATTCAGTAAGACTGATCTAATCATTTGACTTTAGAACTATAGTTAAAAACAGTTTAGTAGGGATGCGTTACACAGGGGGGAAAAAAAAGCCAGCATAAAGTGGGGCAGCAGGTAGCAGATGGGTTGAGAATAACAAGTTGCTAAAAGGGTAGTTTAGTTCCAGGCAATGGTTGATTATGATAGTTTGGAAATAAAGTTGGGTGAAAAAACAGAACAAAGAATTTTTTTAGGTCTTTCTGACTAAGGTCTCAGTGTATATCCCACTTTGAAATAAATTGCCAGAAGGTTAGATTTGTCTCAATTTAAATGTAAGCTCAAAATCTGTTCCAACACATCTATTTTTATATATTATTTACTGTTATTCATTCTGCTGCAACTTAGAGTTAATAGATTTTTGTCTAATGTAACAATTAGAAGTAAAAATATGACCTAATTTTTGTAAACAGTTGAACACTGTGCTATCAAGATTTAAAATAAGAATACTGCTTTTAGGGAGAGTTCCTGTCACTGTGCTGCAGTTTAAAGTCCCCATTAGATTAGTATTCTGTTTTTATTATAATTTTTCCTGAATTACAGATAAGAAATAGTTATGAAAATATACTAAATTGTATTTGTTGACAACGCACCTGTTTATTTTAAGAAACATGTAAGTTTCTCTTGAATAACATTTTGTGATTTAGACCACAGAATTTAAAGGGAAAGTCCTTTGTTAAGTCCAGGTTTATCCTCAGCTGGAAGTCCCAGGAATAGCCAGAAAACAATAATTCTGATCCTAGCCAGTGCAGACTAGTGGCTGTAATGGACCAGAATGACCAGCAAGAGAGAACAACTGTTTTTAAATTGACTGTGGAAATCAAAGGGGTTTTTTTTTTTACTTAATTAAAAGAATAGAACGAATTAAAGCCTTATGTAACCACTATTCATCAAATTTTCTTGATAACAAGACAGAAATTCATGTTGGTTTACATAGTGAAAGAAAAACTAGATGAGAGAACTTTTCATAGCAGTGAAATATCAGCTAGATTTTAACATCTATTATGAATGCAACAAGAGTTCACAATTGTCCCAGCTGACAGTTCTACTCATTTCAGTGTTTTTTTGATATGAGTCTTGATAAGAGACTGTTTCATCATCCATTCCTCTTGCTGGCAAACCTCAAGAAAAAATAAAAACTTCTGCTGTTGTAAGACTGCATTTTACCGTTGAATATGCCAATTGATACATATTTTTCTTTAACACCTAAAATACCATAGTGTTTTCAATTTTCAATCTGTTGGCAGAGCTTTTTTTGGCTTCTGATACTGGATCTCAAGTCTAATCATCAGGATTAAGTTTCCTTTTTTTTTTTTTTTGTAGTTCTGAAAAATAGGGAAATATCTTTTTAGCCTTCAAGTTGGAAATACACAATCTTCTACTTCTGTTGAGAAGTAGACAAAACATTAGTGTATTATCTTAACTAGTTATTGTTTGGTGTGCAAACCAGAACCTGTTCATAAAAGGCATACCATGTCCTGTGACTGAAATGTATCCCGGATTGGAAGAGTTAAGATAGGTAGCAGAAGTGGTTAAAAGTTTGTTGCTTTTCCTATCAAAAGTGCTATTTCCATTGTCTCTTATGGATGTTTTTTCTGTTTCCTTAACAGGAGCATGAATCTGAAGGTGGACGGACCCCTTTGATGAAAGCTGCACGAGCTGGTCATTTGTGTACTGTGCAGTTTCTAATTAGCAAAGGTAAATAAAATACAGTTCATCATTTCTCAGAGGCTATGATTTCTAGAAAAAAAAAAAAGAAAAATCCTAAACAGTTGTATTTTGTTTTAATGCTCCTTTATGTAAAACTATTCTACTCCAATGTTTTGTTGGTTTAGTCAATTAATCATAGAATCTGTGAGGTAAGGAAATTTTATTAAGTTTTTCAGTTTTAAGTTTCTGTCAACAAAATAGCAGGTGATTGCACCCTAAAATTGGGAATGAAATATAAAATGTCTAGCTGGGCCTAAGTAAATGTTCAACAATTAACGATATGTTTCTTTGGGATGTGGAGGTGAGAAGCACAGAGAAAGTCTGCTATGGTGATACTTATGGTACAGCTGAGTGCTCTGTCTATTTTTATATTCCTCTAAAAAACAAGTAATAAAAAATATGTATTTAGCAGATAAATTCAGTTGATATATGAAGAATTAGTTGAGTCTGTTTACTATAGAAAAGGGAAATAAAACTATGATGCAGCATGGGTGGTGGCTTTATCTGTTATGACACAGTGCCAGCCCCCTTTTTAAACTCTCCACTGCCTCTTTACTACAGAGGACACCTAATCTAAACATACCCAACTGCAGACCTGCTAAGAATACAATCAGGCTTGTCTGGAATATAAACACATTGGTTATAATCTTTCTAAATTTATGGTAATTGCTAAATAATACCACCATCTTTTATTACTGTTAACAATTTAAAAAATAATCTCATGTTGCTTGTATAACAATGTTCTTTGCTGTGTCCTGTACTTCACAAAATGTACCCTTTGGAAGTTAGGATTAGGTACATCTGAGTGTTTTCTGAAAGTTAAATAATTTAAATAATTTAAAGAGTTATTTTGCCTATTGCCTTATTTTTCCATTACACAAATCAATCTGAAATTAGTGAAGATGAAGGAATGAGTATTCATATAATGTTAATTATCTAGATGAAAATTTTAAAATTATAGCAGGTAGCAGTACTGAAAATCAATTCCTCTTCCATGGGTCAGAAATCATTTATCAAAACAGAAAGAACAGATTGTACATTAATTGTTTTCCAGATAATATTGTGCAAAGCTATTGAACAACTTGCTAAATAGCCTCTCAGATTATTTAATTGGATAATCCTCTGTCTTCTGTGCATATTCATGTCCCTCTGTCTTTTAAAATACATAACGTATAAAGAATTATGTATCTCTTAAATACTGGTTTTGAAGACATATTGTCTCTATTTTCAGATATGGGTATATGGCACTTTTTTAAGTCAAAAATTCCTTTGAAGCATTTTAAAAGTTACCTACCATTGTGTTATTTGATACTTATGTTAACCTGGATATGTTTTACTTAGTCTTCTACATTTTTCCATTTTAAAAGTGATAGTGAATGGATGAACTACAACTGCCTGCAACAATATGGATGAATCTCACAAATATAATATTGAGTGAAGGAAGCCAATACAAAAAAGTACATTGTATGATTTCATTCATATAAAATTCAAACATTAAAACCAATTTGAATGCCAGGGTAATAGTTCCTCTGGGGGGTGGTAGTAACTGAAAGGGGGCACCAGATGGAACTTTTGGGATGTGGATGCTATTCATGCCTTAATCTGGGTGCTAGTTTCACAGGTGTGTTTACTTTATGAAAAATTTTTGAATTATAACCTTATGATTCATGTACTCTCATAATCTGTTATACTTCTAGTACATCTTTAAAATGATAGTGGGAACTGGCTTGATTTCACCTTTTGCTTAAGATTGTTGTTTATTTTTTCTTTAAAGGTGCCAATGTGAATCGGGCTACAACCAATAATGATCATACCGTCGTGTCGTTGGCATGTGCAGGAGGCCACCTGGCAGTCGTTGAGCTGCTGTTGGCGCATGGGGCTGACCCTACTCATCGACTCAAGGTATTCTACTGTAAAATAAGTAATATATGTTATTATGGAAACATATGGTGCTTACAACTCAAATGTTTGATTTATGGAAGCTGCTAAGAAACTAAATTTGTATATAAATTAAGTTATAAGAAGAAATTATAAAGAGTTAATTATGGTGTCAAACTTTCCTCAGGATGGCTCTACAATGCTCATTGAAGCAGCAAAGGGTGGTCACACCAATGTTGTTTCTTACCTGTTGGATTATCCAAATAATGTTTTGTCAGTTCCTACTCCAGATGTGTCTCAGCTTACCTCACCTTCTCAAGATCAATCTCAGGTAAAGTAAAATAGAGCTTATTTATTAAGATTTATTCAGGATTTATTCATTGAGTGTTTATTGTCTCAATTACTCAGAATAGGGTTTTCAGACACCATTTAATGTGAAACTAAAGTATAAGTAATCCAAGTCATTATCTTACTACAAGTAGGTTTGTACAAGTAGGTTCTTCTTTTTTTTTAATTAGATTTTTTAATGTCATCTTGAGCCAAGAGAATTTTCCCCTCAATATCTCCCAGGAGAGTTTTAAGTATCTTTGCTTCATGATGCTGACTTCTGTCCAACCAAGAAAGTACACTTACCCAGGATGCATGCTCCAAAAATTTGTTGAAGTATCTAAAATGATGTAGAGTTCACCAAGAGTATTAAATTTTCTTTTCCAAAGAATTATGGTATACCCTAATTCAGGAAATGTGTTGGGTCACCCATGTAAAATGAACAAGAGTAAGTTGGCAAGTAAATACCAACTGTTTGACTTGTACTCTAAGGTATAATTGGGACCAACAAAGATCAAGATTTTTAGCAAAAGTGTAAATTAATTCCATTTAGCCTAATGTATTCACTGCTTATAGATTGATTAAGTCGGCCTGGTAAATATTTTCAGAAATTATTTCTTGCTTTTGTAAACCTTAAGGAATAAAATAAATATAGTGGTATATGATGAAAATGAAAAACAGTGCCACTGTTTTATTTGTGAGTCTTTGTTTTCTTCATCTGACATGGTTTTTTCTGGGTTGACTTTTTAGGTTCCACGTGTACCAATGCATACACTTGCCATGGTTGTACCTCCACAGGAACCTGACAGAACTTTGCAGGAGAATTCTCCTGCCCTTTTAGGAGTACAGAAAGGTTAGTTATATTTAATTATTTTGCTTAAAATACTTTGTTCCAGCATTATTAAAAATATGCCTTAACTTAAATGGCACACGAATACTACATAGTTTTAATTAGTTAATTCTCACAGGTAGGTAATTCTCACAGATTAAATATTCTTAGACTTCTTGAAATAAAAAAGATATAAATAGAATAGTCTTACTGTTTTGCTGTGTATCTATCAATAATTGCAGTTTAAATCTAACAGTTGAAAATTTAGGCAAACCTAGCCTCTGATTATATTAAAGTAGCAGAAATTTGTTGGACATTTTTTCATTTTGTACTTTTTTAGCTAAAAAATAGAGTTAAATGACAAACAAAGGTTTATTTGCTCTCTACTGAAATCTTTGTAGCACTGATTTCATTTAAATTCAGTTTGACTTGTGTGATGCTAAAGAGAGTAGAGTAAGGTCTGTCAATATGTGACCCTGGACAAACAGCTGTCCTACAATCTATATAAATTAGCTCTAAATGGCTACCAAGAGGATCAGTTTTAGTGCTCTGATATTTTTCTGCTTTCTTTATTTGTAGATATAAAGTACTTTTCATCATAATCATTTGTAATTATAATTTATTCTGTAAATGAAGAAAATAGGTAATATATAGGATTTTTGTGCTCCATAAAAAATTAATGTATGAACATAGTTCATTCAGTATATAGTAATCAGATTCCTGAATACTGAAATCACAGTGAGGTATTTCTTGGTACCTTTAATGCTGTGATTTCTTAAAGAAATAGTTATAGGTAATTGTTATAACAACAAACTTCTTTCAAATTATCTAGTTTTAGTAATTAAACTATTATGGACCTTTGCCAAGGATTACTTAGGGTTTCATGTGTGAAACCCTATAGTCTTTCTAATTTCGGCTGATCCTAACAACTTTCCATTAGATACTTAGTCATTCAGGCTTTTCCTGCTTTTTTTTTCAATCTGAGCATTATAACCAGTTGATAGCCATTATTAAAATATTTAAAAGAAGATGGCCACATTTTTTTTTTAATTCTGTTTAGCCAACCTATGGCTTGGGAAATTTTGCACTAAAAGAAATTGTTTTTAAAAAATTAACATAGAGTCACAAAATAGCAAAAGAATATGCTACACAAAATATGTGTAGAGAGAAAATGAAACATTGTAATATGTAAATAAACTGAAATGTACAGGCAGTGGTTTTAAGTTTATTCTCACGTGGGTATATTTTTCCTTGCTGTGTGTCTTTTTTGGATTATCTACTCATTTTCTTCTCTTCAGTGTTTTATTACTTACTGTATGGTGTAGAAATGAACTCACCTAAGGAATTTTTCATTTTTTTTTTAATTATTGAGGAAAAAAAAGTTTGTATCTGGACAGTTGGGCATTTGCTATTGCCCGGATGTCAACTGGCATTGCCAACCTAACATTTATGCATGATCATACATGATGTTAAGATGTTGTTTTAATACAAGCTGTACATATCAGAGTATTTGGGGGTTTGTTGAGTTAGGAAAGACTAATAGATGATGTAAGAGCCTACACTGAATTGCCAGGATCGGGAAAACCCTATCTTATTCTGAGTGGGGAATGAAATGGGATAGGCAGGTGGTATACTTAGTCGCAAATTAGAAGCCATACTTTCCCCACCCTGTGTAATACTGTCTGCCTGTCAGTGAAATGGCCCTTACACCAGGAAGTACCCAGCCTCACCTATGACTTGAGAATAGTAATATGACCACTCCTCTTTCCAGGCTCAAATGCCAGGCAATGTGGAGGGGCTCTCTGTTTCCACAGACATAAAATAGAAACATCTCTGTCCCTCCATGACCATTCTGTCCCTGAATATGGCACATGTGTGTCTGTGATTTCCGCACCTTTTAAATAACTATCAAAAATGGGTGAGGGGTGGATCACAATAAAGAAAAAAAGTCTATCTTAAATAATTAAAAGTATAGTATACTTTTTAGATCTTTTTAAAATCTCTAGCTGTATTGAGTGATAAGATGGCTGTTTGACGATTTTGTTTTGTGTCTTCTAAGTTCATATACTACTTTCCTATCGTATATACAATAAGGAATAGGTGTATTCATATTCTTCAGCACTGTCTTCCTTTCCTAGCAATCATCTTTTCAAGTTCTTCCATTTTACTTTTGTTTGTTTCAAACAAAGCAATCTTTATTATTTGTATTTTCATTCATGCAGAGATTTGCATCTCTGGTGTGCATTTAACTGCTTCATTGAAGACAAATGCTATTCTTTGGTGGCCCATGTGTACCATTTTCCTCTTTTTTTAAGATTTAGTTATTTTATTGGAAAGGAAGATTTACAGAGAGAAGGAGAGACAGAGAGGGAAAGATTCCATCTGCTGGTTCATTCCCCAAATGGCCACCACAGCCAGAAGTGAGCCAATCCAAACCCAGGAGCTTCTTCGGGATCTCCCACAAGGGTGCAGGGTCCCAAGGCTTTGTTTTGTCCATCTTCTACTGCCCTCCAGGCCACAAGCAGGGAGCTGGATGGGAAATGGAAAGGCCCTTATATGGATTGGCACCCATATGGTATACAACGCTTGGAGGTGAAGGATGAGCCAGTTGAGTCGATGCACTGGCTCCATGTGTACCATTTTTCTAGGTGCTTTTTTTTTTTAAATTGTTTCCTGGGGTTGTCTCTCCCTTTCTCCTTTCCAGAGGCATCCCAACTACCAACTTTCTCTTTTTTTTTTTTTTTTTCAACTTTCTCTTAAGAGGTGCTTTTGCCTTCCCTCTTCTTTCTACACTCTCCGGTCACTTAAATAAACTCTTCTGTGTGTAAAAAAAAAAAAATTACTGGTAAGCTGATGTTAAAGAGGAGAGGCAGAGAAAGAGGAAAGTCTTCACCGGTGACTTCACTCCCTATATGGCCAATACTAACCAGGGCTGAGCCAATTCAAAGACAGGAACCAAGAGCTTCGTCAGGTTCTCCAATGTATACAGGGGCCTAAGCACTTGGACCATCCTTTATTACTCTCTAAAAACACTAGCATGGGACTGGATTGGAAATGGAGTAGTCGTAACTAAAATGGGTGCCCATGTTGGATACTAGCAGTGAACATGGCTGCTATAATTTATACACAGCAAACCTTTACAGAGACAGAGAGGAAAAGAGAGAGACAAAAAAATCCCTTGCAGTGGTTCACTCCCCAAATGTCTGCAATAGCCAGAGCTCGGCCAAGAGCCAGAGGCTTCTTCCAGGTCTCCTATGTAGGTGCAGGGATCCAAGGACTTGAGCCATCATCTGTTGCTTCCCCAGTCACAAGCAATGAGATAGATTGAAAGTGAAGCCAGGGGGTGAGGGCACAGTAGCCTACTATCTAAAGTCCTTGCCTTGCACGTACTGGAATCCCATATGGGCGCTGGTTCTAATCCTGGCAGCTCCACTTCCCATCCAGCTCCCTGCTTCTGGCCTGGGGACGAGGACGGCCCAAAGCCTTGGGACCCTGCACCTACATGGGATACCCGGAAGATGCTCCTGGCTGCAGGCTTTGATCAGCTCAGCTCTGGCCATTTCAGCCATTTGGGGAGTGAATCATTGGGTGGAAGATCTTCCTTCTGTATATCTGACTTTCCAATAAAAAATAAATAAAAATCTTAAAAAAGAAAAAAATGAAGCAGGGGGCTTAGCACAGTAACATAGTGGCTTAAGTCCTTGCCTTGCACAACCAGGATTCCATATGGGTGCTGGTTTGTGTCTCGGATGCTCCACGTCCCTTCCACCTCCCTGCTTGTGGCCTGGATAAGCAGTAGAGGACGGCCCAAAGGTTTGAAACCTTCGACCCATGTGGGAGACCCAGAAGAAGCTTCTGACCCCTGGCTTTGGATCATCTTGGGTCCAGCCAATGCAGCCATTTGGGGAATGAGCCATTGGATGAAAGATATTTTTGCATCTGCTTGTTTCTGTAAATCTGACTTTCCAAAAAAATAAAATAAATCTTTTTTTTTTTTTTTTAAAGTCAAGCAGGGGGCTGGGGTGCTGATTCCTCTCTAGTTCCTGTTGTGCCACTTCCCATCCAGGTCTCTGCTTATGGCCTGGGAGAGCAGTGGAGGGTAGCCCAAAGCCTTGGGAACCTGCACCTGCCTGTGAGACTCGAAAGAAGCTTCTGGCTACTGGCTCCTGGCTTGGGTGGGCTCTGCTTCAGGCATTGTGTTCATTTCGGGAGTAAACCAGCAGATGAAAGATCTTTCCCTCTCTGTAAATCTTCCTTTCCAATAAAAATAAATAAATCTTTCTAACTGTTGATTGCAAACACTTTTATCATTTAGGACACAGAGCTCTCATCCACTGGATCACTATCCAAATGCTCCCAGTGACCTGGGCCCAGCTGTCCTAGGTGCTAAACCTCAAACTGGAAACTCAGTCTAAGTTTCCCACATGGTGGCAGGAATTTGATCTCTTGAACCATCACTTCTGCCTCCTAGGGTTGGTATTAGGAAAGTGAGATCAGGAGCAGGACCTGATTTTCAGATCTTGGCACCCAAAAATGGGACATAAGAGTCCAAACTCTGGGCCAGATGTCTACCCCAACTATTACCTCTTTGCATTTAACTGTCATTCTAGAAGAAAAGACAAATTTTGATCTGCAAATTGTGTGTTTTACAGTTAATCTGCTACAAAGCATTGAAATAATGACAGGATAAACAAAACACATCTAAGTATCTTGAGAAATAATTTATTTTCTCTCAATATCTGCTTATTTTATTGGTCTTCCTTTTGACTGTTGTCACTTCCATATACTATTGGAACCATATACTGTTATTACTTGCATGTACTATTGGAACATCAAATGTAGAAGGCAGTGCTTTGTCATCATGGATTCTTCTTGTTTAATCTTTCCCCTTTTATCTGTCTCCCATTCTCCTACTCCCATAATTAGTCGTTCTGAACATGTTTGATGAGCATAGCCTTTTGCTTTACAAGTTCTTATAAAGTATTTACTACTCAGTGTACATTTTTAACTAGCATAAATGGTGCTTTGCTGTAAATGCCCTTTTGTTTTCCTTTTTTTAACTCAGCACTGTGTTTAATATCTGCCCCCGAGTCTACGTCTGCATACATAGTACTGAAACATAATACTTTACCTCTTAAATCCTGCATGTTTTACCTGTTGTTTTTCCCAATGGTGAATGGGTAACCATGTTTTTCTTAAACTGCTCACCTCTAGAAAAAGCACTGTGATGAAAATCTTTGTATAGTGTGAGAATATCTTTGGATTATTTTCTTCCTCTTAGACTGTAAGCTCCACTTGGGCAGGATTTATCTTACTTGTCTGTGTATGGTCCAACATGCCTTAAGTTTTATTGCCTGTTAATTGTTACTGGACACTTTAAAAAATGGACTTCAGGCCTATTAAAATTTTTACTTGAATGGCAAAATCAGAACAGATGAAGGTCTTCCATCTGTTCCAACTGGCCACCAGGGCTGGGGTTTGGCTAGGTGGAAGCTCATTCCCCCATCTCCCATGTGGTTTCAGAGACCAAAGCACTAGGGCCATTCTCTGCTGCTTTTCCTAGATCATTCCAAGGGAGCTAGACTGGAAATGAAGCAGCCAGGACACTCAAACTGCTTTTCACATGGGATGCCAGCATCACAGGCTGCAGCTTAACTTGTTATACCACAGAGCTGGCCCTGAATGTAATATCTTATGGAAGTAGTGAATCTATTCCTCTCTGACAATTTGCTCAGATAATTATATAAAATTGCATATAGACACCACACTTGACTAAAGTATATTTGTAGGGAATAATTACACCTCTTAGTATATTAACTGACCTTACCTGGATAAATGGCAGTATCCAGGACAACGATGAGGAATGTCTCATCTGTGTGCTGAATAATGCCCATGGAATTATTTTATCTGGTCCTGCCAAGGCAACCACAGATGGAACTCAAAATTCAATAAATCCTTAGCAACTAATTGTTTTAAGTTGATAATTTTGGTTTTTATTTGGGTTTGGTTTTTTTAGATTTTTATTGGAATGTCAGCTTTACAGAGAGAAGGAGAGACAGAGAGGAAAGATCTTCCATCCACTGATTCAATCCCCAAGTGACCACAAATGGCTGGGGCTGAGCTGATCCAAAGCTAGGAGTCAGAAGCTTCTTCTGGGTCTTGCACTTGGGTGCCGGGTCCCAAGGCCTTGGGATATCCTCAACTGCTTACTTAGGCTGCAAGCAGGGATCTGGACGGACAGTGGAGCAGCTGGGATTAGAACTAGCACCCATATGGGATCCCGGCAAATGCAGGGCAAGGATTTAAGCCACTAGGATACCGTGCCAGGCCCAGCTGATAATTTTGTATGAATGGTGCTATAAATATTCCAATGGCTTTTGACAGGAAAAAAAGGTGTTAAGCCCCTGACTTTAGAGGAAATGGTTTTAGAAAACCCTTTCTGTCACCCTGAAAGAGCTCTCTTCTTGCTTAGCATTGATCTTCATATTCACTGCTATAATCCCTGGCAACCGTAACTCTCCTTTCTGTCTCTATTAGAGAGTTGCCTTTTTTTCTGCAGACTTGATATAATTGAAATTAGCCAATGTGAAGTTTTTTTGGTCTGAATTTTTTAAACTTAATATGACATTTTCAGGATTTATCTGCATTGTAGTATGTATCAGTAGTTGGTTCCTTCCTGTTACTAGATGTTGAGTTCTCACTGAACCCTTGAGTTTTCTTTAGAGCAAGTTATTGTACCATCAAAAAGTATATTTCCTCAAGATCATGCTCTGATGCCATGGTTATTGATAATTATTTTTCAGTTGTCTTGTTATAGGAGAAATGGTTTTACGTTTAAAACCTTAAAATGATACACATTTCCTTCATTGTTAACCTCGCATATGGGTAATCCTATATAGATTCATCATTGTTTCTTTCATAAATAGACTTTATGTGAAGTGTTTTGATTTAAACTCATAATAATTGTCTTTTGTCATGTTTGTTTAATGTAATATTCAGGTACAGATGTGTTACTTAATGGAGAATTTTAGAAGATGTGTCTTAAAAAATTATTTCCTTTATGCTGTCATATAGTAAGAGAAATATTTTGCCAACTTGAAAAGCACTCTTGCTTTGCTCTTTAAGTCTCATAGTAACATTTACTAGTATAGTTACTATTGATAATGAACAGTTGTTTGAAATGGGCGGTTAAACTAAGCATTAGTGTTATCCTCAACTCTGTTTGGTGTTCCTTTAGATTTAATGTTGTTAAAAAAAATAAATACAATCTAATCAGCTGATTCTTTGCTTTTTATTTTCCTTATGTTGCCTTAATTTTCTTATTTTTCAAAAATTCTCCTGTTGTAAAGTCAAGATTTTTTTAAAGTCTACATTTTGAATTGGCAGTATCCTAGATTATGCTATTTCAGATAACTATAGGCTTTAATTGGCCTAACATTGTGTGACTCTTTAAATAGTCCTTCTGCAGCATCTGTTGTAAGGGTTTTGGATGGGGTTGGGGAAATCCATATGTGTGGGAAAGGGGAGCGCTTTTTTTTTCTCTTTCTTTCTTTCTTTCTTTCTTTTTTTCTTTTTCTTTTCTTTTCTTCTTTTTAGCATGGCATTTTTTCAAACATTTTTCATGTGCTTAGGTACATCCAAGCAGAAGTCCAGTTCCCTGCAGGTAGCAGATCAGGACCTACTGCCACCTTTTCACCCATACCAGCCTTTGGAATGCATAGTAGAGGAAACTGAAGGCAAGCTGAATGAACTGGGACAAAGAATTAGTGCTATTGAAAAAGCACAGCTTAAATCATTGGAGTTAATTCAAGGTGAACCTCTGAACAAAGATAAGATAGAAGAACTTAAAAAGAACAGAGAAGAGCAAGTCCAGAAGAAGAAGAAAATTCTGAAAGAACTGCAGAAAGTGGAAAGGCAGTTGCAAATGAAAACACAACAGCAATTTACCAAAGAATACTTGGAAACCAAAGGTCAGAAAGATACAGTGTCTCTTCACCACCAGTGCTCTCATAGAGGAGTCTTCCCAGAAGGGGAAGGAGATGGTAGTCTCCCAGAGGATCACTTTTCAGAGTTACATCAGGTTGACACAATCTTATTTAAAGATAACGATGTTGATGATATGCAGCAGTCTCCACCATCGGCAGAACAAATTGATTTTGTCCCAGTCCAGCCTTTACCATCTCCACAGTGTACCTTTTCCAGTGATGTAGGCCCTAACGGGACCAATTCTCTTGAACTTCAGAAAGTATCAGGTAATCAACAGATTGTAGGACAGCCTCAGATTGCTATTACTGGACACGATCAGGGGCTGTTAGTTCAAGAACCAGATGGACTAATGGTGGCAACTCCAGCCCAGACGCTAACCGACACTCTTGATGACCTGATAGCAGGTGGGTTAAGAAATATATCTGTAATCAGTTCTCTTTAATCTCTGTTCCTGATATGTTCCTCCAAAATCAGACTTTGTGCTGTCCCATTTTAGAACTATGTAAAAGTAGCCATTTCTTGTATTTTGGAAGTGAATTTAACCAAACTCAGTAGCACTAAACACAATATGTTTCAAGCTCTTTAATGTTGTCCCATTGTAGTTTCCATAACCCTTTATTTTAGACCTTTGGTATTATGCTCTGGGTATATCAAAATGGAATTTCTTTGTAGAGTTTAGAGGTATTTACTTAAGATTATACATTAATCTTATAAGTTTATTAGATAAATTAAGCTTAATTGAATGAGATGTTCAGACAGAATTAAACATTGCACTTACAGTGTTTATGGTTACAAAATTAAAGTTCATTGACATTACTGCCACTTGGTGATTTAGAGATTAGGATTTTTACATTAGCTTTCTTTATGAAAGCACACATATATACCAAATCCATATACACACACCCCTAAACACCAGTGTGTACACATATGAAAAGAAAAAAAAGGAAAGGCCTTATAACTTTAAAGTCTATGTTTCTGTTTATTGTTGTATGGAAAATTACAACTAGATATGAAATGAGGTGCACAAGTTTACTTTCGCTTTCATTGTCCTTGCAGCAGTGAGAAAACAGTGCAATTAATCATTTACCTTCCTAAAGATGGCTGGTGAATGTATCACCTCCATGAGAGCCCAGTTCAGAAATGCAGCCAGAATGGCTGTTGACAGTGGATGAAGACCAAGAACTAAGATGTAGCTGGAGTGATATTCAAAGGCAGGCCAGTCCTCTGTCTCTTGATTGCAACATTTTTTTCCCTTATGTTGTCTGTTTCCACTTGTCATTCTCTTCCCCTCCTCTCATCCCTCCTCTCTATTCCAGTTTTCTTTCTTCTTTTGTGAGCCATTATCTTCCTAATCTTTACTGAATCCTAAAAATGTGGAATAAAATCTCATAAATCAGGAATTTGGGAGGGTATGTGTGTGGCTTCAGTGGTTAAAGAATTGTATCTGGTTTCAGGCTCCTCTGATATACAAGGTATTGCTTTGCGGAGGAGGAATGTCTCACTTTCCCTAAAGAAAATTGAACACTGAGAAATGCTAAAGAATTTGGTTCTTTGAGTTTTTATGCATTCAGTCAGTAGCTACTTACTGGTAGCCTTTGGCATTGGAGGATGCTATAAATTATTAATTAATCTATAAACTATTTATAGTTTTAGTTTCTAATCTGAATAAAAATAGACATTAAAGTGTAAATAATGATTTTGAATAATGATGAAACTGGTGAATGAGAATAGCACTTTTAAGATGTAGGGTCTTTTAAGTATCATAAGAGTCTCAATTCAGTTCTCAATTGGCTCTTATGAAAGCTTTCTAACTAATGTTCAACCCAGTTAGACCACCCCCATTTTTTTAGTGTTAAAAAAAAAAGGCATTAAAGGGAACTTAGAATATCAGATTTTATTTCACTGAAGTTGTCAAATTGAAATAGTGGCCTTTTATAGAGGTCACATGAAACTGTTTAGAAATATGTGGCAGTAGTTATATTTTCAGTGTTCAACATTGTGGTCTCATTTAAAATTAAAAAGCCTTTTTCAAAATCCAACTTTCTCTTAGTTTTAATTTAATCTAAATTAAATCTAGTTCTTATAACTAAAGAATGTTATACATTTTAGGTTTTCTAAGTATTATATAAATTCTATTATATATAATAGCAATAAATTTCTTTAAATTCAGAGTTAGTTTCTGTTTATTGCTCTTCTGCTCCTAAAATACTTTTTATAATGATTAATGTCAGTCCTTGCTTGACTGACTGACTTACCTTATAGTATATAAGGTATATTATTTGTGTCCTACTTTTCATAGTCTCTGGCAGAATATGTACACCCTTGATTCATGCCATGGTTCCTCAGGTTCTTTTCTTCTGGTAATGAAATTAAGACTTTAGTAGTTAATCATAATAGCAGATGATTCTCAAAATTCAAATTCTAGAAATGTATAAAGTAATATAAAATGATTCAAAGTAGCTATGACTTTTGAACAGTTCTAGAAACATTTAATAAAATTGTGTTTCTAATACATAAACAAGTTTGATTAAAATTCAACTAATATCACTTTTTTTGCACTTATCAAATATTTATGATGTGCCAGGTTGTGTCCTAAATGTTTGATTTGCATTATTTCCTAATATATTAATAATAATCCTATAAATACCTTTCTTAGCTTTGGTATGTCTGTTGAAAAACGGAAGTTTAGGGAAATTAAGATGCTAATAAACACAATGATTCAAATTCAGATAAGCCAATTCCAGGTCAAAGATTCTGATATGTAACATGCATTCATCTGATTTAACTTTAAATTCTAAAGTAAAGATACTATCATTTTAAACTTACAAATTTTGTTAGGTAACAGTTACCCTCATTTTTACATCAAGATTTGACATGCTATTTAAATTTTCATATAGATTTATGACTTTTTGATGTATTATTACTGTTGCACCTTAAAGCCTTTTCGTTTTAGAAGTTTTATTTCTATGTGAAAGGCAGACTTAACAGGGAGAGAAGGCGAGAGAGACAGACCTGGGAGCTTCTCCCAGGACTCCATGTGAGGGTAGGGACCCAAGAGCTTAGACCATTCATGGCTTTCCCAGGTCATTAACAAGGGCTGGATCAGAAGTGCAGCAGTCAGAGCTGGAATCTGTGTCCATATAGGATGTCTGTGTCCCGGCAAAGGCGTCAGTTACTATATGCCATGGCACCGGCCCTGTTGATAGCTTTTTTTTAAAAGAAATTGCAAGTATGAGTGGACTTCTGAAAGTTCATGAAGAAATTGGAACCTCAAAATTTATTTTAACACAAAATACTACTGGAATCAATTATTACATTTTTCATAGTGTATATTTTCCATGAAGTTTTTAAAGGCCCCTCATATTTGTTTTAAGTAACTCTGAGACTATAGAGGTTTAAGAAGGAGAAAATAGGATATCCTCACAAATGAGGATGTTGACACTAAAATGTCTTTTGTTTTCTCAAACTGATTTAATATTTATAGACCTTTATTCACATATTTATGGCTATTTATTGAAATTACTATTGTATATAACAGTTATAGTAATTAAATATCTTAGAATCTTAAAATGTTTCTTACCTGGTCAGTAAGATTTTTTAAATTTGTTATCTTCCATAATGCTTATAAAATTATCTTTCTGCAACTTTATGAAGAGTTCAGTAGAATTCTACACCTCATTATTCCATCTCCTATTTTTAAGATAATGTATAAGTATGATTTGAATTATTTTCTTGTGATAGTCATTTTCAGAGATATTTTCAGAGATATTCATTTCAGATGACATTCAAAAGCAGGAAACATTTTAAGGTTTGTAAAACTATCATAATTTTCTCTTAGTACTGCCCTTATTCCACATGTAACTTTGAAATGCCTTGTTGCTTTCTAGTTTTATCTTTTTTATAACTTTTCATTTGTGATTAATTCTGTTAAAGCCGTTTTCAGTGGAATGTTCCTGATTGTCTTTATAATAAGGAAAACAAAGGTATCTAATATTGTCATTACAACACATATTTGTTAGTAGAATTGTTAAATATACTTTAACACTGGAGCGATCTAATTAGGCTTTTTTGGAAAGAAGCAAGAACAACAGAGAGGGTGACATAGAGAGAGAGAGATTGTCCATCCATTGGTTCACTATGGATATTACTGGGGACACAGCTGAGCCTTTCCAAGACTTTGGACCGTCCTCTGCTGCTTTCCTAAGCCATTAGCAGGGACCTGGATAGGAAGTGAAGCAGCCAGGACTGGCATCCATGCTGGCACCTCAGTTGGAGGATTACTATGCTGCACCACCATACTAGTGGCCCCTAAAATACATTTTAAAAGCCAACTCTGACGAAGGACTATTCTGGTATAGTGTTTTAACTGACTGTTTTAATATTTGTTCTTTCATAATGAAAACCGGTGATACGAATAAGCAAAAGAATAAAAAATAAATAGTTCAATTATTTTGAAGAGTAACGGTATTGTGTACTTTTAATTCACTGAATAAATTTGTTAAAAGATTTATTTATTTTTCTTGCAAAGTCAGATATACAAAGAGGAAGAGAGACAGAGAGGAAGATCTTCTATCCGTTGATTCACTCCCCAAGTAGCTGAAATGGCCAGAGCTGCGCCAATCCAAAGCCAGAGGCCAGGAGCCTCTTAGTCTCCCATGCAGGTGCAGAATCCAAAGGCTTAAGGCCATTCTTGACTGCTTTCCCAGGCCACAAGCAGGGAGCTAGATGGGAAGTGGGCTGCCAAGATTAGAACCAGCACCCATATGGGATCCCAACACATGCAAGGCAAAGACTTTAGACACTGCTAATGCACCAGGACCCACTGAATAAAATGTTGAAGCTTTACTTCCAATTGTTCATAATCTGATAGCTGAAATATACATATATATTCCTATTAATTAATTAAACTGTTAGTGACAAAAGCTTCAGAGATTTACATTGCTGAAACAATGGGGAGAAAGTGGGAAAAGTTCATGTAAAAGCATGTTATTTAACTTAGAGACATACTAAACACATTCACACTGTGAACAGTATCCTTGATTTAGTTCTAATCATATCAAAATTCTAGAAACACTTGCAATGCTTACATTTTCCTTTAAGCCCCATTCTCTTGATTAACTTATAATCTGGGCACAATATAAAATAAAAAGGTTATTGGTATTATCAAAGCTTTTTTTTTTCTTGTCTTATTTTTTTCAGAGTTTTTTTCTTACCTACGTAATGTTTTAATAGAACAAATATAGTATTGAAAGTCTCATAAAATCTCTGACAGCTATATTTATGTGGTACTTCCTGCTCATTGTGTTAAAAGCTTTATGTACGTTGCCTGCTGGATTACTCACAATATCCTTTTGAGTAGCTCCTATTTCCCTGACATGTGCATTAAACTCCATCTTTTCTGAAGCATAGGGCCTACTCAGAGACAAGAATGACAATTCCAATTCTGTTTTATCCAGATTTTTGGGATTTCAAATGTAAAATTCCACTGTCAATTTTTAAAATAACTTAATTTCATTTATTTATATTATTTAAAATTTATGTAGAGGGTCCAGTGTGATAGCATAGTGGTTGAAGTTCTCACCTTGAAGGCACCTGCGGCCCTGCTTCCCATCTAGCTCCCTGCTTGAGGCCTGGGAAAGCAGTCAGGGATGGCTCAAAGTTCCTGGCTCCTGGTTTTATACTGGCTCAATACTAGCCATTGTGGCAGTTGGGGAGTGAACCATTGGGCTGAAGACCTTCCTCTCTGTCTCTCTTCCTCTCTGTATATCTGCCATTCCAATAAAAATAAATAAATCTTTTTTTAAAAAATGAAAGTTCTGTAGAGAAAGGAAAGGCAGAAGGAAAGATCTTTCATCCATTGGCTCATTCTTCAAATGGCCACAACCACCAGAGTTGGGCCAGACTGAAGCCAGGAGCTTCATCCAGTGTCCCATGGAGGTACAAGCGATCTGGGACTTAAGCTGTCTTGCACTTGTAAGGAGCTGGATTGGAAATGGAGTGGTCAGGATGGGAAGCAGATGCTGGTGTCACAGGTGGAGGCTTCACTCTCCACTCCCACACCACAAGACTTGAACAATGAATAGGAAGCATATACTCCCTATTATTGTATCAGATATTCTAGCTTACCTTGTCTCTTCCTTATCCCCTTCCACCCTCTTTTTTTTTTTTCTCCAATGTCCACAGGATATTTTAATCTATTTTTTGCCTTTTACAAAGGAAGATGTAAAACTTATTTTTAATTGGAAATTATTTTTTCCTTATAGATAATATTAACAAATAAAGCTGCCATATATTGCGTATGCAGTAAATATCAGGCACTGTGTCAAATGTTATGCATGCAAATTTCCATCGTAGATACTGAAGTCCAAGTGCTATATAGAAAGAAAATTGAGCTTCAGAGAAATTAAGTTACCCGAGATGAGCGATGATACTGGAATTCAAATGTGGATGCATCTGATCATATTTTATTCATTGTGTTGCTGCTATATAAATTTCTATGTTCTGTGTTTTTCTGTGTGCTCACACCTTAGTGTTTTTAATTGAAATTTAGAAATATGTATTTTGTTTTTCAGCTGTGAGTAGCAGAGTACCCACTGGTTCAAACAGTTCTTCTCAAATGGCAGATTGTATTACACCTGAATCCTGTTCACAGACTCCAAGCAACGTGGCTTCGCAATCTATACCCCCCGTATATCCATCTGTTGACATTGATGCACATGTGAGTATACTTTTTACTTAAATTTATTTTATACATTCTGAATTTTTTTTTCTAGAAGGGGAAATTGCTATATCATTATGGGAAAAAAAAGAAATATTTGCTCTTCAATAACCTTTTTGTTAAAAAAAAAAAAAGCCAGCGAGGGGTGGGGGAGGAGGGAGACCCCAGTACATATTAAAATGTGTCACTAGAAAACATATATATATATGTTTATATATCAACAGGATTGCCTAACAGCTAAAGTCCTTGCCTTAAACACATCAGGATCCCATACAGGCACCGGTTCTAATCCCGGTGGCCCCACTTCCCAACCCGCTCCCTGCTTGTGGCCTGGGAAAGCAGTGGAGGATGGCCCAAAGCCTTGGGACCCTGCACCTACATGGGAGACCCAGAAGAGGCTCTGGGCTCCTGGCTTTTGTTTGGCTCAGCTCCAGTCCTTGTGGCCACTTGGGGCGTAAACCATCGAATGGAAGATTTTCCTCTTTCTCTCATCTTCTCTGTGTATCTGCCTTTCCAATAGAAATAAATAAATCTTTAAATATATATATATATATTTATTTATTTATTTATTTATTTACACACATATATAAACAGAGAGAGAGACTGATATTGTAGCAGAGTGAGTTAACCCACCCCTATAGTGCCAATCTTATGGGTGCCAGTTAAGAGTCCCTACTGCTCCTCTCCCAGTCCAGTTCTCTATTAATATATCTAGGAAAGCAGTGGAAGATGGCCTAGGTACTTGGGGCTATGCACCCATATGGGAGCCCCAAATGAAGCTCCTGAGTTGTAGCTTCAGTCTGACTCAGCCCTGGCTTTTGTGGCCAGTTGGGAGTGAACAAGTGAAGCAACAAATGGAAACTCCCTCTGTCTACTCTGCTTTTTACATAAATCTTAGGGCTGGTTGGTAGCATACAGGCTCATCCTCCTCCTGTGGCACTGGCCATCTCAGATGAAAGGCTGTTCATGTTCCAGTTGTTCCACTTCTGATCCAGCTCCCTATTAATAGCCTGGAAAAGCACCAGAAGATGGCCAAGTCCTTTGATAACTGCACCCATGTGAAAGACTCAGGAACAGCTCTTGGTTCCCAGCTTCAGACTGGCCCTGCTCTGACCTGAGCAGCCATCTAGGGAGTGAAGCCATCAGTGGATGAAAGATCTCTCTGTCTCACCCTCTCTCCCTCTGTAATTCTGACTTTAAAGTAAAATAAATAAATCTTTAAATATATATACATATGTATTTTATAAAAGTAAATTTTTCTTTTAGACGGAGAGCAATCATGACACAGCATTAACATTGGCTTGTGCGGGCGGTCATGAAGAACTTGTATCTGTACTTATTGCAAGAGATGCTAAAATTGAGCACAGAGATAAAAAAGGTGAGAAATAAAATGAGTGAATTTAAACAGCTTCATCCTTTTCACTGTCAGTAAGTCAGTAAGACTATCTCAGTGATAATATGTATGAGCCCTGTTAGGGATATCCAGAATTGTTGATCTGTGTAGGGAAATAATTCTGTAGAAATTCAAAAACTCAAACAGTCATCAAGGAGGAAGATAAATGTGTGATTGCTATTCTCTTTAACCAAAAGTAGTTCATACAGAAATAGCAAAGCTCATTACAGGATATGAACTGTAATAGTTTTTGTTGACTTAGCATTTTATTTTGATTTAGGTTTCACACCACTGATCCTGGCTGCAACAGCAGGGCATGTTGGGGTTGTTGAAATTCTTTTGGATAAAGGTGGAGATATAGAAGCACAGTCTGAGCGAACTAAAGATACTCCACTTTCATTGGCATGTTCTGGTGGACGTCAGGAGGTATGTTAATGTTGATTTTAATTTTGTAACTTTTATTATATTTTTCAGTATGCATATGGTATCCGAGTAAGGTTTACATTATTTTGACACATTTTGTATACTTGCAGAGAAATGGAGTTACATTGAATGGGAATAAGAAATTCTCTTTGGATGAATCTGTTTCTTACTTTTGAGTCCAAATAAAAAATTCTCTTTATATTTATTGACTTTGAATGAATCCTAGTACTAATCATGTGACGTGCAAATCTGTTGCCTAAAAATTCAGATAGTGTAGCTTCTTGTGATTTCAATGTAATTGGGATTTCAAAGTTCCCAATAAAATTGAATTTGTTACCCAATAAAATTGAATTTGTTTTTCTAATGTTAATATTTTAAGACTCAGGGCCAATGTAATGTCAGAAATTTAGAAAAGAAGCTTGAAAGTTCTGTTTCCTTGTGTTTATTTCATTGTAAAGTTGACTGTTCGGTATAACCTGACTTTATCTGTTAATATTTTACTTTACAGGTAGTAGACTTACTGCTGGCTCGAGGTGCAAATAAAGAACATAGGAATGTGTCTGATTATACGCCACTGAGTCTGGCTGCATCTGGAGGATATGTTAATATCATAAAGATTCTCCTTAATGCGGGGGCCGAAATTAATTCAAGGTATCACCTGTGCATTGATTTTATTACTCATGATTAGTTACCTCCTTGAAGTTGGTGTCTTCTGAACTTTGAATTGATATCATTTTGAGTTAAGATAGCACTGAAGTTATGAAGTGAGTAATTCTTATAATGTGCTTGAAAGTAATCTCAGCATGTCTTCATAATCTGCTTTTAATAGGTGTTATTTCAAAAAATACTTTGTTTCATGTAGTTTGAAGTTTATGACCCCTAAGTGGGAATTGTGTTTTTTAAGTTGTATGATGTTCCTATTCCTCACTACTGATGTAACTCAGATGGGGAAACATAAACATTCAGCCCTTTAGCACTATGATGCACACCAAGTATTTGGTCAGGTCTAGTCAAAGCAGCAGAGGGAAGTGGACAGGACTCAAAATCAAATAACGCTGTAGCAGGCTGAATTTTAAGTTGATAACTTTGTCAATGACAGATGTTATAAATATCGAAAAGACCTTTGCAGAAAAAGTTCCCCTATTCCTGTAAACAGATTAAATGTGTACATTGGTTATAAACATCTTTAAATGAATATTTTTATCCTTAATGTTAATTTCACAGCAAGTATAGGTAACATATTGCCATTTTCTAAGCACATTTTCCCTCTTAGGACTGGGAGTAAACTAGGTATTTCTCCCCTGATGTTGGCTGCAATGAATGGACATGTTCCTGCAGTGAAACTGCTCCTTGATATGGGTTCAGACATTAATGCTCAGATAGAGACAAACCGGAACACAGCCCTCACCCTGGCCTGTTTCCAGGGCCGAGCCGAAGTAGTGAGTTTGCTTCTGGACCGAAAAGCCAATGTTGAACACAGGGCAAAGGTAAGCATTTTATGTCTTGTCAGCTATTTCAAATAAATTTCTAGACAAAAAAAAAAAAGTGACATTTCATTCTTACTGAATATAGTTTTTACTTTCACTTATTTTTGGAAACTTATTTACTGGGGTCACTGTTGTGGTGTACTAGATTAAACTTCCACCTACGATGCCAGCATTCGATGTTTGTGTCCTGGCCGCTCCACTTCCAGTCCAGTTCCCTGCAAGGGCACCTGGAAAGTAACTCAAGAAAGTCAAGTCCATAGGCTTCTGCACTCACACGGGAGAACTCAGGCTCCTAGCTCCTACCTTCATCGGTTGTTGTCACCATTTGAACAATGAACCAGTAGATAAAGATTTCTCTTTCCTCTCTCTTCTCTTTGTAACTCAGCCTTTCAAGTAAATTGAATAAGATAAAATATTCATATATGTATTTGAGAGGCCAAGTTACAGCAAAAAGGAGACACAAAGAGATTGTCCTTCCACTGGTTAACTCCCCACCTGGCTACAATGGCCAGAGCTAGGCTACAAGAGACAAGGAACTCCATCTTAGTCTTTCATGCAGATGACAAGGGCCACAGCCTAAGTGGCAATTGGAATGCCCATGTTCTAAACTTGAGTACCTGGCTTAGTCCTGGCTGTTCTGCTTGTAACCCAGCTTCCTTCTGGGTCACGCTGGGTGGCGACTGATGATGCTCAAATACTTGGGTTTGTGCTACCCATGTAGGAGACCCAGATTTGGTTTCTTTCTCCTGGCGTTGGCCTGGTCCAGGTTTGGCTGTAAAAGTCATTCGGAGAGTGGAGTAGCAAATGGAAGATTTCTGTCCCTCTACATATCAAATAAAATGAAAATAAATAAGTAACATTTTTTGAAAAGATACTTAAAGAGGGCCTGGCATGGTAGCCTAGCAGCTAAAGTCCTTGCCTTGCATGCATTGGGATCCCATATGGGCGCAGGTTCATATCCCAGCAGCACCACTTCCAATCCAGCTCCCTGCTTGTGACCTGGGAAAGCAGTCGAGGACAGCCCAAAGCCTTGGGACCCTGCACCTGTGTGGGAGATCCGGAAGAGGTTTTGGGCTCCTGGCTTTGGATCGTTGCAGCTCCAGCATTGCAACCATTTGGGGAGTGAATCAGCAGATGGAAGATTTTTCTGTCTCTTCTCTGTATTTCTGACTTTCCAATAAAAAAGATAAAATAAAGCTTTTTTTAAAAAAGTGTTTAAAGAGATTGTGTAATTTAGTTATGTAAATTGCTGATTTGAACAGACTGGTCTGACCCCATTAATGGAAGCTGCTTCTGGAGGATATGCTGAGGTTGGCCGAGTTCTCCTGGATAAAGGAGCAGATGTCAATGCACCACCGGTGCCGTCCTCGAGGGACACTGCTCTTACCATAGCAGCAGACAAAGGCCACTACAAGTTCTGTGAGCTCCTGATTAGTAGGTGAGTCACCTTCTGTTAGTATATACAGAACTTCCAATGGTCTCTTTCACTTTTTAGAATCTATACAATTAATAAAATTATTTAACATTTTCAAAGCAATACTCTGTGTTATTTTGTACAAATAATTAAGTAACAAAATATAGCAGAGAAAACCAAAAAAAAAAAAAATGTCAACCACTTCTTGTCTGAAAACAAACGATATGAACCTTCTTTGCTTCCAGGGGAGCTCACATTGATGTTCGTAACAAGAAGGGAAATACGCCTCTTTGGCTGGCTTCCAATGGTGGGCATTTTGATGTAGTTCAGTTGTTAGTACAAGCTGGTGCTGACGTGGATGCAGCAGATAACCGGAAAATCACACCGCTCATGTCAGCATTCCGCAAGGTAATTGAGGTGGAGGGCAAAAGAAAATTTAATCACTTTAAATTCACTTTAGTTGAAACTATATCAGAGAGGTAAGTTGATTTTGGAGAACTGATTATTGCTTATTTTTATTCTTCATTTAATTTAGTTTTTAAGAATAGGAACAGAATTTCAAGGGTCGTTTTTGTGCTTATTTTTTTGCTCTCCTCACAGGGTCATGTCAAAGTTGTTCAATATTTGGTGAAGGAAGTCAATCAGTTTCCTTCTGATATAGAATGCATGAGATACATAGCAACAATTACAGATAAGGTAAGTAAAATATGTTACTGAAGCACAATTTTCTTTGTGAATTATATGCCACATTTTTTTTTTCAATTTATTTTTATTGGAAAAGTGGATATACAGAAAGGGGAGAGAGGGGAAGGTCTTCAGTCCGATGGTTCACTCCCCAAGCGGCCACAACGGCTGATGCTATGCCAATCCGAAGCCAGGATCCAGGAACTTCTTCTGGGTCTCCCACACGGGTACTGGGTCCCAAAGCTTGGGCCGTCCTCAACTGCTTTCCCAGGCCACAAGCAGAGAGCTAGATGGGAAGTGGGGCTGCCAGGTTAGAACTGGCACCCATATGGGATCCCGGCTCATTCAAGATGAAGACCTTAACTGCTACACTATCATGCCAGGCCCTGTATGCCACATTTTAATTAAGTGGTTTGAAATTTCTTTCTTACAATGGACCATGACCATAGAGACTATAACCAAGGTTTATTTCTAAACCATTTGTTTTAAGTTTTCTAAGAACATAAGTTTTTTTTTCCTTAAAAAAGATTTTCTTATTTTGTTGAAAGATTAATATATGACTAGACTCAAAAAACCATGACCCCCTAAAAAAAAGAAGGTTTAGTGAACTTTCAGTTGTTTGAGGGTTAATATTTGGCAATAGGCTGATCAGCTCAACTCTCATTTGAATTCATGCACTATGTGATTTTGTACTTCTGTGTTTTCATTTTCTCGTATAGGAACTATTGAAAAAATGTCACCAATGTGTTGAGACAATTGTGAAGGCTAAAGACCAGCAGGCTGCAGAAGCAAATAAGAATGCGAGTATCCTTTTAAAGGAACTTGATCTGGAGAAGGTGAGTGGAAAAATAATTTTCCTCCTTAGAAATTGTTGAAACTCGGCTAAAGGGATTTGCAGTTGAGTTGTTCACATAGTATGTCAGAGTGTCCTGGTTCTGCTCCTACTTTCTGATAATGCATACCTACGAGGCCATCGGTGCTGGGTGAAGTGGTTGGATTCCTAACACCAAAATGGAAGATCTGTATGGGGTTCCTGGCTCACAGCTACAGTCTGGCCCAGGCTTGGCCCTTGCAGGCATCTGGGGAGTGAAGCAGCAGATGGGTTGGTTCACAGGCTGAATTAAAAACACATTTTTTGTAAGATTTATTTATTTTTATTGGGAAAGCAGATTTCCAGAGAGAAGGAAGGGCAGAGGAAAAGACCTTCCATCCACTGGTTCACTGCCCAAATGACAACAACTGGAGCTGAGCCGATCCAAAGCTGGGAGCCAGGAACTTCTTCCAGTTTCCCTCTTGGGTGCAAGATCCCAAGGGTTTAAGCCGTCATCGACTGCTTTCCCAGGCCACAAGCACGGAGCTGGATGGGAAGTGGAACAGCCAGACACAAACTGGTGCCCATATGGGATCTGGTACATGCAGGGCAAGGATTTAGTCACTGAGACAGCACACTGGGCCCAAATTAAAAATATATTTAAAAAATAAATTAAAAATTATTTTGCCAAAAGCAGAAGAAAAGATTTCTTATAAATCAATGAGAGTGGGGCCCATCGCAATAGTGTAATGGTTAAGGTCCTCACCTTGAACGCACTGGGATCCCATATGGGCGCCGGTTCTAATCCCGGCAGTCCCGCTTCCCTTCCAGCTCCCTGCTTGTGGCCTGGGAAAGCAGTGGAGGATGGCCCAAAGCCTTGGGACCCTGCACCCGCGTGGGAGATCTGGAGAGAAGTTCCTGGCTCCTGGTTTTGGATCAGCACAGCTCTGGCCGTTACAGCCGCTTGGGGAGTGAATCATGGGTGGAAAGATCTTCCTCTCTGTACATCTGCCTTTCCAATAAAATAAATAAATCTTTAAAAAAAATAAATAAAATAAATAAATAAATGAGAGTAAAAAGATAACAAAAAAAAGTAATCAAATAGGTTGGCAATTCGCATGCAAAAAAAGATAAACAGCCAATAAGTAGATGGAGGATGCTCTACTTTAGGGTTTATAAATAAAGGATTGCATAATAGGAGTACAATAATATTTTTCTCTCCATTTGACAAAACTTAAATTTTTGAGGTTTGTAATGTTAATGTCAAGGGTGTAGAAAAATAAGCATTCTAATACAATTTTTGATGTGTAAATCAGTACAGTTACTGGAGGTGATTAGACAAATGAAGCCATAAAAAGGATTTAAACTCTTATTTCCAGTTGTTTCATTTTTAGTAATTTAATTAGGTGAATAATAGGACAAATGCTAAAAGTAAATTCATGAGAACACTCATCATCGAATGCTTATAATAGTGAATAAAATAACATTAAATAAATGCTAGTATTATAATGAATGTGATTATAGTTTAGGAAGGAAAACAATTTATATTAATTTTAAAATGAAGTGGAGTTTGAAGTTAAATACTAATGTCCAATGCCTATGTGTATTTCTATAATTACCCAAGTATATGGTCAGCTGTTCCCTACATAGCCAGTTCCCTGCTTAGCCTCTTATCCCAACAAGTTAATGTCATGATACAATTAGAGTCTCTTTCAACTATTTAAAATGTAAAAGCAGGGCCCGGCGCGGTGGCGCAAGTGGTTAAAGGTCCTCGCCTTGCACGCCCGGGATCCCATATGGGCGCCGGTTCTAATCCCAGCAGCCCCGCTTCCCTTCCAGCTCCCTGCCTGTGGCCTGGGAAAGCAGTCGAGGACGGCCTAAAGCTTTGGGAACCTGCACCCGTGTGGGAGACCCGGAAGAGGCTCCTGGCTTCGGATCGGCATAGTATCAGCCCGTTGTGCTCACTTGGGGAGTGAATCATCGGACGGAAGATCTTCCTCTCTGTCTCTCCTCTCTGTATATCCGCCTTTCCAATAAAAAATAATAAAAATAAATCTTTAATAAAATGTAAAAGCAAATTTTAGCTTTTGAGTCCTACAAAAAACAGATATCAGATATGATTTAGCAGTAAGGCCATAGTTTGCTCATTCCTGATTTAAGATAAAAAAAATAGATTTATTTATTATTATAGAAAGGCATACTTACAGAGAGAAGAACATAATAGACAGAAAAATCTTTCATCTACTGGTTCACTCCCCAAGTAGCCACAATGACCAGAGCCGAGCCAATCTGAAATCAGGAGATTCTTCCAGGTCTTTCTCACAAGTGCAGGCTTCCAAGGCTTTGAGCCATCCTCCACTGCCTTCTCACATCTCAGCCAAGGAGCTGGATGAGAAGTGGAACAGCCAGAACACAAACTAGCACCCATATGGGATCCAAGTGTGGATTTAGTCACTAGGCCATTGCACCAGGCTCCAACAGATAAGCTTTTTGTAAAGGCTTATTTATGCTTGTTGCAAAGTCAGATACAGAGAGAGGAAGATCTTCCACCCAATGATTTACTCCCATTGTGGCTGCAGCAGCCTGAGCTGAGCTGATCCAAAGCCAGGAGCCAGGAGCTCCTTCTGGGTCTCCCACATGGGTTCAGGGTCCCAAGACTTTGGGCCATCATCAACTGCTTTCCCAGGCCACAAGCAGAGAACTGGAGTGGGAAATGGACCAGCTGGGATACGAACCGGCACCCATATGGGATCCTGGTGCATGCAAGGCGAGGACTTTAGCCACTAGGCTACCGCACGAGCCCAAGCTAGATTCTGTGTTGTTGTTAAGCCAGTTAAGTGACTGCCTGCAACACCAGCATCCCATTTCAGCACAGGATTGAGTCCTAGTTGCTCCATTTCCTCCATCTGATAAAAAAAAATTACCAAATGATCCAACATTCCATCTCAAGTATACCCAAATGAAATATGTTTGTATAAAAACTTATCTGCTTCTATCCATAGCAGCATTAATCATAAAAGTCAAAAGTAGAAACAACCCAACTCTCCTCCTTTCTGTATATCTGACTTTGCAATAAAAGTAAATAAATCTTTTTTTTTTTAAGATTTATTTTTATTATGTTTTTATTGGAAAGGCAGATATACAGAGAGGAGGAGAGACAGAGAGGAAGATCTTCCATCCGATGATTCACTCCCCAAGTGAGCGCAACGGGCCGATACTATGCCGATCCGAAGCCGGGAGCCTCTTCCGGGTCTCCCACACGGGTGCAGGGTCCCAAAGCTTTGGGCCGTCCTCTGCTGCTTTCCCAGGCCACAGGCAGGGAGCTGGAAGGGAAGTGGGGCTGCCGGGATTAGAACCGGCGCCCATATGGGATCCCGGGCGTGCCAGGTGAGGACCTTAACCACTTGCGCCACCGCGCCGGGCCCAAAAGTAAATAAATCTTAAAAAATAAATCTGCCTTGTCTTTCAAACTGTCACATTCCTACTAAAATTGTATTCTTTACTTGTAGTCCAGAGAAGAGAGCAGAAAGCAGGCTCTTGCAGCTAAAAGAGAAAAAAGAAAAGAAAAGAGAAAAAAGAAAAAAGAAGAACAGAAAAGGAAACAGGAAGAAGATGAGGAAAACAAACCTAAAGAAAATTCAGAACTACCAGAGGATGAAGATGAAGAGGAGAACGATGATGATGGTAAATAGCAGCCTAGTCACCTATCTAAATTAATTGCCAACTGCCTTATAATCTTCATTTTGAGTGTCTTTTTGCTCTAAATAACTCTGGTTAGATTTTATGCATCAGACAAGTAACTCTGATCGTCAGAGTTTCTAAATGCTTTTTGTTATGCCTCACAGAGAAAAGAGGAAGACAGACGCATAATTTGAAGCTTGATTATAACTTAAGTAACCTTGTAAAATACTGTGGATATACTAAGAATAGTAAAGTAAAAGACCTACCAGCTTTTCTTACCCTTAATTAGAAACTAGAGGAATATGTGTTCATTAATTAATTAGTCAATTAATTAAAATAAATTTTTAGCAAAGGATCTGGCTTTATGCCATAGAGGACAGATATGTTGTTAAAAGCTAGAAGTGACTACTTTCAAAGAATATATATATTATTCATATCTGCCAATGATTCTAGTAGGTAAATGATTTTGCTCTACTTAGATTCTATTTTGAAAATACTATTTAAAGGCAGCACAGTCGCCTAGTGGCTAAAACCTTGCAATCACCGGGATCCCATATGAGCACTGGTTCATGTCCCGGCTACTCTACTTTCTATCCAGCTCCGAGCTTGTGGCCTGGGAAAGAGGACAGCCCAAAGCCTTGGGACCCTGCATCCCATGTGGGAAACCCAGAGGAGACTCTAGGCTCCTGGCTTCGGATCTGCTCAGCACCAGCCATTGCAACTGCTTGGGGAGTGAATCAATGGATGGAAGATCTTCCTCTCTTTCTCTTCTTCTTTATATATATCTGACTTTCCAATAAAAGTAAATAAATATTTTTCTTAAAAATACTATTTAAAAATTTACCTAGATTCAAATCACATTATGGTTTTTAGATAGGTCATAAGACTAATATTTAATATCTGAAGTATATTAATGAGTTCAGATTTCGGGGAATCCTTTTATATATTTGTCATAACAAAAGTAAAAATTTTCTTGTTAATCATTCATGAAAATAGGTCCTTAAAGATTTAATTTTTATGAATTATTACATGTATTCTGTCATAATTTGAGTTCTGTGACTCTCAGTGTAATTTTTATCCTTTTTTCAGTTGAACAAGAAGTCCCCATAGAGCCTCCTAGTGCAACTACCACCACCACAATTGGAATTTCTGCAACATCTACAACATTCACCAATGCGTTTGGGAAAAAAAGGACCAACGTGGTGACAACCCCCAGCACCAATCGGAAAAATAAGAAGAATAAAACAAAGGAGACCCCTCCCACATCACATTTAATATTACCAGAACAACATCTGTCTTTAGCACAACAAAAAGCTGATAAAAATAAAATAAATGGAGAACCTAGAGGTGGTGGTGCAAATGGGAATAGTGATTCAGATAATTTGGACAGCACAGACTGCAACAGTGAGAGTAGCAGTGGTGGTAAAAGCCAAGAGTTAAATTTCACTATGGATATGAACTCTTCTAATGATAGGAAATGCCCCTCACTGCTTGTCCATTCCCAAGAAGAAAAGACGAGTTCCACAGCTTCCAAAACTCAGACACGGTAAATTTGCCTGATTTGTTAATTCTATATTCACATTTCATTTTTCATACCTAATGTGAGAATTTGAACTATATTATCCAAGCACAAGTTGTGATAAACAATTTTAAGAATTAAATATTTGTCTTCAATATTCAGATATGAGATTTATCTGTATTCTCTTAATTGTTTGCTACTTACAAAGTACAACTGTTAAAATTTTTTATAAGATTGACAATCTGAAGTTGAAAATATTAGCTCATTTTATTTAAATGTCATTTTTATCAGTGACAATCATTTGGATTCTGAATCCATTTTAATAATAAAATAGATGGCAACTGTGCTCTACTTCTGTTTTGACTTGTTTATTATTTGATGTACCAAACCTTTTTTTAAGATTTATTTCATTTTTTATTTTTTTTTAAGATTTATTTATTTTTTATTAGAAAGGCAGATTTACAGAGAGAACAAGAGACAGAGGTCTTCCATCCGCTGGTTCACTCCCAAAATGGCTGCGACAGAGCTGAACTGATCCGAAGCCAAGAGCCAGGAGCTTCTTCCGGGTCTCTCACGTGGGTGCAGGGTCCCAAGGACTTGGGCCATCCTCCACTGCTTTCCCAGGCCATAAGCAGGGAGCTGGATTGGAAATGGGGCTCCCAGGACAGGAACCGGTGCCCATATGGATGCCGATGCTTAAAGGTGGAGGGTTAACCTGTTAAACCATGTCTCCAGCACCTTGTTTCTATTTTTGAAAGGCAAAATTAGAGAGAGAGAGCGAGAGAGAGAGAGATCACCCATCCACTAGCTGACTCCCCAAATAGCTGTAACAGCTGAAGCAGGGCTGGTCCAAAGCTGGGAACCAGATGCTTCTTCTGGATTTCCCACATGGGTGCATGGGACCAAGTTCTTAAGCCATCCTCCTCTGCTTTCCTACACTGTAGGAGGGGGCACTGTAGGAAGTGGAGCTTCCCGGAACTTGAACTGGCACCCATATGAGATGCTGGTGCCACAGGAGGAGGCCTACAATATTACACCATGGCGCCAGCCCCTGCAGAAAAAAAAAATTTTTTTTCAAACAATTGTTTTTCTAAAAGGCAGAATGTCAGAGAGCAGGAAAGAGAAAAGAGATAAAGATATTTTTCCCCCCACTGGCTAACTCCCTAGAGATCACTACTGGGGTGCAGGTCAAAACTGGGATCCAGGAAATCAATATAGAACTTTCCTGTGGGTTGCGGGGACCCAAGAACTTGGTCTTCTGCTACTTTGCTAGGACAATTAATAGGGAGCAACATCAGAAGTAGAATTGAAGGGAGTCAAATCATTACTTCAGTGAGGGATGCCAGTACCCCAGCAGCAGCTTAAATAGCTGTGTCACAATACAAGTCCTTTCATGTGCTGAATTTTATTTGTTTAAGATTATGTCTTTGAAAGACAGAGTTACAGAGAAAAAGGCAGAGACAGAGATCTTCCATCCATTGATTCATTCCTCAGATTGTCACAACTGTTGGAAGCCAGCAATTTCATCTGGGTCTCCCATTGGGTGTCAGAGGCCCAAGTGCTTGGGCCATCTTTTGCTACTTTCCCAGATGCATTATCAGGGAGCTTGAGTCTTAAATCAGTATACTTACATGGGATGCCAGCGTTGAGGCAGAGAGGCTCCTTCTCTTTTTTCAGACTTGCTATTTTTCTCTTCTCAGACTTGAAGGTGAAGTAAATCCTAATTCCTCAGCCACAAACTACAAATCAGTGTCACTGCCATTAAGTTCGCCAAACCTCAAACTGAATCTCACTAGCCCTAAAAGGGGCCAAAAAAGAGAGGAAGGGTGGAAAGAAGTTGTAAGAAGGTAAGTAGAATTAATCCTATCTTTATAGCTTTAATAAACCAAGCAGGCTCTCTTACAAAATGATTACCTGATTGATTAATGACATTTTTCTTCATTGTCTTATTTTTAAAGATTGATTGGTTTATTTCGAAAAGATACATATTGGGTGTAGGGAGAACAGAGAGATCTTCTAGCTGCTGGCTTACTCCCCAGATGGTCACAACAGGCAGAGCTGAGCCAGGCCAAAGTCTTCCATATGGGTAACAGTAGCCCAAACACTTGGGCCATTTTCCCCTGCTGGGACAGGAACTGGTGCCCATATGGATCCCAGTACTTGCAAAGCAAGGATTTAATTATTGAGCCATCGTGCTGAGCCCAGAAATCAGCTTCTAAAATAATTTTCACTTTAATGTTTGAGAAATGCTTTTAAATTTTTATTGTAAGGAATAGATTTCATGTGTTTAATAGTTTGAGGGGTGTGTGTGTTTTTTAAGTAAAACATTGAGTATATTAAACACACTTGATTTCCGAAGTTCATATATCTGTTTTTTTTAGGTCAAAGAAGTTATCTGTTCCAGCCTCTGTAGTGTCCAGGATAATGGGAAGAGGAGGATGCAACATTACTGCGATACAAGATGTTACCGGAGCCCACATTGATGTGGATAAACAAAAAGATAAGAATGGCGAGAGGATGATCACAATAAGGTGATTATGAAAAATTCACTTCTGAGTTCTCAATCAGGAGTTCTATTTCATAAAAAGCACAATTTTCTTGAGTACAGTTAAGGGGATTTTTTGATACTGAAAGTTATCTGGATTTTTTTTTGGTCATGTTTTTGTTCTTATTTTTCTGCAGAGGTGGTACAGAATCAACAAGATATGCAGTTCAACTTATCAATGCACTTATTCAGGATCCTGCTAAGGAATTAGAAGACTTAATTCCTAAAAATCATATCAGAACACCTACCAGCACCAAATCCATTCATGCAAACTTCTCGTCTGGAGTAGGCACCACAGCAGCTTCTAGTAAAAATGCATTTCCCTTGGGTGCTCCAGCTCTTGTAACTTCACAAGCCACAACATTATCCACGTTCCAGCCCACTAATAAACTTAATAAGAATGTGGCAACTAATGTACGGTCCTCTTTCCCAGTTTCTCTGCCCTTAGCTTATCCCCACCCTCATTTTGCTTTGCTAGCTGCTCAAACTATGCAACAGATTCGACATCCACGCTTACCCATGGCCCAGTTTGGAGGAACCTTCTCACCTTCTGCAAACACTTGGGGACCATTCCCAGTGAGACCTGTCAATCCTGGCAACACAAACAGCTCCCCAAAGCATACTCCTACAAGCAACCGTCTACCTAACCAGAATGGGACTGTTTTGCCAACAGAGTCTCCTGGACTAACTACTGCTGCTTGTCCCATCACTGTCTCTTCTGTGGTTGCTGCCAGTCAGCAACTGTGTGTGACTAGTTCCCGGACTCCTTCATCAGTCAGAAAGCAGTTGTTTGCCTGTGTACCTAAGACAAGTCCTCCGGCAACAGCAGTTTCTTCTGTGACAAGCACTTGTAGTTCCCTGGCTTCTGTCTCCTCTACACCTGTCACAAGTGGGCAAGTTACAACCACGTTTTTGCCCACCAGTACCCCTCAAGCACCACTTTCTTCACAAAAAGTGGAGTCTTTCTCTACTGTGCCATCCCCCAAAGAGAAAGCATCTACACAGGACCAACCTACAGCAAATCTGTGTAGCCCATCTTCAACTGCGAATAGTTGCAGTAGCTCTGCCAGCAACACCACAGGAGCTCCAGAAACTCATCCACCCAGTAGTCCCACTTCTCCCTCCAGCACCACCCAGGAGGAGGCACAGCCGTCCAACGCATCTGATTTAAGCCCTGTATCAGTACCTTTTGCATCCAACTCAGAACCTGCTCCGCAGACTTTGACATCACCCAGAATGGTTTCTGCTGATAATCAGGACACCAATAATTTACCTCAGTTACCTATCCCAGCTCCTCGAGTTTCTCATCGAATGCAACCAAGAGGTTCTTTTTACTCAGTGGTACCAAATGCAGCCATCCACCAGGATTCCCCATCTATTTTTGTTACAAATCCAGTACCTTTAACACCACCTCAAGGCCCACCAGCTGCCGTGCAGCTGTCTTCAGCCGTGAACATTATGAATGGTTCTCAGATGCACATCAACCCAGCAAACAAGTCTTTACCTCCTACATTTGGCCCAGCCACACTTTTTAATCACTTCAGTAGTCTTTTTGATAACAGTCAGGTGCCAGCCAACCAGGGTTGGGGAGATGGTCCACTGTCGTCACGAGTTGCTGCAGATGCGTCATTCACTGTTCACTCAGCATTCCTGAGTAACTCTGTACTTGGACACTTAGAAAACGTGCATCCTGACAACTCCAAGGCACCTGGCTTCAGACCACCTTCCCAGCGAGTTTCTACTAGTCCTGTTGGTAAGTTGTTAATTACTGCTAGTGATTAACTTTGGGTTCTCACAGTCTGTTTTTATCTTCCAAGATAATACTCAGTTTGTGCTTAATATTACATGATCTGAAAGAAATGTTAACATGTCACAAGTAGTTAAAGATCCTTAATGATTACCGGCTGAATGAACAAAGGAAGTATGCATAGATAAGTCATTTAAGATAATGAGCTATTCTGTTTTCTAGGTGATGTTTCTCTTAATAACTGGGTTATGTCTCTGTCAGTTTGTTTTCTAGGAATTGGTGTCAAACAGTGTTATTTGACAGGATTCCAAATTTACAGACAAAAAATTATAATGATTGTGTTTCTTAGATTTAAAAAATTGAAATTCCAGGGGCCGGTGTTGTGGCACATTAGGTTAAATTGCTGATTGCAGTGCCAGAATACCATGTTGTAGCACTAGTTCAAGTCCTAATTGTTCCTTTTATCCAGTTTCCTGCTAAGGCACCTAGGAAGACAGCAGAAGATGGTCTGAGTACTTGGGCCCCTGTCACTCCTGTAGGAGACAGGGTTGGAATTCTTGGTCTCATTTCAACCAGGCTTAGCCCTAGCTTTTGTAACAAATTTGGAGAGTGAAGCTTCCATCAGATGGAAGATTTTATCCCTCTATTCCCCTCTTTTTCCTTCCCCTTTTTCCTTCCTTCCCCACTTCCTCTCCTTTTCCCTTTCTCTTGCTGCTTTTCAAATAAGTATTAAAAAAAAGAAAGAAAAGAAATGGAGTGCTGATACTGTAGCATAGTGGGAAAGCCACCTCCTGCAGTGCCAAAGTTCTATGTGGGCACCCATTTGAGTCACAACTGCTTCACTTTTTTTTTTTTAAGATTTATTGTTATTGAAAAGGCAGATCAGATTTATAGAGAGGAGGAGAGACACAAAGAAAGATCTCCTATCTGTTAGTTCACTCCCCAAGTGGCTATAATAGCTAGAGCTGAGCTAATCCGAAGGCAGGAGCCAGGATCCTCTTCTTGGTCTCCCATGCAGGTGCAGGGTCTCAAGGTTTTGGGCCATCCTCGACTGCCTTTCCAGGACACAAGCAGGGAGCTGGAATGGGAAGTGGAGCAGCTGGAACACAAACCAGTGCCCATATGGTATCCTAGCAGTTGCAAGGTGAGGATTTAACCACTAAGATATTGTGCCTGACTCTATAGGCTCTTACTTTAAAATAACCAACTTAGATTAAGCTATGATTCCTCAAAATTAGAAGTTATCTATTGAGGCATCATCAAAAAATGTACAGATGAATCGGAGACTGGTATTGAGTTGGAGATATTTGGAAAGCCACCATCAGAATGTATCAGCTAAATTTGAGTTGGATCTGTACCATTGTGAAGAACGAATTGGAAATGTGACTAACCCAGAATTAATCTAAGAAGCACTGTTGTCACTTAGCATTTCGTTATGGTAAGCTAGTAGAGGTCTTCAGGAGCCACAGAGTAGAAGAGCTCCTTGCCAGTGCCCCAGGCTGTGACTGAAACTATTTGTTCTTGATGTCCCTCTTGGAGCCCAGGATTAGAAAAACTCAGCCTAATTCCTTAGCTGGCTTCATGGAACATCCAATTTGGAAAAGCAGGTCACAGTCCTTAAAAAGCTGAACAGACCTCAGAATGGAATTACTGGATCATCTCTGTCTTATTAAGCAGATGAGAAATCGTCATTAAAAATAAAACTGTGTGATCCAGTAATTCCACTCCTAAGAATACTTACGAGAAGGCATGTCTACAGAAAATTGGTGTTCAAATGTTCACAGCAGTATTATCATAATAAAAAAATAGAAACAACTCAGTGTTCCACATCTGAACAAAATGTCACACCTGTATAAAGAATATTATCTTGGGCCCAGCGGTGTGGCCTAGCGGCTAAAGTCCTCACCTTGAACGTGCTGAGATCCCATATGGACGCTGGTTGTAATCCCGGCAGCTCCACTTCCCATCCAGCTCCCTGCCTGTGGCCTGGGAAAGCAGTTGAGGACAGCCCAAAGCTTTGGGGACCTTGCACCCATGTGGGATACCCGGAAGAAGTTCCTGGATCCTGGCTTCGGACCAGCATAGGATTGGCTGTTGCGCTCACTTGGGGAGTGAATCATCGGATGGAAGATCTTCCTCTCTGTCTCTCCTCCTCTCTGTATATCTGACTTTCTAATAAATAAATAAATCTTTTTAAAAAAAAATATTATCCTCACTTGACAATAAGAGAAAAGGTACAAATACATGTTCTAATATAAATGATGAACTTTGAAAACATTTGGCTAAGTGAAAGCACCCTAAAGCACTAGCCAAAGACCATTATTGATTCCGTTTATATGAAGTTTCCAGAATAGGCAAATCTGTACAGACATAGAGTAGATTAGGTTGTGGGGCTTGCAGTATGCAGAGTGGGGCAATAGATGTATGATGTACAGGTTTTCCTTTTAGGGCAATAAAAATATTCTAAAATGGGTTGTGCTGTTGAATGCAACTGAATGCATAACTTCAGATAATTGAAGAGCATTCTGTGTGAGTTAAACCTCAGTTGGGCCAATAACAAATACATTCACATGATATCTGTTTCATTTACTAAAAATGCCAGTCTGATTATCTTTATAAAAGACTGACAGAATTCACTATAAAAATAGTGACAAGAAGCTATTATAAAAATGATTTTTCCCTATGTAGTAGCACTTTGAAAGCCACATTGACACCATGGCTCAATGGCTAAATTCCTACCTTGCAAGCACCAGGATCCCATATGGGCACTGGCTCGTGTCCTGGCTGCTCTACTTCCTATCCAGCTCTGACCTGGTGGCCTGGGAAAGCAGTAAAGGATGGCCTAAAGTCTTGGCACCCTGCACCTACATGGGAGACCAAGAAGAGGATCCTCGCTCCTCTTCAGATGTGGCTTCAGATTGGCTCAGCTCAGGCTATTACAGCCACTTGGGGAGTGAATCATCAGATGGAAGATCTTTCTGTATCTCCTCCTCTCTGTATATCTGACTTCCCAATAAAAATAAATCTTAAAAAAAAAAGGAATAAGCAACTATGTTGGCATACTGGTATAGTTAACATAAATTTGGCATTAACCAAGCCCAGAGTGCCCGTCAGTTACTGGCTGCTTTCTCCCAGCAGTATAAAACTTGCTTAGGTATAAGGCAACCTAGGCAACTGCCTATAGCTCAGGCAAACTATTTGTTTTAATCATGAGGAAATCAAACTATTTGAAAATAAGACCTGCTTGAAAAGATTTGATAAATTTGTATTGATATTAACTATATTTTCCTGAAATGAGTACCTTATAATATCTTTCAAGAAGCTTGTTTCCTTTGTAGAATACTTTCTCCAGAGAACACAGTGGAATCGTGGTAGAGACTTTGATATAGTTTTCAACTATTTACATTTTGTTTTTGCACTAGAAATTGTGAAAATTAATCTTAGTGTTTTTCTCCTCTGTGAGGAAGCAGTCATTGTAAGAAACAATAATACCTTCTTTCAGAAGTGTCTATAGTTGTGTGATAAAAAGTTATATTTAGAGATTTTCCACAAAAGTGAACACAAATTTGTGATGGGTACCATTTCGTCATAGCATGCTCTCACATCATGGCTGTTTGAGTGAAAAGCTTCAAAATTTAGCTAGAGCATTACTGCAGGTGACTTCCATTTTTAACTATTTAGCTTGCTTTTCTATATTTAGTAGTGTTTGTTGGTATTGTGCATTGTAAGCAAAATTTTAAAAAATAGATTTAACCACCCATTCTTTTTGTTGTGATTTCCAAAAAGACACCAAATGTTTTCTTCTCTTTATAAGAAAATTAAATAAAGCAATGACTTTGTTTTAATTCCTTGGTTAATGGGATGTCTTGGACCTGTTTTGTTTCAGGGTTACCATCTATTGACCCATCAGGCAGCTCCCCATCTTCCTCTTCTGCTCCTCTGACAAGTTTCTCCGGTATACCAGGAACAAGGGTTTTCCTACCAGCGCCACCTCCTGTTGGGACTCCTAGTTTCAACAGACAACATTTTTCTCCCCATCCTTGGACAAGCGCCTCAAACTCATGTAGGAATCCTGGAGGAACTCATCCCAAAGAATCTTGAATAAGTTATTAAATGTTTGTTTCAGGGAATACTGTATTTTAGCAAGCTAAATGATTTGCAGAACCCCCCTCCCCCAAGGTTTGTATCATAGCATTAGTCATTTTTAGGATAGAAAACTTGAGAAAGAGTCAAGCTGGTCTTCCAAGCTAGAAATGCGTACATTTGGACTTGGACCTAAAGAGGTAATCTAGATAGTTTTACAAAAGGACCCTTTGCGAGCAGTGTTGAGAGAGAATTTCTGAAATCAGGAAAAAAGCTGGATTTATATGAATTACTGTTTGAAGTAATTGCTTATTTTTGCCTTTTATGAAACGATATTAGAAGTAGAAATATTCCTTTGTTCTGAGTTATTTTAATATTTAGAACAAATGAAGTATTTGGAATTGAACAGAATTTCATTTCTTTAAAATGAGTATCATAAGGTAGTCAGTAGTGTGGCTCTTTAACAAGGAACACCCCCCAAATTACCAGAGAGGAACTTTAAGAAGCAAAGCTGTGGATGCTTTACTCATGGTTACCCGTTCTTCCTTAGAGCAAAAAAGGTTTATATAAAGGAAAAAGAGAACTAACAAGCATAGAGAGCCACCAGATGTTTTTTTAATTCATTCTAGATATAGTGTAAACATTCCCACATTGTTAATTTTAAATATGATGATACATTGTTTTGAGAAAATTATTTAGAACTAGAGTGAGAGTAAATGTGGCTTTCTTCCTTTCTAGCTTTATTCAGTTTACGTGGGGGGAAAAAATGGGAGATAATTGTTTCTATACATTATAACAGAAACAGTATAAAATAATGATTGTAGAAATTACATATCTTCATTTGAATGATTATATCAAATGAAATTTTTCTTTACAGAATTATTATTATGGAGTAGAGCTTTACAACAAGGTTTCTCACACTCTTAGTTTTTATATGTAATAAAACAATAGAGAAATATTTTGCCACCAGGTGACTCTCCTATTCCATCTGTTTCTTCGGGATCATCTTCACCTCTTTCAGCCACTTCTGCTCCACCACCTTTGGGCCAAGCAAAAGCAGGCAGTGCAAGTCAGGATCGGAAGATACCGCCTCCCATTGGAACTGAGCGACTGGCACGGATTCGGCAAGGAGGTTCTGTGACACAAGCTCCTGTGGGGACCAGTTTTGTAGCTCCAGTTGGACACAGTGGAATCTGGTCGTTTGGTGTTAACGCCATGTCAGGTACAGTTACCTTATCCCCTCTCTGAAGGGATATCTCAAGTAAGTTGCAAGAGTTTGCTGTTAAAACTTTCTTTTAAAAACAAAAACAAAACTCAGTTCTGTGGTTAGCAGTCAGTCATGAAAGAATGGCTGTATCTTTGAGAGTTAGGTCCAATTTCAGAGTCTAGAGTTAATTAGAAATAAATGATGTGGGCACAGAGCCATGGCCTAGTAACTAAAGTTCTCCCCTTGCATCTGCCAGGATCCCATATGGGTGCTGGTTCTTTTTTCTTTTCTTTTTTTAATTGGAAAGGCAGATATACAGAAAGGAGGAGAGACAGAGGAAGATCTGCTGTCGATGATTCACTCCCCAAGCGGCCGCAACAGCTGGACCTGAGCCAAACAGACTTCAGAGGCCTCTTCTATGGCTCCCATGCGGGTGCAGGGTCCCTAGGCCTTGGGCTGTCTTCGACTGCTTTCCCAGGCCACAAGCAGGGAGCTGGATGGGAAGTGGAGCTGCCGGGATTAGAACCAGTGCCCATATGGGATCCTGGCACGTTCAAGGCGAGGACATGCTATCATGCCAGGCCTTGAGTGCTGGTTCTCATCCCAGCAGCCCCACTTCCCATCCAGCTCTCTGCTTGTGGCCTGGGAAAGCAGTCAAGGACAGCCCAATGCCTTGGGACCCTGTACTCTCGTGGGAGACCCGGAAGAGCTTCTGGCTCCTGGCTCATGTGTCCTGGCTTTGGACCTGTGCAGCACCAGCCATTGTGGTCACTTAGGGAGTGAATCATCGGACAGAATATATTTCTCTCTGTCTCTCCTCCTCTCTATGTATATCTAACTTTGCAATAAAAATAATTAAATATTTTTAAAAAAAGAAATAAATGATGCAAACAAGCTACTTTTTCCTCTTAATAAGCTTGCTAACTCATTAGACTTTTTTTTTCTCTAGCAAAACTGTGGCTTTTGTGCTGTTTTCTCTAGAAGATTTGTTTTTATAAAATTTGGTTAGAAAAAGAATAAAGTAATATTTTATTGTTTTGTCCAAATATTAAGGCCTGTTTTCAATTATTTTTTTCCAGAAGGCTTATCAGGTTGGTCGCAGTCTATGATAGGAAACCATCCAATGCATCAACAACTATCAGACCCAAGCACATTCTCTCAGCATCAACCATTGGAGAGAGATGAATCTGGAATGGTAGCCCCCTCTAATATTTTTCATCAACCAATGCCAGGTGGTTTTGTGGATTTTTCCAAAGTGAGTTGACAAGATTTATTGTAATTCATTTGACACTTTGCTGGTCTTTGTAGTTACATGTTAAGGAACAGTTCATATTGAAATAATATTCCCTTTTCCATTACTACCAAATATTTTGCTCACTTTCAAGGAGATAGCATGGTTCATATTAGTTTGTTCACACATTATCCTATAGAAGTTTTTATCCTTTTAATATATTTGAGGGACTTAAGTTTTACTGCTTTGTATTCTGTTGCCACAACTTTGAAGAAAGCCTCTGCCTCCCTGAAAAGCTTGTTGTGTCCTGTCCAATATTTTCTTGTCTTTTTTGATAGCTTCTTGGCTGCTGTAACGCCAGACTATGGCTGCAAGCTGTCCCCTTTTGCTCTTAGAAAAACTTATTAGTGAAATTAAAATGTGGGAAAGTTGGGGGTATTACATAATTTAATACTGGATTTAGTTGCAGTTTTACGTTTTTTCCCTTTCTCTTCTTGTTTAAGTGTTGGAAATGCATATAAACAACTGGGGTCTCTCGTCACTGTTCCATGCTATACTTTAGGATTCTTTTGAGTTCTCTGAATTAAGGGAAGGTTAAAGAATCTGTTATAGAAATCATTATTTAAAGTTACTTCAAAGTTAAAATCTTTTTCTGCTGTTTTAGGGTTTGCCAATTTCCATGTATGGAGGCGCTATAATACCTTCTCATCAGCTTGCTGATGTTCCAGGAGGCCCACTGTTTAATGGGCTTCACAACCCAGATCCTGCTTGGAATCCTATGATAAAAGTTATCCAAAATTCAGCTGATTGCACTGATGCCCAACAGGTAAAACAGATTTAACGCTCTTATTACTTTTTTTTTCAAATTTATCATATAATTCTTTTAATTATTCAATTCAAAATGTTTAAAGTCATGACTGAACTCCTTGATATAAAGTTTTTTTCAATCTCACAATGATGCTACCAAGCATTTATTTCATATGTTTGTATTCTTTCCAGGCAGAAACAGTGAATTGCCGTTGCATATATTTATTCATTTTGTAAATGTCTAAAGAATCCTAATTAGAAATTCCAATTTTTCCTCCCCCTTTTCAGATTTGGCCTGGCACATGGGCACCTCATGTTGGAAACATGCATCTCAAATATGTCAACTAAGTTATAAGAATAAAGGTCTTTACTCTTTAGCATTGTTTGAGAAATCCTATGACCTTGGAAGAACTCTGGGGATTTTTTTTTCTTAATGTGCCTAATTAAGATATTTTTCCTTGAGGCTTTAGCGATGAAACATTACTGCCCATTGTATAAGAACAGACTGATTTCCTATCCACCTGATTATGTTCTGTGGTTAGTTTAGCCATTTTCTTTTTTCTTTCTTTTTTTTTTTTCAGTTTAGCCATTTTCAACTTAAGATCAGATGAATTTAGTGCTTTTGACTAAACATACTGTGTGCACTTGTATGCAGAAGAAGAATTAGATGATTACATGTTTCAGCCTTTTAGGGTGGTAAATACATGTATAATTGTTTACATACTTAAAAGGAAAACGTTGAGTAAATTTATTGTCTTAGAGTGGCTCTATCTAATGTAGCCTGTATCAATGTGAAATACTGACCAGAATCTTCAATAAAAAGATGAACAGTGTTTAGAAGTGGGGTGTGATCCTTTCAGTGGTCATGAAGATAACTACCCAATCCACATTCATACACAACCAGATTATTAAAACTGTATTTGCAACAGGTTTCTTACATTTTACACTTTTACAGTCCATTCTTAGAACTGCTTTGAAAAAGCACTTCTTTTTTAATATTTATTTTTATTGGAAAGGCAGATATAAAGAGAGGAGGTGAGGTAGGAAGATCTTCCGTCTGTTGATTCACTCCACAAGTTGCCACAACAGCTGGAGCTGAGCCAATCTGAAGCCAGGAACCAGGAGCCTCCTCTGAGTGTCCCACGCAGGCACAGGGTCCCAAGGGTTCGGGCCATCCTCAGCTGCTTTCCCAGGCCACAAGCAGGGTGCTGGATGGGAACCAGGGCTGCCAGGGTTAGAACTGGTGCCCATATGGGATCCTGGGTTGCACTTTTAAAACTAGTTTTCTGTTCTGTGTTAAACAGTCCTCATTCCCTTCAATATCGTGTTACATGTTAGATAGTTGCAAGCCTTGGCATTTTGTCTTTTTTTTAAAAAAAAATTTTTTTTGAAGGCACAATTATATAGAGAAGTAGAGACCGAGAGAGATTGTCCATCTGCTGGTTCACTCCCCAAATGGCTGCAACGGCAGAGCTTAGCCAGTCTGAAGCCAGGAGCCTCATCTAGGTCTGCCATGTAGGTGCAGGGGCCAAAGGACTTGGGCCATTCTCCTCTGTTTTCCCAGGCTGTAAGTGAGGAGCTGGAGATACGATTTAGTACTCATTGGGATGCCAACACTGCAGTGAGAGGCTTAGCCTACCACACCTCAATGCAGGCCCTTGAATTATGTCTGTTTTATCTGTGTATCTATCTGTTTATTTATTTTTGCTATCTTGGTTTTTTGGAATTATATCTTAATATATCAGTTAGGTCACTGATAGTTTTCACTATCTGTGAATCATAAGTATGTCAATCAGAACAGGTGGATTCAATCAGTAGACACTGAACAAACTTGGGGGCCACCCAGATCATCAAATTCCAGTTTGTTTTTGTGTTTCCTGAGTTTCATTTATCTGAAATATTTATTTGCTTATAGGTATTTTATTTGAAGGACATAAAGGGGGGATGACTTTTGTTGGTCTGCTGTATTATTGAATCAGCTGAATGTTTACAACTGTGTGACTAATTCTGGGCATAGTTCCATGGCTCCAGTTTTGTGGAGACAATATGTTCAGCAAACTAAACACAGGAACACTGAAATGGTTGTGGTGGCCAAATCATAGGCTATGCCAAGAATCTGATGCAATAGAAAAGAAAATTAACCCACTGAGAAGTACATTCATCAGTTCGTTCATGAACAAGAAAATATTTGGAGTTGATTAAAAAGCAAAGGAGAATATACAGAAAAAGGGTAGTACCTATAGGAAGAACTGTACAGATAGCACTTTTGAACTGTCATACCAACAGGAATTCTTAATTCTTCTCTCTGGAGCCTAAAGACAGATTAGACCCACTGTGCTTGTTTCTTGTTAGACATAATCTGATTTTTGGCCTTCCATTATCAGCTTAATGTATGAGACAGCTTCCTGAAGTTCAATTCTTACTTCCTATTTTTATTAGATTTAAAAGAAGGTATCACTGCTGTTAAAGCTGTTCCTTTGCTGCAGTTGATAGCCTTATCAGGCTGTCTCAAGCGGTCCTCTGACCTTGATTTGGTGATGGGGAGGGGACAGAAGACCCCTGGAATCAGGGACATAATCTTGCTGTTTCCACTTACTGTTAATGACAATTTAAAAATTCACCTAAAATTAGCAAAATAAATAGAACTACTCTTAGTGAAATATATAATAATGAGGGATAAAATGAAATGAATGAATTCAGTTACTTGTATGTTTTGTCTGAAATGTTTAATATATTTGAATTGTCTGGAGGAGCCTGTATGTCTCTGTACCTTGAGATAAATTTTACCTCGGGTCAGGAACTAGACCACATAAAGAAAAAGGCAATTATGAGAAACCCAAGGGAATTAGCAAGAAACAGTTGTGCAATTGGAGGTGGTTCTTTAGGATATATTACTCTTTCCTCTTACCAGCACTGCCTTCTTTCTCTATATTTGGATCTCAGTAGCCTCCTCCCAATCCCATTTCTCCTGGTATAATCTCTTCTTCCTCTGCCTGACTCTCCTGGCATTACTGTTATTGCTATTTTACCAAACTGAATGTTGGATAAAACCTAGCTCAGGTAAGAATTTGGTTATTTTCAAGGTACACAAGGGATATGAGGGAGGTAGCATGGGTGCAAGAGTCAGAAGCCTCCATCTGCTTTCATGTCTAAAACTGGCACCTGCATGATCTTACCTAGACAAATAATCTCATGTCTGTGTCCTGCACTCTATCTGAAAAATGAAAATGAACCTAACTCAAAATGGAGTCTTTTAGTTCTAACATAGGTTTTCTTCTCATGAACAAGAATACCAAAGTTAGAAATACTGGTAACCATGAGAATGTTTTTGCAGAGCAGAGGTTGAGAGCCCTTATTTCTCACATGGAATCCAAAGGGGAGAGTACTGACTGAGACTTTAGTGAAGGCAGAAAACCTTTCACAATCCACAGGGAGCCCTGCTCAGTTCATTAAGAAACATCCTGCTAAGGCACAATAAACCTCATGAGTTATAGTTCTTTCCAGAACAAAACTATTACATCAAGGTTTCTGGACCGTTACTTCCAGTGCTGTTCAATATAATACAAATCCATCAATGACAGAATTATTGATGTTTTAAGACCCTTTAAACCTGTTGTGGCTACAGTGTGCTGACTTGCCCTTTTATAGGCCAGTCTGCTTCCTTCAGTCCCTGCTCTCAAAGGGGAAATTTCGTCACCTCAGCTAACGAGACCGAAGAAGAGAGTTGGACAGCCAGTGGTGGCTTCTCCTAACCAGAGGTAAGAAATCTCAGGACTTGGAACTCTGGTTCCCATCTGTTGTGTAGGTTCTGGCCAAATCTTTCTCCCAACCTCATGAATAGTGCACAAAGGGAGCATTCTCAGTTTTGAGCTAGCTTGTAGAAGGGTAAATATTATAACCATTTTATGGTTTGAAGCCAAACAGAAGAGTACTTAGTATAGGTAGTTCTGTCTCACTGTTGAAGACCTTTGGACTCGATTGTAAACCCAGGAAAAAGCAAATAAACCTGGAGGAACTACTCCTGAACATGCTGTTCTAACTAGCAAGATGCATTGCTACCAGAAAGTGCGCCTGGTTTGACTTTCTTCCCAGTGGACCCTGCCCTGGGGTGAGAAGTTCTGATAATGGCCCATTTTCTTTCTCACTTCACTGGTTGTCTCTTTTTTGTAATTACCTGCCACCTCCTGTGTTGTTTTAATGGTATCAAATGTGAACTGAAAAGCAGCTGTTCTGATAGCAAAGACCTATATTTCCTTACAGGATTAATCACAGCTCTGAAAAAAGTAGGGCCTGGCTATAAGTCTGGGTTTTTTGGATAATTAGTGTTGCCCCCTCTCGTTTAAATTCTTAGTCCTTCATCCTGCTTTCATGGATAAACCTTTCTCTCTAAAGCCAACTAATTATTCTGTAGTTTCTCATTCCTGACCTACACATAATTTCTCAAGAAAAGTCAGCTGTAGGCATTAGTTTTTATTGTAGTAACTGCTGTTATTTGTAGTAGAGATTAGTAAAAGGGAAATCTCATTCCAACATTGATCCTTCTTGAAAATCGTTGGCACTTCTCTCCTAGTCCTAGGTCTGGCTGTTATTCTCTTGATAAGTCCTTTCTTCACAGACCCTTGGACAAATGTCAGTGTGCCCTGGTAATCTCATCCGGCATTCTGGGACTTCACACTGCTCAAATCTGGAGCACTAGCCCAAAGTTTCCCTCTGAACTTCATACCAGTAGCTCTACTTCCTTCCTGTCACCCTGGACATTACACCAATACTCATTCCCCACTTTTAGATATGCCCCTCTTATTTTCCCCTTCTTTCTTATTTTCTTATTTATTAAATGGTATACCAGCAAAAATAAATAAAAATAAAAATAAATAGTATACCAGCTGCTAGGACTCTGGCACCCTTCACCTCACCTCACCCTTAATTAGCGACCTTATTCTTCTCTGTTCCCACAGTTCTTTCTCCCACCTGGTTTCACTAGGCTGGACTCTCCACCTTTGGTCTCACTATCCTTTACCCCATCCTTCTTTGCTCTCACCCTCCAGCAAGACTTACTCTCCCACCTTGCTTAAAAGCTGAGTTACAGTAGATGGCTCTCCAGTCTTTCAGGCTTGACCTTCCTGTATTATCAAGACACCTTATGAGGCTGGCACTGTAGAGTAGTGGGCTAAGCCTCCACTTGTGACACCATCTCATAGTGGATGCTGGTTCCAATCCTAGCTGCTGCACTTCAGGTCCAGCTCCCTGCTTTTCGCATAGGAAAGCATCACAGGTTGGCTCAAGTCCTTGGGCCCCTGTACCCATATGGGAGGCCCAGAAGAAGCTCCTGGCTTCATATCAGGTCAACTCCAATCCTTGTGGCCATTTGGGGATTGAATCACCAGATGAAAGGTGTGTGTGTTTGTGTGTCTTTCTGTAACTCTGCATTTCAAATAAAAAATAAAAGGACACTTCATTTAGGTGCAAGAGGCTCCAAAACCTTATTTGGAATCACATATGCTTGCTGCTTGGTGTGTGCTTCTGAGGATCTGCAACACTACAGAATCTGAGATTTAAAAAGTGTAGAATTTTTGGTCAAACTTAATCTATATCAGAGTGCTCATTTTTTAAAAGATTCCTTTTTATTTATTTGAAAGGCAGGGTTACTGAGAGAGGAAGATCTTCCAAATGACTGCAACAGCTGAGTGCCGGGCCAAATCCAGGAGCTCAGAGATTTTTTTTCAGGCCTCCCACTTGATTGCAGGAATCCAAATAATTGGGTCACCATCCACTGCTTTCCTTGGCACATTAACAGGGAACCAGATCAGAAATGGCACAGCCAGCTCTTGAACCCCTGCCTATGGGAATCTGACGTTAAAGTTTGAGAAACTGATTCTTACAATAATGCTTTTTTTTTTTTTAAAGATTTATTTTTATTATTTTTTATTGGAAAGGCGGATATACAGAGAGGAGAGACAGAGAGGAAGATCTTCCGTCCGATGATTCACTCCCTAAGTGAGCGCAACGGGTCGATACTATGCCGATCCGAAGCCAGGAGCCTCTTCCGGGTCTCCCACTCGGGTGCAGGGTCCCAAGGCTTCGGGCCGTCCTCGACTGCTTTCCCGGGCCACAGGCAGGGAGCTGGAAGGGAAGCAGGGCTGCTGGGATAGAACCGGCGCCCATATGGGATCCCGGGCGTGCAAGGCGAGGACCTTAACCACTTGCGCCACCGCGCCGGGCCCGCTTTTTTTTTTTTTTTTAAATGAGGATATTGCAGCTTAAATTTAGGGGGGAAAAAAGAACTGAAAGAATATGATGAAGCCAGAGCTACTTTTATTATTTTTTTCCTTTTGGAGCTACTTTTCATAAATGAGTTCAGTCCAATGCTCTGCACTTAGTTTTGGAGGTTGGAGACAGTACTCATTTTGAGGAAGCCAAATACGACCAGTGAATGAAGCTGGAATTTTTTTTTAACTGTACATAGATACTAGTCTTAACTGTCTTGTCATTTCTGTCTTGCCTGCCACATCACTATATCCATATCAAAATATCTTACCCTCCATAGCCAGAGTGACCAGTATTCTTACCTAGAGGCCAACCCCTTTTCACCTATTTCCCACCTTTCCTTAGCTATGGCCGCAAGGTGGAAGGACAGGCCTCCCCACTGTTGATGTCTCAGATGTCGCCTCCCCGCAGATTCTGCCCTTACTTATTCTTTAATAAATCCAGCTTTCGCTGCCTTTTGGAGCCAGCACCCTTTTCACTTTGTACCATAATTGTCTGTATTTATGGGGGCAGCTGTGCTGAGAGACTCTGTAGATAAATTCAGGTTTGAATCCCAGGTTCCCCTCCTCCAAGACATGTGACTCTGAGCCACTAACCTCTGTTGGGGGCTTTTCTTCATGGTAAAATATGGCAAATTGTGCTTTACCCCATATGCTGTTTCACCTGCCCCCCAATTCCCAGTGGTCACCTGTAACAGTCACAGCCCACCAGGTCATGTAACACCTGTAGTGGGCCTAGCCAGTGATGGGCCAATAGGGACTGAGGCGGGTGTCCTTTAACAGCTTGGGCAGAGCCAGGGCTTGCTCCCTCCCTGGGGGCAGGGACGAGGTTGAGTGACATGGCTGCTCCGCCCTGGGCTTGACGTAGTCCTGGTGTTGTTGCCTGAGGCCACAGTTGGTTAACTAAGGCCACCTCAGACTTTGTGCTGTGCTCCTCGTGGCTTTCTCCCGTGCCCACAGCACCAGCTGGTCACCTTCCTGAGCCTTCTCGCTATGTCTACATCAACAAGCTGCCCGATTCCCGGGGACAGGGACGGGCTGCTCAACTGCTACAGCACCACGCCGGAGGGCACGCTATATGCCACTACCCCGGGAGGTCAGCGGGCCAGGGTCCACCAGCTGTGGACCAGCGCATGAGAGCCGTCTCAGGGCGGGGGTGGGAAGTTGTGTGCTTTTGCCTTGACACCGCAGTACCCTCCGCAGGCTGTAGTGTTAGGGGAGGAGATTTGAAACAGAGACCTAGTTTTCATAAACGTCAAGAGATGTGACAGTGCTTTGATCCCAGCTTCCTAATAACCGGGCTGTGATCCCTCTCTGGCTTGGGTTTGGGACATCCACTGCAAGCTCTGAGCCTCCCAACATCGCCCCCTGGCATCTGGTCAGGAAACTGGGGCTAAGGCTTGAAGTTTGTACCACTGGCTGGTGGTGGTTTGGTGGGGCGAAGCAATCAAGAGTTGCTGGACTCTGGGTGCAGGGGTTGCTGCCACATGGAAGCATAGGGGAGGGGTGCGAACAGGACAGGGACACTGAGGGCCAAGTTCCTGGGGGCTGAACCTTACAGGGATCAGGAGAGGCTCAGATAAGAACGTTTCCCATGTTTCAAGGGAACCAGCTCCTCACTGTGGAAGATGAGAACCAAGTTGGCAGAGTGAAGCAGTAGAACTGCCAAACAAGGACATTCAGAGGGATAGCAGAGCATCCCTAAGTCCCCAGGCTCCAAGTTTGGTGCTCTTCTTTGAGCACAGACCGGAAGCTCCCCCAAACCTAAAACCTGCATCAGCTGGAATGTCCCACTTGCTTTATGCTGTTGAGCCACATCTGGGCTAGGACCAGGATCCTATTAGTGAATTCTGTGCAGGTTTCTTGGGAAAAATCCTAGGATTGCAGAGCAGATGCCCTTTGACACAAAGGGTAACACTGGTACACACCATACTTCCATTTGCCAAAAAAACTATATCTGGGGCCCCAGTTCTGTGAGCTCCCAATCTCCTGACTCTAACCTCAGCCCCTACCCCTCATTAGGCACCAGGATCATCTACGACCGAAAGTTCCTGCTGGAGTGCAAGAGCTCACCCATTGCCCGGACACCCCCTTGCTGCCTCCCTCAGATTCCCGGGGTCACAACTCCTCCAACAGCCCCACCCTCCAAACTAGAGGAGCTGAAGGAGCAGAAGGAGACAGAGGAAGAGATACCCGGTAAGGAAATAAGGGCCTAACATGACAGAATGCTCCCAGCCCTTGAGTTCAGAAGCTTTATGAAGTGAAATGGGTATTCAACTCCAAGAGGGATTTTTACATTAACACTGGGCCTGCATGCCCTCACACCAGCAACCGGTCCTGCCTTTTCTCTCTCCAGATGACGCACAATTTGAAATGGACATCTAATCCAATGCAGATGAACCCTGGTGTGGAATTATAGAGGGAGCCCTCAAGCCGCTGCTGTCACCACCTCTTTCTGGGGTATCCAAAGGCCAGCTGGCCTCATCTGATGTGGAAGGGACTGACATTGATTCCGGGCCTCCTTAGTTCTGAGGCAGCTAGACCAGGGATAAGAGTGGGCTATTTGCCAAGCCCTAGCTCTATTTTATCCTTGGTCTGTAGGTACTCCTCCTAGCCCATCCCTCTATGCTTACGGGCTGGGACTGAGGGTGGAGTATGTCACCTTTTGTCTGCTTAGTAAACATTCAGAGAAATGCATTGCCTCCAGTGTTCTCAATGCTGGTATATCCAGGTTCAATCACAGGCTATACAAGAACTGCCAAACCAGAAGCAGCAAATGTCTTATTCTTGTCAGGGGCTCTTCCTGCCTTTCCAGGAAGCAGTCTTCTGGGAACAGGACCTTCTCAGTCTTCCCCTATTCATTCCAAAGCAACAATCTCCCATTCTGGAAACATATGCTCTTATAGCATCATGTCCACCAAAAACCTGGGTTTCTTTTTTTCAAAGGTTCAGGAGAAACTATAGGACCCATATTAGAGTCCAAAATAAGACAGCACCTTATTTGATTGGAGCAAGTCCTGGTATTTCTCTTCAACTTCTACAAAAACCCCATTGCTTCTTACCCTGTCCCACCAGCATACTTGAACAGTGATAACAGTGCAAACTGTGCAGTCCAAGTCTGTTCTCAGGTTGATGTGAACCCAAAGGTGAAGCTGTTCCCCTAACCAAAGGATGTTTGGGGAAAGAAGCTGTCAGCAATCTGGTCATGCTCAGTTAAGCCCTTTGTGATGAAAGAAGGAAGGAAAACAGGTCTGCAGGATACACAGGGCTCAAGGCACTTGAGGACACCAATGAGGACCAGAGTTGGCACAGGAAGGGCTCATGTCCTACCGGAGGCCCACCACCGAGATGTTTTTATTGAAATGCATGTTTGGGGTCACAAGTGGCGGCCCTATTGCCTAGTTCCTTTTCCCATACACGTGGGTCAGGCCAATAGGACAGCGTCCCTAGTGGTGAGGAACCAAGTGAGAAAAGTCCTGCCACATCAAGGCATAGGTGATGTGGTGTGAGTCCAGGGAACCAGCAGGATTATGGCACCTGCTGAAAGCCTGGCCTGGTCTCGTTCTCAGCTGCGGCTTCAGATCTCCCTTCGTTGGCGGCCTCCTCTGAAGATAGACTCCTCTTTTCTGCAATTAATCTTTTAACTCCCACCATCCACTGACTGACTTCTGTCACATGGTCCACCATGAGTGAGCGGTGTATGTCATCTGCTGCATCCCACTGGTGACTTGAAAGCTCTAAGAGGAGACAGGGATTGAGCAAGCTACGTGGGTTAAGAGACAGATCCCCTGCCTCCCATCCCAGTTAGTCAAAATGTCAGCGTCTGTTCCAGCTCAAATAGCCATGGCAGGACAAGACACTTAGGCTGTGCCAGAAAGCCCACCCATACCTTGCACCAGCAGAGCCATCCTCTTCTTTACAGGAACTGACAGCTTCCCTCCAACCCACTGTTCCCGCAGGAGCACCAGGCGGCGGCTGATGTCATCACATAGCTGCTTCTGAGAGATACAAGTGCCCTCCCAATGTGGTAGCCCAACAGGGAGTGGGGAAGGCATCAGAAAGGTGCCTGCTTTTGCTGGCCCAGGAAGTTTGCAATTAAACCTTAGAGTTTTGGGTCTTGATCCAAAGGTTAGATTTCCTCACTAAGAACCTACTAAAACATATACATATATGGCTAGGATTTTTAAATTTCAGGGATTTCTCAAATCCTCAAAAACTCATATTGTTACAAATAAGGAGACTAAGAGATAAAAGAAATTATCATTATGTCTCCTAAGAGTGTCCTCAGATCTCTTGCCTCCAGAAAACTTAGGAAACACTAATAGAAATTACCCAAGCACAAAGTCATCACTCTGCTCTGAATAGCCTGAAGGTATAGAAAATCAAGCTGACAATGGTTCTGTAATGGAAACTAAATTTTCACAATCTTCTTTTAATTGGTTTTAGTGAACCCTTCTGAAAGACTATGTTTATTTTTCTGGAAAGACCATATCAGGTTCTGCAGACGTCAATAAAAGCCGTTGCTCACAAGCTATGGATGGGAGCTCTCCCCAACCCCGGAATGCCAGGCTTACCCTTGTGTGGCCGTGACAGTCCTTCAATGCCTGTTCCAAAGGACCCAGAACATCCTCCATCAGAGCCTCAGACTCAACGACTGGGGAACTTGTAGACTCCACACAGGAAGAGGAACATCTCTCCCCAGGTGGAGGCCCGGGAGCCTTACTTAGAGGTGGTGGTCCAACTGGGGGGTGCCCCGGAAGGATCTCTGATGTGGGAACTGGAAGGTAAAGATCAAACAATACAGCCTAAATAGGTAAGCAGCACAACTCGAAATTCATCCTTTCTAAGGGCTACTCTCTAGCATAACACACCTACACACAAATGTGCACTTACTGTCCCTACTATATCCCAGACATCTGCTGCACACCAAAGATTGCAAACCAAACAGGTTCCTGAGAAAAGTTTCTGTTTCTAAGTTATGTTACATGCTACAAAAGAAATATAAACTGATTATGTGGGCCTGGCACAATGGCTCAGTGGATAAATCCTTGCCTTCCATGCACAAAGATCCCTTTTTGGCACCGGTTCATGTCCTGCCTAATCCACTTCCCATCCTGCCCCCTACTTGTGGCCTGGGAGAGCAGTGGAGGATGTCCCAAGTCCTTGGAACCCTGTGTCCATATGAGAGACCCAAAGGGAGCCCCTGGTTCCTGGCTTCAGATCAGCTTAGCTCAAGTCATTGTGGCAATTTGAGAAGTGAACCACCAGATGGAGGATCTTTCTGTCTCTCCTCTGCAAGAGCTGCCTTTCCAATAAAAGTGAAATAAATCTTTAAATAAAAACTTGAGTTCTCTGAACTTGTTACAAATAACTTGCTTAAATGAGGTGCTATAGTAAACTGTGAGTTTCACAAGGTTGCAGTAACTTAGGAATACAGATATAGCTGCTAGGTGTGCATACAGCAAAACATAATCACAAAACTAGCTGATTTTACTCAGTTTCGAACTGATGGATGAGAAAGATGCAGCAAGAAACAACTGAAGGAATACATACGAGGCAGAGGTTAAGGGCAGTTCCCAAGAAGCAGGGAGAGACACTTGTTCTAGGGACAGAAATGAGATCTGTATGTTTGGAAATCAGTAACACTGGAGCTATAAGCAGGGATCTAGATGCTGCAAGGCCTTCCAGGAGTTTGTCTTGAACCTAAGGGTAAGAGGATCCAAAAGTGGAGAGGAGATGGACTTATTTACATGTGTGTTCTGTGAACAACTGAGAACAGGTCAAAAATGGAGGCAGGACACCAGCTGGAATATTAGTAATCCAAGCAAGAAGATGCTGTCAAGGAGTAAGACTAGATGAGGGCAGTGGTCTAAGATTGATTTAGGAAATAGCAGCTTTGGTGGATTGCAGGTAAAGAAGAGAGGAGTCAAAATTATTTGGTGTCTGATTTTAGCAATGAAAACCAATGGAAGAGAGTCAGGCATTTACTTCTAGGCATTAACATCAAGAATGATATTTTAATTCATCTAATCATTTGGCTTCTCAGTGACCTGAATACCTACCTTACCTCCAGTACTCATATTTGTTCCTCGTACTGCAGTTTCTCATTCCCCTCTGTCTTATTCACAATCCACTGTCACCTCTGAATCTCATCTCCCCTCCCTACTCTTCTAGCCCAGCTATTCCAGTGTCTGGGGGTGTTATAACATTCCCTTATAAATTCTGCCTTCTTCACTTCTTCCCACTGTCCCGCTTTTTTGTTAAACCCAACTTGCCCATACTTTGGAACAAAAAACTATGTACATATTTATGCCAAGCTCATGGCTACAGATCTCAAAATGTATTAAACACTGCAACTCAGGCCTGGCGCGGTGGCCTAGCAGCTGAAATCTTCGTCTTGCATGTGCAGGATCCCATATGGGTGCCGGTTCTGATTCTGGGCAGCTCCTGCTTCCCATCCAGCTCCCTGCCTGTGGCCTGCGAGGGCAAATAAGGACAGCCCAAAGCCTTGGGGCCCTGCACCCATGTGGGAGACCCAGAGGAAGCTCCTGGCTCCTGGCTTCAGCTTAGCTCTGGCTGTTGCAGCTACTTGAGCAGTGGATCATTGGATGGAAGATCTTCCTCTCTGTATATCTGCCTTTCCAGTAAAAATAAGTAAATCTTAAAAAACAAAAACCACACTGCACCTCATTTTTAACTCTTCAGAACATCATATCCCCTGGACTTTCCGCCTTCCCCTTTCTCTGTTCTTCGGAGTAACTGAGAATGCCTCATGTTTCCTCTGGGAAAGCATTCATCACACAGGAACTCTCCATCTTCCCATTATCTACTCTAATTCCCCTGCACATGTAGTCACTTTCCTTTCTCCTACCAGAGAAGAACAGTTCCTGCTCCTGTTAAAAGCCATCTGTCCAGCTGTACTCTGCATCCTGATTCTTGTCTTTGGCTTTTCTTCCATCATCAGTACTCCCTCCACTAATCATCCCAGAGTCCACATACATGCTACTAGCAAAAACAACTTTCCTTCACATCCTGTTTTCACCTCATTGCCCCATTCACAGAACTTATTGAATGAGCTGTCTACATGATCATCAGCATTTTCTCGCCATTCCAGAAACTGTTCTTGTTAAGGATAACTGGTGACTGTTGTGTCTGTCACATCTAGTGTTCCCCTGTCTCTTTCAGCCCTCCTCACTGTTAACTCATGACTTCATGATTTTGTTCTTGAACCTTTGCTTACTTGCTGACTCCTCCTCTACTGAATTCTTAAAATGGTCTAGTAGCAAGTGTTCAGCCCAGTGGTTAAGATGTGCATATTCCCATATCAGAGTGCCAGGGCTTAATTCCTAGGTCTAGCTCCTGATTTCAGTTTCTTGCTACTGCAGACCCTGGGAGGTGATGGCTCCAGTAACAGTCTTCTCACTCACACTGGAGACCTGGAGTGAGTTCTTTGCTGCCAACTTCAACCAGGCCCAGCCCGAGCCATTTGTGGGCACTTGGGAAGTAAACTGGCAGATGAGAATTCTGTTTCTCTTAGCCTCAAAAGTTTTGTTTTTTAATTTGCTTATGTTACCAAAGTAGCCTTTAAATTTGTCTTTACATTTCCTCCCTAAAATCTCATTTTCCACAGAGCAGACCTTAAAGATGCAAATCAGGAACTGGCAATGTGGTACAGTAAATTAAGCTGTTGCCTGCAATGCTGTCATCCCATATGGGCACTGGTATGAATCCCAGATGCTCTACTTCAGATCATGCTCCCGACTGCGCCTTCAACTTTTCCTACTGAGAAAGCAGAAGATGGCTAGAGTGCCTGGGCCCCTGGCACTTAGAGGGGAGACCTGGATGGAGTTCCAGGCTCCTGTCTTCACTGAGTGGCCATGAAGGAGTAGACCTTTCAAATGAAATAAATCTTCAAAGAAGACTTAAATCAGTTAGTAACCCTCACATGAGGTTCCTTCCTCCCAGAAGAAATGACGGAAGACATTTCTAGCTATCACAACCAGGTGAGCGCTACTGGGATGTACTAGGTAGAGGTCAGGTATCTTAGAGTGCACAGGACAGCTCTGCCTCCAAAACAAGGAATTGTGATTGTTGCACCTATCAGCAGTCCTGAAGTTAAGAAACCCCATCTTGGAGCCAGTGCCGTGGTATAGTAGGCTAGGCCTCCACCTGCATTACTGGTATCCTACATGTGGGCAGATTCATGTTCCGGTTGTCCCATTTCTGATACAGCTCCCTGCTTATGGCCTGGGAAAGCAGCAGCAGACCCAAGTCCTTGGACCCCTGCACCTACATAGGAGAACCAGAAGAAACTCCCATCTTCATATCTGCTCAGCTTTGTTTTGGCCATTTGTGAAATGAGTTAATGGAGGGAAGATCTTTGTCTCCTCTCTGTAACTCCACCTTTCCAATAAAAGTCTTTGAACACACACACATATCATTCTTTTCAGAGGGAATGATATGAACAGGGGGACATTTGCTTAAAGAACCTGGTGCAGTAGCCTAGTGGCTAAAGTCCTTGCCTTGCACATGCTGGGATCCCATATGGGCGCCTGTTGTAATCCCGGCAGCCCCACTTTCCATGTGGCCTGGGGTTTGGGGCGGGGGGCAGTCGAGGATGGCCCAAAGGCTTAGGACCCTCCAGCCGCTTGGGACCCTGCAACCTCGGTAGGAGACCCGGAAGAAGCTCTGGGCTCCTGGCTTCAGATCAGTGCAGCTCCAGCCATTCTGGCCATTAGGGGAGTGAATAAAAACAAAATAAATCTTTAAAAAAGGAAGAAGAACCCAAAACCCTGGCCCCAGCCCACTCACGGAAAAGGCAGTCCTTGCACACTGCTGTGGTTTCCTACTTTGCAAAGATTAAAATGAGAAGTTTTTACTCTGGTTTATAAAACTAACTACACCCTAACCACTGCATTTTCTTTCTTTTTCCCAAACTTTGCTCTCCTCTCAACACTCCTTTTAGTGGTTTCTTCAGCTGGGAATGTTCCTGCACTTCAGCTTTGCCTGCCTGACTTCCAGTCATGACTTCAGGCTGCCAGCCCCTTTAGGCCCCTAATTTAGTTACCCAGCGACTTCCACTTTACCCTGTTCAATTGCTGTTTCACCTAGCAGGCCATCAGCAGCATAGCACGCAGGCTCCACAGTGGCAAAGACCTTTCGTCTTGTACACCGCAGTTCTTCCATCAGTGTCTGGCGCTTTAGTGGGAGCTCAAGGATACCCACTGAATGAATACGTTAAATCGAAGATGCTTATTACACACTCAAGACTCGGAACAACTACAGCTATTCAGAGTCGAGGAGGAGGGCTATTGTTGAAAAACAATTTTGAGAATAAAAATGGTCTTAAAGCCCACTGGTCTGGATTGTACCACCAGGGAGGAAAGTATAGGGAGTCTCCTGAAACCAAGGTGTCACTGGCCTGAGCAGCCGACGTGGCCTCAGAACAGCACCTGCCCGCCCTAACCTCCAAACTGTTTTTTTACGGAATGCTCGGAAACGCCCTTCGGAAAGGCTGGTCCATAGCACCGCCTCGTCTCCGCGCACAGGGTCCCACGCACCTCTCGGGGATCCATCCTGCGGGGCTGCCACCCTCTTGGTGAGCGGCGTTCGCTTGGGCCCGCCTGTCTGTGTCTGCAATCCGTACGAGAACTGCGGGGGGTCGTTCCAGCCGCGCTCCTTGTTGCCTGCGGAGGAGAAAGGACGTGTGTGACGCGGGCCGGGAGAAGATGCGGGGGCTGGGGAGGGGCGGCAGTGGGTCCGCCACCCGCAGCGTATCCGCCCCGAGAGTGAGCCGGGGCAAAGACGGCGCCCCAGTCCTCCGTTCGCGCTCACCCGGCTTCACGTACAGCTCCGCCATCTCCACTTCCGCACAGCCAACGGGGCAACGCGTCACTTCCGGGACGGCTGCTCCCGAGAGCCTGCGGGGACGCGTCCAGGACCCGACCGGCCGGAACCCGTACAGATTGGACGGTTTGCTCAACCGCCGGGAGCCGTTGTGGGACCCTGCGTCAGTCAGCGCCGTGCGGACCCCGGTCACAAAGCACTACGCGGGGCCGACGGTGTAGGAGCCTTCGTCCTCTCTGGGCCAAATCCCAGTTCTCTCAGGATTAGGTTTAAATTACCAGAAACCCCCTGCCCCACAGAAGACCCTCTATGATGTAGCCAAATGTACTTCTAGGGACTCACCCCTGCCCACTGCCCTCACATGGCCACACATTTTTCTGGGCTCAATAACAAGCACTAACCTCCCTTCAGCCATCAGTTTGGAGGGCAATTCTTGTGGAAGCCTTCAACAATGCTTCAGGCTGAGTTAAGGGCCTCCTCACCAGACCTCCTCCAAGTCTTGGAGAGTTCCTAGATGTACTATACAATAGCTTCTATATTGTTGGACTCAGTCTCATAAGGTGGTGTGTCCCCAGTGCCTAGTTCAGTGCCTGGCACACAGATCTTAACAGGTACAGACACAAACTCACTAAGCATAGGTTATTAGCCTCCCAGCCCTGCCCTAAGGCCCAACATAGCCACACCTGGTGAGGTCACTGAAGGATTTTTATTTGCACTGATTTTGCTATAAAGTGTTGCTGAGGTAGAGCCGACTGTCAAGGGCTTGACCAGGGCAAGGAACATGAGGACCCAAGGAAAAGGAAGCCAGGGACCTCGAATGGGGTCCAGGTCCTCTCAGTCATCCCTAGAAACAATACGATGGACAACAAAGGGTGGGCATGGATAGAGGGGGCAGGGCCTGGACAAGACTCCAAGTGGTCAGAGGCTGCTGTAGGCCCCTGGGGAATGAAGGGTCAAGAGTTGACTTGGCCCTGAGCCTCTTTCCCCAGCCCTCCCAGATCAATCTAGGACATATGGAGCAGAGAAGGTTTCAGCCGGAAGGCCTCCAGGAAAGAGAAGACACCCCGCTTTCGAGGTGCTGCTCCTGCACCCCCAACCCCACCTTTGAGCAGGGGGAGCGGTGGGGGGCCTCCTGGGGAGTCCATGGAGCTGGTCCGTTTGAGGCGCAGGCGGGCACGGGCCTGAGCACCCCAGGCCTTGCCTCGAGCTGCAGAGGCCACAAGACACTTCTGGTACTGAACCTAGAGAGAAGCGGAATGTGAAGATCCAGCCTCCTTGTGTCTCTGCAAGACACAGAACTGGCCAAGAACTCTGTCTGACATGAAGCCTGTCACTGACCATGCCTGGAACACCCCCCCCCACACACACACACACATAGCATTTCTAAGTCACTCAATAACAAAAACAGAAAATTTGACATTGAGCACTTCAGAAGGACTGGGCACTGTGTGTTAGGCATTTGGTATAATGTAACTGAATTCAGTCTATGAAGTATTTTCCTCATTTCACAGGTAAGTCTATTGAGATTCAGAGACTAAAGGAGTGATTTTACCAAGGTCATACAGCAGAAAAAAACAGAATCTGTCTTCAGACTTAGTTATAGCAAGCTGTGGAGCCTGTGCCCTATACCATGCCTACCACTGTGTGAGTCTGCCATCTCTCAGTGGCACAGTGGTCTCTCATGAGGCAGGCACTGCTCAAAGGGAGCTACACCAATTGTCTCTTACCTGAACTACTCAAAGAGGCCTGATTGGTCGTCCTACCTTCTCTTGGGTCTTCAAAAATCTTTTACCCAAGCTACAGCTTAGCTCATCACCCTCATCCACAAACGTGACTTTATTGTCCAGCTTCACACTGCTGAATGGTTCTTAGCACCTTGGGATAAACTTACCATTCTGACTAATGAGAGGGCCTCATTTCACTGCATCCTTGGACCCCCTTGCACACCATATACTCTTGATTCCTTCAGATACTCTAACCCATTAAGATCTCTCTCCACAGCTGAGGTTTCCTCTGTGGGGCACATATATCCTGCTGCTTCTTCACGGCTAATTTCTTCCTTGGACCTGTTTTCTGTCACCTCTTACAGAAACCTTCCTGACCCATAGAGAGGCCATCTCTTCCATCATCCTATATTCTTTCTGGTCTGCCCCTGTGGCAGCCTTTCTATTCCATGTAGGTCAGGGCTGCGCGCTCCATACCACCTGATCCACAAGGTCATATATGAGGCCTGGGACCCTGCAGGCTCAGATTTGCCTCAAATTCTCACAAATGCCCATAGATGCCGGGAAATATCCTGAGAGACACGCAGGAAAGACAATGCCCATCCTTCTGTGCACAACCAACCCCCCCATCCTGGCTGTATGCTGAAATGTACCCGTGTGAACTAGGGTCAGAGCTCCTGATAATTTAAGGAAAAAATGGGAAAAACAGTTATTAGGTAAAATGTCCTACTACTTAAACTAATAAAAACTTACTAAAAACAGAGTAAGGGTAAAAATACCCATGCACCAGAGTCAGCCTAGGACCACTGGCTTGCAATTTTCAGAGGGGCTGCCCATACTATGTGCTGCTCACGGCACAGAGCAGCTGTGCCACAACCCCAACTGCCCATTCCCACTCTTAACTCACCATACAGGCAGCCTGCACAGCTTCAGAAAGTCCCCCTGCATGGGGCTGACACCAGAAGGCTGCACACTGGAAACTCTGATGGCCTAGGTCAGCGATGAGGCCAAAGGTGTGGGGGTCACGGCCAATACCAATGAAGGTCACCAGGCGTACAGGACACTGCCACAGTGGCTCCTCCTCTGCACGGGCCTCTGCCTACCCACACCAGGGTTAGTCACTGGCAGGCCAACCACAGGCAGGATACCCCCAAGCTCTTCCAGCAGTAAGCAGTGACCCCTCAGCTTCCCTGCTTACCCCTCCACAGCCCCCAAGTTCACCCTCTTTAGGTACCTGGATGGGATGTGCAATCATGAGAGAGTCAGATACACTGATTGTGGCAGGAACCCAGGCGTTCCGGTCTCCCCGGGCAATGAGGGTACCAATGGCTTCATTCAGCACATCCATACCTGGGATGATATACCCACAGTTCCAGTTGTAAATAAAGGATTGGGGGTGTTGAAGAGGGAGTGTCTATACCCCTCCCAGTGACTTGGAATTTAAGAGCTGGGAAAAGGAGAGCTGTTGCTGGGCCTAGAATTCCAAGATGGGAAGACTGGCATATACCAGGCCATACATACAAAGCCATGGGAGGAATCCTGGGAAATGGTGATGGAACCCCATTTCACCCACCTTCCTTTCACATCATGCGGCCTACCCCATCCTGCCCTCTCCATCCTCACCCATGGCTTTGGAGACTGGCAGGATCCCCATATACAGCGCCTCAAACTTCTGAGCAGCCTGGCTCACAGCATCCAACAGCTCCACTGAAATATATACATCATGTGGGCCTGCGGGCTCACTCTCAGTGGTCTCCTTCCCCACATTAAGAGGGCCAGGCCCAGGGCAGAGTTAATTTTGGAAGAACAAAGCCCCCAGGTGCTCTTCCAGCTTGAGGGACCAGTCATAAAGAAGTCTTAAGTAGCCAGAACAACCCCTACCCTCAGCCCTGCATCTTTCCTCAAAGCACCCCAATGCTGCCACATAGCACCCAGCTCCCCATACCTTGCCGCGGCAGGTCTTCAGGAGAGATGGGGTCCGGGGGACAGCAAGAGGCATCACTACCAACCCCTACTCGCTCTGACAAGATCTAAAATGCAATGGAGCCAGTATAGCTCTCTGCCCCCCATGTCTTGGAAGCTTCAGCCCTTACCTACATTCCCAGCCCCACACCTGGCCCTTACCTGGGCACAGAGCCCATGGAGGGCACTGGCAATGGCCTTGGCAGGGACATCACAGCGAAACACATGACATTTGAGCATACAGCTGTCTTTGTCACCCGCCACAAAAGCGAAGTCCCTGGCAGAGGCAGAAATGGGGGCTAGGGTATGCTGGTTAGGGGCAAGGGCCAGTGGTGCCTGCTGTAGACTAGACAGCCATGTCAGAGATACAGTAGGGATAGGGTAGGGTGGACAGGGTGAGGGTTTAGTGTACCTGGTGGTCACTTACCTATCACTGTTCCAGAAGCATGTGGGAGCACAGGAGAGAATCAGCCCAGCCTCTTGGGCTCTCCCCAATCTGTCCCTGCTGAGCTGGGCCCACCCTCCCCAACCAGGGCTTGAGCAGGCAGGGGAGGCAGTGCTGGGTCCATGTCAGAGGATCTGTATCCAGGGGTTCAAATACCAGGGATCAGCATCAGTGGGGAACCGTAGCCTGCAGGGGGAGGGAGAAGCAGCTCTCGTTTTGGGGAGTGTCAAGTCCTCACCGACCCTTGGAGCTGCCCACACCCCACACACGGATGTGCACCAGAGGCTGGCAGTGAATCAAACTGTGGTCCAGAGGATTCACCAGGCTCATAGCATCCTTCTTCAGTATCATCAGCATGTTCTGGCCCTGCTGAGGATGGAGTTCAGAATCCCACAAGGGCAGGTCAATCAGGAGTAACTGCCTCTGCTGGGCTGGGCTGAAGCCAGGCAGCTCACCTCGCCCCAGGCACTGTCTGGAGGCTGGCTCCGGCTGCGGGTCTGGGCCAGCTGCTGGATGCAATTATTGACTGCGATACTGCTCTTCCCTGGTGCCAGGTCCTCTTCGGGTACCTCCACCCACCCCAGAGAGCGGACAGCAAAGCACTGAAGTATTCCAGGAAGGGAAGGGAAACCAGAGAGGTGGAACAGAGCAGCAGGGGTGACAGACTTCACACAATCACACCCCATGACAGTCCCTCTTTCACACCTGCTCACCTCTGCTCAATCCCACCCCAACCCCTGATTTTCCCTTAAATCCTCCCAAGATCCTGGGCCAGCTCCCAGGCCCAGTCACTACCTTAGCACCTGGTTCCAGGCTTTGGACGTAGGAGGACTCCTCACCATACCAAGACAGAGAGCTGCTGGAACAGACGAAACCACCAGTGAGAAAATCACCCTTCCTATGGCAGGTGCATTTGTAAAACCCAGTCCAAACAACACTGAGGAGCACCGCACAGGGGCACAGGCTGTGTGCTGCTTCTGGTGAGGCTGCGTTTGACAAATATACAGTCAGCACAGGAGGGAGCCCACAGCATATTAAATGAGATTCCTTGGAAATACGGTTTAGAATTTGTGAAGAAACTCGGCACACAGAAACAGAAGGAAAAAAAAGTCACAAGCATGGAGCAGGGCCAGTGTGTGGGGCAGACACCCAAACTGGAATGAGACTTTAGAATCCAAGACCAGAACCTAAGTCAACAAGCCAAGGAACATGACAAGTCAGGACTAAAACACAAACAAAGCACATGTAGCCAGGACAAAAGTTTAGAGCACTGTTCAAGAACAGGGGATGCAGCCAAGAACACAAAACAAACCCAAAACAAGGGACACAACCCAGAACCTGGTCTGGTTCATGGGTCCAGCTGCATGCCTGAATGCCACAGAACTTCAAACCTTTCATTGTGTCTGAGCTATCTGTTACCTCCGGTCCAGGGAACTCTCCAGGCTAGAGAAGGATCGTCCTTTGGGGGGTCGTAGTCCCCAGATCCTCTCCGACCCCTGTGAAGCGGGGGCTAGTAAGTGTAGCTGAAGCCAACGTGCATGCAAGGGCTCAGACTCCTCACCCTCCACCTACCGTGCCTGAGTCCTCTGCTTCTCCTAACTCCCAGGTGGGCCGCTGCCACTGGGTGCTTCCGCTGGGTACATGCCAATAGTAAGTACCAGCAGCATCGCGGATCTTCCTCCAACCGGGGGGCAGGCCTGGCTCCCCCTCCAGATTCTGGTCTCCCCACAAGTCATCTACAGGAACACGGGATTGAAGAAGAGGAGCACACCATCAGTTCAGAATAACAGCCTGCCAGAAAGCTCCCTCCAGCCAAGACTGGAAGTCCACAGTCCCGAGTCTGGAAGACATAGTATGTGATGACCACGGTTCACCTTGGTCCACACACAGAGACCTATCCCATCATCCCCAGCCCCAACTTTGAGCCTCCGAGTAGCCTTTCCCCCTCAGCTCCTGCTTCTCCCACCAGGCCCCTTCGTGCACACCATCGCAGTTGACCAGAATGATGGCCAGCATGTAATCCTTGCCCAACATATCCCCGGCTGCGTCCCCGCCGGCCTCTTCCCGCCGGCTCTCAGCCCACGGCGACCTCGGGAGCTGCAGCGGCTCCAAGGCCAGCCTCTCTGCGCCTGAAACCGGCTGTCGGACTGGCGCTGCACAAACACTTGGGCGGAGAAGGGGCCGGCCCCGGGGGCGGGAAGAGGAGGGCCTGAGCAGTACCGCCCGCCGAGGGGTGGTGCGGCTAGACAGGCGTGTGGATCCCCGAGTAGAGGCGCGTATCCATGCGTGGGCAGACGCACGAACGCCACGGGCCCGCCTACGTCACAACGCAATTATGAGCTCATCACCCAGCAAAACGCCACCCAGTCCTTCGTGCGCCGTGCGGCCCGCGCGCGAGTGCGATCACGGGACGCGAGTCGTGCGCGCGCACATTCAGCCCGGGGATTCAGCCCCTTCAGTGTGGAAGGGGTCACACTGAAGTATCTGAGGAGAGCGCCAGCACTCGGCCTCCCAAGAAACACGCCCCACTTGTTCCCCGCCTCCTCTCAAAAAAAAAAAAAATGCCCCGGAAGAGCTTCCGCCCTCAGTAAAGATGGCGATAACACGTCCTATGAGGAGGCGGGGCTGCGTCTGCGCAACAAGCTAAGCCGGGAAGATGGCGGATGACAAGGTGAGCGCATATGGGGTGGTCAGCTTTCGGGGGTGTTCGCTAACTCCGTGAAATTCTTGGTTCTGGAAAGGGTGATACTGGAACTGCTCAAACATAGCGGAACACCTTGTTTTTCGGAAGCTGTTACAGACTGCCTCGGCACCTGGAGAGGGCGGGGCTTAGCTTTGGAACCCCTCAAGTGTCCCCCTACTCGGGACCATGCTCATACCCAGAAAGCAGCACACACTGTGTTGCGTTCGCCCGGTAACGCTGCTCACTCTTCCTCACGTCCTAGGCCCCAAATGTTTCTTCCACACACGCGGGGTTTCCTGACCACGCGGACGCCCAAACCACCCTCCAGACTCCCTTGTAGTCAACACCATTCGGTTAATGTACTTGCTCTTGCCCGCAGTTAGTACTCCTGGGTGACCTTGGCAGAAAAGGGGTAAAGCTTGGGCAGAAATCAGGCTGACTCTTGGGTTGTCCAGGGAGCTGCCTCGGGTCATTCATTACTTACGGTTGAACTGGAAGTTCAGCATAACCCACGGGTCTGAGTGCTGACCGGTGCCTATAGGCCCAGGGACACAGCAGTCGAGGCAGACCGTCGGACACACTTTTCAGGGAATTCTGGGTCCAATCAGTAGGCCCGAATGAAGGTTCCATAACTGTGCTTCCTATCTCCCCTAACATAAAATTCTTGAGTTACTTGTTAAAAGTTATTGCTACCCATCCCATCTATCCCCCTTACAGGCATCTGCATTTTGTGCTTTTTACTGCCTTTCCTCCTTTATCACTGGCATCTTGGGAAGAAATTCTTTGGATCACTCCATCCCCCTCACCTCCCAGCCTTTGTTACACTAGAAGGAAGGAAGGTGCAGGTGTTTGGCAAAGTCATTAAGCTTCCACTTCTGACCCCTGCATGCCATATCCAGATGTTTGGGTCCAGGTTCTGGGGCCAGTTCCAGTTTCAGCTTCGGCTTACACACACTCTTGGAGACAGCAGCTGATGGCTTCAAGATTTTGAGTTCCTACTATCTACCTGAGAGACCTGGATGGTGTTCCGGTTTCTGGGTTTGACCTGGCCCAACCCTAGCTGTTGGGAGCATTTGGGCAGTGAATCAGCATATTTATCTCTTTTGGTCCTTTCTTTGCCTTTCATATAAATAAAAATAAATTTTACAATTGAAGAACATGGAGATGGGTCATTCTGTTAGAGCCAGCCTTTCTCTTGTTCTAGGATTCTCTTCCCAAGCTTAAGGACCTGACATTCCTCAAGAACCAACTGGAAAGCCTACAGCGCCGTGTGGAAAGTGAGGTCGGCAGCGGCGTAACTCAGGTAGGGCTGCTCTCCCCCCATCCCTTAGGCTTCATTGCCCAGCGTGCTCTTGTGTGTGTTGAATGGATGGTAGAGACATATTCAGCAAATAGTTATTGAAGTCTATTGTCAGATACCCCCAAGGAAAGTTCTCCTGAAAAAGTGGTCCCTGAACCGAGGTTGTAAGCAGAAGTTAACTCCATGAAGAGGGGACTGAAAAAATAATCACTCCAGGCAGATGGAACCACATCATTAAAGCTCTTGGGGCTGAGAAGTAGCTTTACAAACGTGGTGGGGGTATAAGGAGGTCAATTTGACTGCCTTGCTTGGGGAGTAGCTCACCAGAAAATGAGGCTGGACGAATAGCTGGGGCTCAGATGACTTGGGTAAATCCTGCCTCTGGCAATAGAGTTTTATGGTTGGAATTTGCCCCAAGGTTCTGAGATTATGTGAGTAAGGGCTCCTAACATTCTTTTCCCCGCTCCAGACATGGAGAAAGTTTTTGAGAAAGTATCAGTGCTGGCCAAAGAGGAAATGAACAGGTGGTGTAATGCTTGTCAGCCAAGGTTCCCCAGAATGGGGAGAGTCTGCCTGGCTGAGTTTCCTTCTGCGTTTCTCTCCACAGGATGGCTCCCTCTTGTCCTCCCCATTCCTCAAGGGATTCCTGGCTGGCTATGTGGTGGCCAAACTGAGGGCATCTGCAGTATTGGGCTTTGCTGTGGGTACCTGCACTGGCATCTACGCAGCTCAGGCATATGCTGTGCCCAACGTGGAGAAGACACTGAGGGACTATTTTCGGTCACTGCGCAAGGGGCCAGACTAGGTTGGGATTCCATGGGGGAGGCGGCAGCCTTTCCATTACAGACACTTGGTTTAGCTTCCCTGGCTGTGACTCGTTGGTTTTTTCCAACTTTGCTTCCTCCTTCATCCTGGCTTCCCTTTCTTCAGAGGACAGGTGGTGGCTCGTCAGCCTGCACCCTGGGCTCCTCTTCCCTCCCTAACTCCATGGTACTGTCCCTCAAGACTATGGCTTTGAGGGCCGCCAGCCCCTTCCTCTCACAGCCCTGAGCTCCCAGTCTGCAGCTGGCTCTCATACTCAGTATTCTCTCTGGCGATGCACTACGGCTCCTCTCTTCCAGGGGTTGGCTCCATAACTTGATTTTCCCCAAGTGTATTGCAATCTTCCCCTCTCCCCTTCTAGTCTCTTGTTAGCTACACAGGCCTTTTGATCTGGTGAGGGCATGAGTGGAGAGGACGGGGGTATGCCAAGCCTGGGCCATCCTAGGCAGGCCCGCTGGACCCTGATGCTACTCCTGTCCACTGCCATGTATGGTGCCCATGCCCCATTGCTGGCGCTATGTCACGTAGATGGCCGAGTGCCTTTTCGGCCCTCCTCCGCTGTGCTGCTGACAGAACTCACCAAGCTGCTGCTGTGCGCCTTCTCCCTCCTAGCGGGTTGGCAGACGTGGCCCCAAGGAGCCCTGCCCTGGCGCCAGGCTGTTCCCTTCGCACTGTCAGCCCTGCTATATGGCGCCAACAACAACCTGGTAATCTATCTTCAGCGTTACATGGACCCCAGCACCTACCAGGTACTGAGCAATCTCAAGATTGGAAGCACAGCCCTGTTGTACTGCCTCTGCCTCCAGCGCCGCCTCTCCGCACGTCAGGGGTTGGCACTGCTGCTGCTGATGGCAGCAGGGGCCTGCTACGCAGCAGGTGGCCTTCAGCACCCTGGAAATACTCTTTCTGAACCCCCTCGAGCAGCTGCCGCTGGCCCCATGCCCCTGCACATCACTCCGCTAGGACTGCTGCTCCTGGTCCTGTACTGTTTCATCTCGGGCCTGTCCTCCGTGTACACAGAACTGCTCATGAAGCGACAACGGCTGCCGCTGGCCCTGCAGAACCTCTTCCTCTACACTTTCGGTGTGCTCCTGAACCTGGGTCTGCACGTCGGAAGCGGGCCTGGCCCAGGCTTCCTGGAAGGTTTCTCAGGCTGGGCAGCCCTGGTGGTGCTGAGCCAGGCGCTCAGCGGACTGCTCATGTCAGCCGTCATGAAGCATGGCAGCAGCATCACGCGCCTCTTTGTTGTGTCCTGCTCGCTGGTGGTCAACGCCGTGCTCTCGGCAGCACTCCTACAACTGCAGCTCACCGGCGCCTTCTTCCTGGCCACGTTGCTCATCGGCCTGGCTGTGCGCCTATACTATGGCAGCCACTAGCCCCAGGACACCTTCGCCCTGACCCTAGAGCCTGCAGATTGGGCACCGCTTTCAGAGCTACCCTCTCCCCTCAGCAGCCCTGTCACAAGTGCCTTGTGAGAAAAGCTGGGGAAGTGAGGGCTGCTGGGTTAGTGTCTGGGAGGTGGGTAGATAAAGGGGTATCCCTGGGAGATGTATTTAAGAAAACTTACCTCTCCACCCACCTCAGATTCTTCCAGACAAAGGAATTGAGGGTGCATCAATATCTAGACCTGAGAAATGAACCCATCCCTGATGAGGGAGGCATTCTGTCTTATCCCGGATGAATACAGTTGCTCAGACTAGGGTGTGGGAAACAGGTAGCTTTCCTTGTCAACCATGGTCACCACCCCAATCCCCGGCCCACTTTCCCCAGGCCTAGTACTTAACTGCTGCAGCTCAGCCATGGTGCACGATGATATCCTAAGGGATACTTAACCCTGACTGTCTTACAAGATGGTCCTGTTGCCACAGACCATACAGCTGTCACCCAGGCTCTGGAGCTGTGTCAGCTAGAGCAGTGCCTGGAGAGATGCCCCCATCCCCTTCTACAGTTCTGCTCCCCACAACCAGCCTTTGTTCTGGAAACCCCAGAGAAGGCTGGGGCTTGACTCATCTCAGGGAATGTCGCCCCTGGGCCCTGGCTTAAGCCACACTTCCAACCTCTCTGCTTATCCCAGGGGCCTCTTGAAGCCCATTGCCACCTGTGAAGCTCCTAAGAGGAACCATCATTCCTCCTCTGGACCTGCTCCAGCCTGGCAGTGTCCCAGCTTCTAACGGCCTGGGGAAGCTCTCCACAGAGTGACCTGGGACCAGGTACAGGAAACTTGTGTAGCGCAATCAATGTCTCCTTAACCACATAAGCAATAAGGTGTTAATAAATAAAGTGTTTTAAGGAACAGAGTGGTTCCTACAGCTGGCATGATTGGCTTCTCTGTTGCACAGTTCCCCTCAAACATGATTTTGGTCTTCCTGGCATCCTGAGTATTTTAATTCTGGAGATATGTTTAGGAGAAAATGATGCTTGTCCCCAGCTGTGGCCAGTGGCCTGACTTCTTTAGGAGCTCTTTGGAACTGATAATAGCGGCCTGACTCTTTGGAGCTGATACTAGTTTTTTGTCAAGCAGTTTTGGAACTTCCCATAAGGTACTAATCTTGGGCTCTGGGAAATGTTGAGAGAGCTGCAAATAGAAGGTACTATGCCCAGCAGGACAGATGACTTTAGGCTGAAAAACATTGCTAATGTTCTGAATCTCATTTCCTCTGCTTCCCCCAGCAGTAATTGCAGATGGCATTTATCCTTTTAAGTCATTGCCAGGGACTGGGCATTTAGCCTAGTAATTAAGGTACCCATGTCCCGTATTAGAATGGCTCAGTTCAAGTCCCTGCTCCTGATTCCAGTTCCCTACCAGTGCAGACCTTAGGAGGCTATAATGATTGCTCGAGTAGTTAGATTCCTTCCATGCATGTGGGAGAAGTGGATTGCCATCAACTCTGGCTTTAGCTCTGCCTCTTGGAAGCATTTGGAGAGTGAACCAGTAGATGGAAGCTTTGCATCTTAAACTATTTACTTGAAAAGTTATAGTATAGGGAGAGGGGGACAGAGATCTTCCATGTGCAGGTTTACTACCCAAATGGCCACAGTAGAGCTGGGTCCGTCTGCAGTCAGCAGTTTCTTCCAGGTCTCCCAAGTGCAGGACCCAAACACTTGGGCCATCTTTTGCTGCTTTCCCAGGCACAATAGCAAGGAGCTGGTTTGAAGTAGAGCAGCCAGGATTTGTACGATGCCCATTTTTTGATGTCGGCAGCTTTTCCTGCTGTGCCACATCATAAGCTCCTTTTTTTTTTCTTTTTTTTTTAAGATTTATTTTTGGGGGGCTTGGTGTGGTGGCCTCGCCTTGAATGTACCGGGATCCCACATGGGCATTGGTTCTAATCACAGTAGCCCCACTTCCCATCCAACTCCCAGGAGAAACATAGAGGAAGATTCTCCATCTGCTGATTCACTCCCCAAGTGACCGCAATGGCCAGAGCTGAGCCACTCTGAAGCCAGAAGCCTCCCCCAAGTCTCTCACACTGGTGCAGGTTCCCAAGGCTTTGGGCCGTCCTTGACTGCCCTCCCAGGTCACGAGCAGAAAGGTGGATGGGAAGCAGGGGCACTGGGATTAACCCAGCACCCGTGTGGTGCAAGGTAAGGACTTCACCTGCTAGGCTACTGCACCAGACCCACAAGCCCCATTTCTACCTTTTAAATAAAATGTTTTTTAAAAGCTGGGACAAGAGGAATGGCTAGCCCCCTGCTTCTTTCATAGGCTACCTGGTGACCTAGTTTAAAAAAAAAAAAAGCCGGGTGTGGTCTTTGGTCTACCCCACACCTAACAGACTTGGGGAAGGGGTTTTGGAAATATTTTTTCCCACCTTAAAAAAAGCTTCCTAAGTGATTCTGATGCACACCGAAAGGCTGAAGCATTTCTGTCTGCACTGTAGATCCATGGCAGAACTGGCTTTGAAGTCTGGCTTTACTGCCACTTATTCACTAACTGTCCTTAGCCGTTAGTTGCCCCTGGCTTCAGTTGGCATGTCTCTGAAATGAGGATCCCATAGTGCCTGCCTACAAGGCAGCTGAAAAGAGTAAATGAAGTAACAGATGCTGGATGTGCTAAGAGAGATTGGCACTAGGAGACCTGGTTGGGAATATTTTTATTGATCCGCAATGAGGGTTGACTTGGTTGTGTGCCGTCGCCTTCTCACTGCTAGGACCCTTGAGACTGAGGCAGGAGAAAACTGCCACAACAGGATTCCTAGTCTCAGTGTCCCTACCTGGCACAGGGTCGGGCTGTAGTGTGATTGCTCCCCACCTCCACACACACCCCCCTCCCTAGTCTGCCCCGTGCTGAAGCTGCCAATTCTGGGCTTGGAGCTCCTGGTTCTGTGTGGCCAAGTTGATGGTGTCTTGCAGGATGTCAGCCAACAGGTTGCGATGACAGTGCTCTGTGGTCCTGGCCTGCTCTTCCCACAGCTCCTGCCAGGCTCGGAATACCTGTACCCACATTCACAAAAGCGTGTCGATCAGCCAGCCCTGGGGGCACCAGCCCATGGCATGCCCTCCTTCCCCACTGACCTGCAACATGTGGCATGTCCGAGCTCGGGCAGCCTGCACATGCAGGTCGTAGAGAGCCGCCAGGTCCTGCTCTGCTCTGTCCCTCTCCTCCTGCAGGGCTTCTAGCTGGAGTCTCAGCACTGTCCGTTCCCGGTGCCACTTTGTCCTTGCCTCGCAGGCCTTAAGTGACAGTATGTACCCGTTGCAGAGTACCACCACCTGCCAGACTGGGTGCTAAGTATTTTGTGTATTATCTCCTTTTATGCAACCATATGGGACAGTGACCATTTTAAAGATTTGGAAACCGGACCAGAGAAGTGACCTCACTTGCTCAAATTCCTGTGGCCATTGAAGGACAGAGATGATAGGACACAGGCACTTCAATAATACACCATCTTCCTGGAAGCAAAATCCAAACCTTGAGGTGCAGCACACACTGGTCTCTGCAGCCTTACCTCTCACCACACACCTACTAGGCTGCAGCCACACTGGACAGCTGGTGCTTCCCAGGGCCCCTTGGGGAAGTGCTTCCCTTTGGGCCTTCGCTCATCCAGTTCTGTCCTGAGAACATGATTTCCTCCCTCATGCCATGTACGTCAAGTTCTCTTCTTAATTCATTCAAGGAAGTTACGAGTTTGCTGAGTGTGTCTGCCATGTGGGTAACATCCATCCTGCAGGCCAACCCAGACCCCTGAAATCATTTGGTTCTGATAGGACAGCCACAGGCAAGACTGGAAAGTCCATTAAATCAATAGCAGGCTAATTTTTAAGCTGATAGTTGTGGAAGGCCTGCAAGTGAAGTTATAAATATCTACATGAAAAAAATTCCCCACCCCTGCATATGCCTTTGCAGGGCCAGGAGTCTAGTGGATTTCTCTGGCTGATGTCTGTTGTTTAAATCTCAGCTTAGATGTCCTGTCCTCTGACCCACTCCAGCCTGGGTCAAGTCTGCCTCCTTGTACCCACAAGCAACTTGAACCCCCATCCTACTCCTTGGCATGAGAGTTGTCTCATCTATCACCCGTAGGGCTGTGAAGACCATGAGAAAGAATGCAAGCCCATTGGTTGTGATTGATGTTGGGTCTTTCCCTCTGCACAGGGCTTGTCCCCCTTTGCCCCTCCTCACCTGGTCTTCAGGCACCAGGCCTTTGTTCTGCTCTTCTGCCACCTCCTCCAGTGTTTCCAAATGTTTCAGCTTCTCTCTGATCCAGATGTGGTGCTGCTCTCGTAGTCTCTGCCTCTGAGCCTGGGCCAGGGAGAACTGCAAGGCCACATCTGGAGCCTGTTGGTCCTAGATAGCATCAGTCTAGACTCAGCCAGAAACCCACAGGTGTGCACAGCATTGAGACACCGCCCAAATTCTCCAACAAAACCTCATTCCCACGGCTGCTCCCAGAACTATATTCAAGGCCTAGCTGGCCTGGTAGAAAAGCCCATGGATCCCATGCCTCTCATCCAACCCAGTAGGAAAATTGTGCCAGTCTCTTGCTCTTCCCTCAGCGACCCAGTAGCCCATCAAGTCCCTGGGTTTCTTAGTGATGTATTTCTCCCTGGTGTCAAGGCAGGCTAAGAAGGTGGCAGTTGAGCTGGGCTTTGCAGCTGTGAGCTCCCGCAATGATCAGTCATTCTTGGGAGACTCTGTGGTCTTACCTGTTCCTCGGTGTTCCCAGAAGGATGCTTTGGTTGGAGCCTAGATCCTAAAGATGCTGTTCTTGCTGCTAAAGGAAAGAGTATAATCACAACACAGCTAAAGACGACCCCTGTCTCCCAAAGCCCCAGGTCCCAGATCCACCTTTAGGCACTGCTGGAGGCCTGGGCTCTGGCTTGTTATCTAGTCTGTCACATGCTAAGAAAATATTAATAATGACTGTTCTATACCCTTCCTTCTAGAACAATGGAGATTAAGCTGTATGACCTGAGGCAGTTGACCAGCTTTTGGCAACTCTGTGTTCTTTTCCATAAAATAGAACTGATGAAAGTTGTAGCGGATATGAGATGAAGCGATGCACCCAGAGCCATGGCACTTGGGCACTGTTCGATATGTGGGCACTAACAAATCTAATGCTTGAGGCTCAGGGCTGTAAACACCAATTGCAGGTGACCATGGGAAGGGAGGGAACAGGGGAGGCTAGCAGGGGTAGGGTGTCAACCATCTGCACCCATCGTGGTACACTAACCCCTTTCTGCACAAGAAAGACTCTGCCTAATGGGATGAAACCGCCTGTATTCGGCTTCTAAGGACTGGAGTGTGATTGCACCTCTTCTGCCTCTGATAATGCCAGTGACTTTATACTGTTCACGTCTCTTCTGACCCTGAATTTGCTCACCTGGACAGTGGGAGCAGCGTTGTCTTCCGTGCTGAACACACTGCTGTGGTTCTCCTTTGTCCTTCAAGCAGAATCCAAATGCAGGAATAGATTAACGAGTCCTTGCCTGGCCTGCCCCCTGCTTCCTTCTCTCTGCTCACTCTGTGTCTCGGATTCTCTTCTCCAGAGAATTGAGCCATTTGCAGGCACTTGCTTCCCTCTGAGTCTTTGCTTGCCAATCCCTAGGCCTGGAATGTTCTGTTCTTGACTTGTCGTTGCCAACCCACTTCAGGAATTACTTCATCCATTAAATCTCCCTTCCTTGCCAAGACTTAGGTTCCCCCAGAGAATGCTGTTTTTTTTTTTTTTTTTAAGATTTACTCATTTTTATTGGAAAGTCAGATTTACAGAGACAAGGAGAGACAAAAAAATTGTCCGTTTGCTAATTCACTCCCCAAGTGGCCACAGTGGGCAGAGCTTGAGCCAATCTGAAGCCAGGAACCAAGAGCCTCCTCTGGTCCCCCTTGTTGGTACAGGGTGCCAAGGTTTGGGGCCATCTTCTACTGCTTTCCCAGGCCAAAAGCAGGGAGCTGGAAGGGAAGTAGAGCAGCTGGAACACTAACCAGTGCCATATGGGATCCTGGCAGATGCAAGGCAAGGATTTAGCCACTAGGCTACCACACTGGACCCCCAGAATGCTGTTTTTATAAACCTCTCAAAGCACTGATCCTGGTGATACCAAGCAATAGTAAGCACCTCAGGACAGGGAATTCGCAGACTTACCTGACTGTGCCCAGCAGAGCGGGTGGTTAGTAAATGTTGGGGAATCAGGAAATCAGTGAGTGATTTCCTCCTCATGGCGTGGTGCAAACACATGATACGAAGGCATGCACGAATCGGGTTCCCAAGAAGTTGGGTGAGGAAAATACCTGTGATTCCAGGAGCCCCCCGGTCTCCGCTCCAGCCCCTTTGAATGTCTGGTTTCTCAGGTGCTGACTGCAGGCCTTTATCACCTATGGAAAGAGAATTCGTAGCGGCTCTGGCTGTGGCTGCCCCCCCGGGTGCCCCCATGCCCGACCATACACACCTGTAGCTCCCGCAGTGCCCTGCCCAGCTGGCCAAGCCCACTGTTCGTCAGGGTGTCCCCAAGGAGACTTAAACGCAGAGTCTTCAGGCCAGCCCTGCGGGCTCGAGCCTCTTCCACTGCATCCCACAGGGTAGGCCTCACCTGTTTTGCCTGCATCCTCCTTTCCAAGGCCCCAGACAAAGCTGCCTGGAGCAAAGTCAGGGAGATACCTAGTTAGGAAAGACTTCAGTAAATCATCACTTCCTGTGGACCCCAAAGCACACTATTGGTCGCGCCTTTTGATTAATGGTACTGTTGATAAAAATATCTAACTCCTGTGAGAATTTCATGTGTGCCGACAGTCTCATGCTTTCGTCATTCTTGTGTTACCCTTTGTATCCAGACAACACTCCTGTGAAGCGGCAGCTCTCATCTGTCCTGCCTTCCTCCATATTTCCCAGATGAGGTAACTAAAGCTCCAAGAGATCGGATACCTTCTTGGTGAATGGCAGAGCTGGAGCTCAAGCCCAGGTCTGGTGGATGCTAAAGCCAATGCTCTGAGTCACGTACAAACTGGCCCCTCAGATATACACGCCAGCCCCGGAGGGTGTGGGCTGCCCAACTTACCTTCCTCTTTCAGCGGAGCCTGGCCCATGGTGATACCTGAGAATTTACTGGCTGAATGAAGATGTGTGTGTTGATTTTTAGAGACAGAGGGTCAGATTTTTTTTTTTTTCAGTATAAGCATATATATATGTAGGAAAGCAACTTAACACTCTCCGTAATGATCAACTGTCATTTCTTTTTTTTTTTTTTTTTTTTTTTTTTAAGATTTTTTAGTTGGAAAGTCAGATATACAGAGAGGAAGAGAAACAGAGAAAATCTTCCATCTGTTGATTTACTCCCCAAGTGGCCACAGTGGCCGGAAGTGTGCTGATCTAAAGCCAGGAGCCCAGAGCCTCTTCTGGGTCTCCCATGTAGGTGCAGGGTCCCAAGGCTTTGGGCCATTCTTGACTGCTTTCCCAGGCCACAAGCAGGGAGCTGGATGGGAAGTGGGGCTGCTGGGATTAGAACTGGCACCTATATGGGATCCCAGTGTGTGCAAGGCGAGAACTTTAGCCACTAGGCTACCACGCCTCAACTGCCATTTCTTAAAAATCTGTCATTTTTCAAACAACTGATTTTCCAATGTATCTGATCCTCTCTTCCCTCATCCATAAAGTAAGCCTGTCTCTTTTCCCTCATGTGCAAATTAGGCCTCTACTTGTTGGGATTGTGGCAAGAATTGAAGATAATCAGTGCAAAATTCCTTGGGAAGAGCATCTCTCAAGTGTGAAGTAGGTGGGTTCCTCTTATCATTACCCTTGACCTGTCCACACTTTGGCATCCAATCCACTCTGAGACCTTCCTGAACTCCTGTAAGTTCTCTCTCTCTCCATCTCCTTTCCTTCTCTCTTTCCCTCTCCTTCTCTCCCTCTCTCTCTCTTTTGCTCCATATCTCAGTTGTGATTGGAATTAGGGCTGATTGGATAATTGGATAATAGGATGTCAGGCCTAAGGACAGATCCCAGAGCCTCCCACAGAACCCTGCTCCAGGTTACCTTGGGGGTCCAGATGAAGAAGTACGCCACTGTAGTTGTTTCCTTCCAGGAGCCATGAGACAGTCCAAGGCAGAGAGCCCTCCTCTTCCTCACCAGTAACCTCACCAGCCAATACTTGCAGCAGGGGGCAGTCTCTGCCAGAGAGAAGGAGGAGAGATGTCTGCTAGTGATGGGGAAAGAAACTGGGCAGAATCACACTCTCTGACAGAAGGGTTCACTGTTTCCAATACCTGTTGAGCACCAGTAGATAAATTTGCAACTTTATATTAAACCTTTTAAAATATTTTTTATCTAAAAGGCTACAAACAGAAGGAGAGACAGAGACAGGAAGATCTTTCATCTGCTGGTTCACTCCCCAAATGATTGCAACAGGTAAAGCAGAGCTGATCCAAAGCCAGGAGCCAGGAAGTTTTTCCTGGTCTCCCACATGGGTGCAGGGTTCCAAGGACTCAGCTGATCCTCTGCTGTTTCCCCAGGCCATAAGCAAAGAGTCGGATTGGAAGAGAAGTAGCCAGAACTAGAACCAGCATACATACAAGAAGCTGGTACTGCAGGTGGAGATTAGTCTGATATGCTTCCACACTGGTCTGGCCCCTAAATAAAAATTTTAAGTGAAATTACGATGCTACAGCATGGATGAACTTGAAAACATTAGGCTAAGTAAAAAGAAGCTCAAGCTGTATGATTCCATTTATATGAAAAGCCCAGAATGGGTAAATCTATAGACATAGAATGAATTATTGATTGCTTTGGACTGGGATTAGGAGGCAGGCTCAGGAATGCTTGCAAATGGAATCATGGGGTCAAGAAAATGTTCTAAAATTAGTGGTGACTGACATACAACATTGTGAATGTACTAAGGGCTCCAAAATTATTCATTTGAATAAAGATGAAACTATAGTCTGAATTTAGGGTTCTCTTCTCCCACTCCTTTTTTTTTCCTTCTAGTTTCCCAAACCAAGATAGAAAACGCCAAGTAACCATGACTTCATGCTTTACTTTCTGTCCTTTGCTCAAGGCTCAGAAGTTATGAAAATGAGAAATGGTGGTAGAAAATAATGTCAAATTAATTTGCAAACTGAGGTATATAATGAAACATGATATGGTTTTGGAAATTTATTTTCTTTCACATTTTTAGTCTAATCATAAGTGGCTAAAAATATTTTTTAAATGAAAATTTAAAAATCAGGCAAAAAAAATTGAAGACAATGTTTGCGAATTTCCCTTGATATGCTTATGAGCATATGAGAAAGTGGTCATGGGAAGCATGTTTATTTTAAGGTTCCTCTAATTCTCCCCAGTTGTCGTTTGCTGCATAGGCTGCTCGCAGATGGCGTTGACCTGGGCTCTGGGGCACCCTCAACTGTCAGAACTGAGGTTAGGAGAGACTTTGATGCTGCCCTGGGCCTCTACATCCACGCTTTAGTCCCCAGCTAGCCCCCATGCCGTCAGAAGGCCTCCTTAGACTTACGGAGCTCCTGGCAGCTGTAGGATCCGCAAGGCTCCTCGCCACACACCCTGGGTGGTACATCCCTGCATGGGGTCAGACCCCTGGCAGGACATGGTGACAGTAAGAAGAGAATGAGCCCTGTGAAAGAGAAGGGAGTCAGAGGGCAAATGCCTGGCAGGTGAGCAGTGACAGGGAACAGGTGCCCTGGTGTCTTCACCTGCCCTCAGCCCCTGTGGCCTGCAAGTACAGCTCAGAGGCAGCTCTCGAGTCAGTCACTTCCACTTCCTTAGCACCTTCCACCACCCTGGAGGAAAGGGAAAGAAGCTCAGCTCCTGAGTGCCAAGGCTCTGTCCAGTCCCCTCAAGCATCTCCCTGGGGAGCCCATGAGGTCCCCAGAGCCTGTAAGATTCCTTCCAAAGGCTGTAGCTTCAGCATACCTCCCTTAAAAACCATTCCTTTTCACCATATTTTTTCCCCTTCTGTGACCTGCCCAGTAAGGGCAATGAGACAGTAGAAATTGCTCCCCATTTTACAGGTAGGGATACTGAGTCCTGGGAGCACATCCCTCCCCTTTCCGCCAAGGCTCAGAGCTTCCTTCCTCTGAATGACAGCAGGCAGAAGGCTCCAAGGGCTTGGCTTGCAGGGTGCAACCCTGCCTCAAGACAAGCACCCTCACACCCTGAGAAGCCCCCAGATACTCACAAACCCAGAGGGGCCACGTTGAGCACTGATAGGTTCTCTTCTGCCAGAGAGAGCAGGTCCTGGGCCATCCCATGAGGGCTGAGCTGGGATCACACAAGCATTCCTGGTCCAAGCTGAGCCCTTCCCCTCCCTTTTGCTCACAGGATCCCCCCTTGAGGAAATCCAGGAGTCAACCTTTTCCCAGTCCAGTAAGAGGAAACCCCAGGACGGCAAAGCAGGGGCTGGGCAAAAGCTCTTCTGGCTACCCACAAGTCCCTTCTGCAGGGTCACCAGGGCCCTGCCTTCCCAAGGCCTGCTCTATACTCCCCCAAGGGTCTCACCTGTACCAGACTAAGCATGCTGAGCATAGTGTCCGAGTGGCTCAGGGCCTGAACTTCTTCAAACAGCATCTGCAACAGCTAGAGTGGAGAAGGGGACCTATAGGGGCCTAAGCGTCAGATGAACTTCAACATTGCCTGAGTGGGAACGTCTGCATCAGGCCCTGTGTGGATTACTGGGGACCTGGCATCCAGAACAGAAGTAGCTCCAGCTCTCTCCCTAACATTTCATGGGAAGTGAACTTTCCCAGTGCTTCCACTGGTGTTTGTAGGGCAGAAGCCAATAGCAAGGGCCCAAGGCAGCTTTCCAAGTTTGGGATTATTACTATGACCAAAAACCATGAGCATTAGACCTGCACATTTGATCCATGTGCACCTCTGCCTCTTCTCAGCCCCAGCTGCTCACCTTCCCTGATAGTAAGCAGACCCTGAAAGATGTTCTTTACAGACCAGAGTTCATAGGAGCCAGAGAGGAGAAATGTGCTGTCCAGCCGGGAGGAGGTCGAAGGAGAATATCTTAAATATATTGGAAAAATCAAGACCTCCACCGCATGAGGCCTGTATCCTGGTGGCTGCCTTGAATCTCACCTGAGGCACAAGTTGGGGTGCTTGGGCTTCCTGACCCTGAAGCAACAGGGCCACGCTGTACCCTTGGCCCACGGAGCCCAGCAAGGGCTGGACTTGTGCCAGCAGCTCCTGCCATGCCAACTGCAGGGAGACACAGGCACAGTTTACCTGCTCACATGCCCCGTCCCATCCTCCTCAGAGCAAAGGGGCTGGTGTGGATGCAACCACCCCAGGGACCCAGAGACTGAGCGGCCCGCTTCTCATTCTCCCATCACCCTTGTAGACCTCTTACCTGAGCACCATCAGTCCCCAAGACTGTCAAAGATGAAGCTTTGCCCCTGTCGGCGAGGCCAGGGTCAGCAATGTCATTCCCTCTTCCCCTGCCCCTCCCTGCACCTCCCCCATCCTGAGTCTCTTTCTACCTGAGTCTCTGGAGTCCCCGGCTGAAGCAGATGGAGGCTCCTGGGCCCCTCCAGAAGGAGTGTGGGGGTGCAGGCCTCAGGGCCTAAGGGAGGTGGGCTGCATATCAACTCTCAGTGGAGCAGAGCTGCAGCGCCCAGCCCGGGCTGACTCAGCACGGCTCCTGGTCTGTGCCTCTCTGAGCACACACCAGCAGGCTCCTTACCTGATTCACTGCCCAGCTCCACTTGTACCACCACAGTCAGCATGGCGAAGGGCCCTGGAGGAGACAGAGCTGCCCAGCTGAAGCTAGCACCTGCACTCGCCTCCTTTCCACCCTCTGTGACGTCTTGCCTCTTAGATTCCCCTCAATAATTCATGTCCCAGTTTGAGGGCTGGAGTGGCTCTGGGCCGTAAGCTGTCAAGGAAAGTGACAGTTCGCTGTCTCCACAGGAAACACTGCATAAAGCTGCTTTTTTTCCCCCCCCCCATTTAAATTCTAAACATCTGTAACAGTTGAAGGAATAGTGTAATGACTGACTCTCCAAGTACCCAGCTTCAGCAATGACCAGCTCCTGGCCAATCTCATTTTTTTGTTCTATCCTCAACAGAAAATCCATTTCTGATATGTGTCTGTAAAAAGCAGTCTTTTCAAGATTGCAGGTTTATTGAGATGTAATTCATATACTGTAGAGTCCACTCAGCGAAAATGTGCTATTCAGTGACTCTTAGTGTTTTCACAGATGCATGCCACCGTCACCATGGTCACCTCCTCCTCAGCCTGAGCAAACCCTAACAGACCTTCTGCCTCTGTTGATTTACTTCTAGTGGGTATTTCATGGAAATGGGATCATCAACATATGATCTTTTTTTAAAAAGATTTATTTATTTTTATTGGAAAGTCAGATTTACAGAGAGGAGAGACAGAGGGAAATATCTTCTGTCTGCTGATTCACTCCCCAAGTGGCCACAATGGCTGGATCTGAGCTGATCCAAAGCCGGCAGCCAGGAGCTTCTTCTGGGTCTCCCACATGGATGCAGGGTCCCAAAGCTTTGGGCCGTCCTCGACTGCTTTTCCAGGCCACAAGCAGGGAGCTGGATAGGAAGTGGAGCAGCTGGGTCATGAAGTGGCTTTAGCCACTAGGCTACTGCGCTGGACCCTATATGATCTTCTTTATCTAGTGGTTGGTGAGGTTCATTCTTTGATATGGCTATGGTATTTATGGAGTGCTGCTTTATTGTATGGCTGTGAGATATTTTGTTCATCCAAAAGGGATTTGGGTTGTTTTCACTCTTGGACTGTGATGGTTGGTGTTGCTGTGAGCATTCATATACAAGTGTCTGTTAGAATACCTCTTTTCCTTTCTGCTGTATAACTAGAAGTGGGATTGCTGGGTCATGCATAGTCCTACATCGCTTTATATTCCCACAAGCAACACATCAGATTTCAGTTTTCTCCGCATTGTCCCTATGCTTGTTGTTTTTCTTTTCTGGACTCTAGCCACCCCAGCAAGGGTACAGCAGGATAACTCATTATGGTTTTGATGAGCATTTCCTTAATTATCACTGATACTAACTACCGATGCTTAAATACCACTGACGCCCCTTGATACACGTTTGTTGGCCATCCTATCTTCAGAGAAAAGTTGGTTCAAATAACTGCCTATTTTTAATTTCTTAAATGTATATCATCATCTATGTGAAAGAGCAACACAAGGAGAGAAAGAACTGCATTCCATCTGATGACTCATTCCCCAAATGCCTGCAGCATGAAGTGCTGAGAGAGGCTGAAGCCAAATTAATTTGGATCTCCCATGTGATTGGCCGGGGCTCAAGCACTTGAGCCATCCTATGCTGGTTCCAACTTCCTGAATTAGCAGGAAGCTTAATTCAGAAGCATGGAGCAGCTGGGACCAGCACTCCAACATGGGATAGAGGTGTCCCAAGTGATGCCCTTAACCTGCTGCACCAAGACATGCATTTCCTGGTCTCGTTGCAAGACACGAATCCCATTCCTGATAATATAGCCTTCATAACTTAACCATCTCCTGGAGGCCCCACCTCCTATGAGACACACTGGTAGTTAGGAGTTTAACGTGGAAATTTCTAGAGTCAGAAACCTACAGCACACTGCCTGGAGTTGAACAAAGGACAGATTGAGAGAGGTCATGCCCTTGCCCAGGTCACTTTGGGTATGTGGTGACATGCAGTGCATTGGGGCTGAGGTCCAGGTGGTAGGTTGTACTCCAGCCACAAACTGTGAGGCACACAAACCATCAGGCCTTTCCATCCCTGCAGTGCTGGTCTTTGGATCCTAGAGAGCAAGCTCCTAGGGGTGGGGAGCCACAGTCAGCTGTGCCTGTCCAGCCTGGGTCTGTTGGACAAACACCAGGAACGAGTGACTATTTGCTGATAGTAAAAGTGAGCATGACTGTGCCACAGCAGTGGCAGCTGTCACAGGCAGGACAAGTGATTCTAGGAAGACACTTGAGGTCAAGGAGGTTCTGCTGGCCTGAGCTTCCTGAGTGATTCAGGCCAATCTTGAGGTTCCTGGTGGCCTCGTTCACCGCTTGGGCCATCTGCTCACTGTGGTTGTAGCTTCCACTTGCTTTTACATCACAAGGGTGACCTTAAAAGATGTCTTAATTTATTTTCTGTTGTTGTTACAAAAATACCTAAAACGAGGAATCATTCATAATTACATATTATGATTGCATAATTTCAAAAAGTATCATGGTAGGGCATGGCGCAATGGCTCAGTTGGCTAACCTTCCCTTTGCAAGCGCTGGGATCTCATATGGGCATTGGTTTGTGTCCTGGGGGCTCTACTTCCTGATCCAGCTCCCTGCTTGTTGCCCAGGGGGCAGTAGAAGATGGCTCAAAGCCTACACTCACATGGGGAACCTGGAAGAAACTCCTAGCTTTGGATTGACTCAGCTCTAGCCAGTGTGACCATTTGGGAAGTGAACAAACAGATGGATATCTTTCCCTATGGCTCTCCTCTCTGTAAATGTGCCTTCCCAATAAAAATAAATATATTTTAAAATAAAAAATTATCTTTCCATTTTTCCCCAGATACAGGAAGAAAAAAAATGAAAACCATTGTCTCATCCACTTTTGCCCATACCTCAGTCTTCCCCACCCTAATAAGTGGTCCGCCCATATAGGTACACACCCTTCTCAACTTTGTAAACATCACCAAAAATAAAATTCAAAAAAAAAATTTATTGTGGGCCCAGTGGCGTGGCCTAGCGGCTGAAGTCCTCTCCTTGAACACGCTGGGATCCCATATGGGTGCCGGTTCTAATCCCGACGGCTCCACTTCCCATCCAGCTTCCTGATTGTGGCCTGGGAAAGCAGTTGAGGACGACCCAAAGCCTTGGGACCCTGCATCCGTGTGGGAGACCCAGAAGAAGCTCCTGGCTCCTGGCTTCGGATCGGCATAGCATTGGCCGTTGCGCTCACTTGGGGAGTGAGTCATCGGACAGAAGATCTTCCTCTCTGTCTCTCCTGCTCTCTATATCTGACTTTGTAATGAAAATAAATAGATCTTTAGAAAAAAAGAAATTATTGTGGTAACAACAGTTTTCTTTTATTCACCTCTATAGATAGTTTTAGTGAACAATGTGTATAGTTTTGAAAAATTGATTTCTGGGTCTGGCACAGTAACCTAGTGCCTAAAATCCTCGTCTTGCATGTGTCAGGATCCCATTTGGGCACCAGATTGTATCCTGGTGGCTCCACTTCCCATCCAGCTCCCTGCTTGTGGCCTAGGAGAGCGGTCAAGGGCAAAAAAGCCTTGGGACCCTGCTCCCCTGTGGGAGACCCAGAAGAAGCTCCTGGTTTCAGATTGGCTCAGCTCCGGCCATTGTGGCCACTTGGGGAATGAACCAGATGGAAGAACTTTCTCTCTCTATCTCCTTCTCTCTTTAAATCTGACTTTCCAGGCCTGGCATGATGGCCTAGTGGCTTAAGTCCCCGCCTTGAAAGTGCCAGGATCCCAGATGGGCACCAGTTCTAATCCCAGCAGCCCTACTTTCCATCCAGCTCCCTGCTTATGGCCTGGGAAAACAGTGAAGAACGGCCCAGAGCCTTGAGACCCTGCACCCATGGGGGAGACCTAGAGGAAGTTCCTGACTCCTGGCTTCGGATTGGCAACACCAAATCATCAGATGGAAGATCATGTCTGTCTCTCCTCCTCTCTGTATATCTGACTTTGCAATACAAATAAATAAATCTTTAAAAATTTGATTTATTTTCCTATCCTAAGTTTATTACCTGTCAATTATAATTTAAACATATATGCAGACTTGCCATTTGGAAGTTAATATAAAGCTAGCTATACTTTCACAAAACACATTAATGGAACTGGCTACTTGAATTGAATCATTTTGCAAATTGATACATAATTTTTTTTTTAAGATTTATTTTTATTATTTTTTTGATTGGAAAGGCGGATATACAGAGAGGAGAGACAGAGAAGAAGATCTTCCGTCCGATGATTCACTCCCCAAGTGAGCGCAACGGGCCGATACTATGCCGATCCGAAGCCAGGAGCCTCCTCCGGGTCTCCCACGCGGGTGCAGGTTCCCAAAGCTTTGGGCTGTCCTCGACTGCTTTCCCAGGCCACAGGCAGGGAGCTGGAAGGGAAGCGGGGCTGCCGGGATTAGAACCGGCGCCCATATGGGATCCCGGGCGTGCAAGGTGAGGACCTTTAACCACTTGCGCCACCACGCCGGGCCCTACATAATTTTTTAAAGATTTATTTTCAGTCCTGGGGCCCACCTTCAGGGTGGGGTTCCCGCAGAGTTTGGGTCACCTGGCTTGGGTCTTTGGGCCCACCTGCGAGGTGGGTGCTGGGCTCATGAGCCCCAGGACTGGGGGATTCGGTGAGGCTTGTGAGGGACTAGGGGATTCAGTGAGGCCTGGCCCAGGTCTTTGGGCTCACCTGCGAGAACATTTATTTGTTTTTTTTTTTTAAGATTTACTTATTTTTATTGGAAAGTCAGATATACAGAGAGCAGGAGAGACAGAAAGGAAGATCTTCTGTCCGATGATTCACTCCCCCAAATGGCCAGAACAGCCAGAGCTGTGCCAATCCAAATCCAGGAACCAGGAGCTTCTTCTGGGTCTCCCACGTGGGTGCAGGGTTCCAAGGCTTTGGGCCGTCCTCGATGGCCACAAGCAGGAGCTTGGATGGGAAGCGGGGCCACTGGGATTAGAACCGGTGCCCATATTTGGCCTCTACAGGAGTGTGTTGCTCCAGATC